CACAGCATGTGGGATCTTCCCGAACCGGGGCACGAACCCGTGTCCCCTGCATCGGCAGGCGGGCTCCCAACCACTGTGCCACCAGGGAAGCCCTGGAGCACTTCTTAAAAAATGCTGATGCCTGGGCCTCCTCCAAATGTTCTCATTTAATTGGCTTGGCGTGGGGCCTGGGCATGGACATTTGTAGCTCCTCAAGCGGATTCTAACGTACAGCCAGGTTAAAGAGTCACTGAATTAGAAATGTGAGCGTGTGCTGTGTGCTGGGAGTGAAGGTGGAGTGCTTGGAGACCTGTGCTAATGAGGTGTCCAGGATGCACACCTCACTCCAAATTCTCTCCTCTCCTTTAGATAAACATTTGAATTCCTTCGTGTCTTTTTGTCACTGCTGTCAGCATAGGCAAGTCCTGTTTCGGTATTGAGAGTGAATGCGTCTCAGAGGTACTTATCTTGGAGAGCCATCCACTCCATGCTAGTCCTAGAACAAGAACTCATCATTCTCTCTCCTTCCCTGTGCCGTTGCCTCCTTGACCCACAGGGAGCGGCTGCCTGCCAACTTCTTTAAGTTTCAGTTCCGGAATGTGGAGTACAGCTCCGGGCGGAACAAGACCTTCCTCTGCTATGTGGTTGAAGCGCAGAGCAAGGGAGGCCAAGTGCAGGCCTCGCGGGGATACCTAGAGGACGAGCACGTCGCCGCCCACGCGGAGGAAGCCTTCTTCAACACCATCATGCCAGCCTTCGACCCGGCCCTGCGCTACCTGGTCACCTGGTACGTGTCCTCCAGCCCCTGCGCAGCTTGCGCTGACCGCATCGTCAGGACCCTCAACAAGACCAAGAACCTGCGCCTGCTCCTCCTGGCGGGGCGGCTCTTCATGTGGGAGGAGCCTGAGATCCAGGCGGCTCTCAGGAAGCTGAAGGAGGCTGGCTGCAAACTGCGCATCATGAAGCCCCAAGACTTCGAGTACGTCTGGCAGAATTTCGTGGAGCAAGAAGAGGGTGAATCCAAAGCCTTTGAGCCCTGGGAGGACATTCAGGAGAACTTCCTGTACTATGAGGAGAAGTTGGCCGACATCCTGAAGTAGGCGAGTGGGCTCAGCCTCACGTGAGTCTTTTCACTGTTAACTTGGGTAGAAGGTCAGGTGGAACGAGTAGTCTCTTTGATTTTCCTTTGATAGGATTTCATCTCTGTTTTTGGTTGGTTGTAAAAACATTCTTAGAAGATCCCTCCTTGTTTTCTCTTTCTTCTCAATTCCTCTCCCTAAATCCTTTTCTCTCCTACTCTTTTATATCAAACTGATTTTCCCCATAACTTGGAGTGCTCAAGGGTGACAGGAATCCAGAAGCTTTGATGAGACAGAATGACTTTCATAGTAAGATTTAGACGGTGCAAGGACCTGTTACTGAACAGCAAAGATATTTCAGCCCCCTAAGCATGTCCTCATGTCCACCTGTTCAGACTTACTAACTCTGGACACCTTCTAGACGCCCTGCCGCCACCCCATTTGCAATCTTATGATTCCATTTTTCTCTAATGTAGGTTCTGCATTCCTACAGGGGCATTTTTTTTTTTTATTTTTGGTACTTTTGAAAGTCCCCGAATGGATCTGTATTCAACTTTTTGGAGGCCAGAGAAGCTTTCATGCTTTCAGACAAATGGTTCTGCTTTGAGGGAGACTAATAATTGCTGTTTGAATGTACAATGCAAGAACATTTCCCTAATGTTGAGAAGACCTCATCAGAACTCGCAGAAAAATGATGAATGCGGGGAATGAGGATAATATAGCAACAAGTTCTGCTATACAGCAATGTTTAAAGGGTTAAAAGATGTTTGTAAATTAGGCAGCAGCTCAGAAGTAGCCTCCTACAGATATCAAGATGTGATAGGAGAACTGGAAGTAAAGATCAGCTATTTAAGCAAATAATTAGGATACCATTAAGGCAAATTTGGCCTCTTGCTGAGGGTAAATTAGACTCTTAGAGAAACAGGCCGACTGCCCTCAGGAAAGAGGGTAAAGGATCCTTTACTACCTCCTTTTGAATTTCATCTGATCTAGTTTGCTCCCATAGAAGTGCAATGACTAAGTCTCTTTACAAGACCTGAGTTACCGATCAAAATTTTCCCATAACAGAGAAAGGGTCTTCACCACCCTCTTATCCAACTTTAATTCTGGAACACCTCACTTATTAATAAAACATGAAAGCAGCATGCTTCCATGAAGATATTAAACTTATTTTTGGTGTCTCTCACTCATAATAGTCTAAAGAGATGTTGCTTCATGGACACGTTTTGGAAACGTAAGTGTTCCAGGGCTTGATGTTGGCAGGTGTTTGCTATTAAGACATGCAGACAGGGTGCCTGATCATTCTCCAGCTGAGCGTTCACCAATCCATGAAGACACAGTTTTTGGCCATTTCTTACAAAATGCAGGACCCATTCACTGAACTCAGTGAGACTATGGTCAGGTAATGCCACATGGTACTTTGCTCACACAAAATAAGACCACTCTGAGCGGTGGTGAGTAGTAATACAAACAGATTTCTAAGGATGGCCTCTGAAAATACAAAATTAACTTAAATTCCTCGAAGATTTTATTAGTATAGGGACTGTCACTCGTAATTATAAACCCTACATAGATTATGTAGAATGATGACTGGTAGCCTAATTTTAACTCGTGTACTTTCTTCTTAAGCATCTTTCAGAGTCACAGGCCACTTCTTCCAGCTGCCCAACTAACCAGACGTCAGAGATGGATGTGTGTGTGTGTGTGTGTGTGCGCGCGTGTGTGCGTGCGCGTGTGTGTGCGCGTGCGTGTGTTGTCCATTAAGTCAAATAATTAAATAGCTAGGGCTTTCCTGATGGCGCAGTGGTTGAGAGCCCACCTGCCGATACAGGGGACACGGGTTCGTGCCCCGGTCCGGGAGGATCCCACATGCCGCGGAGCAGCTGGGCCCATGAGCCACGGCCACTGAGCCTGCCCATCCGGAGCCTGTGCTCCGCGACAGGAGAGGCCACAACAGTGAGAGGCCCGCGTGCCGCAAAAAATAATAATAATAATAATAATTAAATAGCTAAACCTGCTATAAAAATTAAGCATTTCAAGGAGGATTAAAAAGAGCCTTTAATTTTGGATAACTGAGAGTTATATCTTTTGCTAATCTAAATAAACAAGTAAAATAGATAAATCAGTTTGAGGGAAAAGTCCATTTCTAAGTCAAATTATTTTTAAATAAAATATTATTGGACATGTTCCACATTATAAGCCTCCTTCCATTAGTGTACATAACCGTATTATCTGGACCCATTAACATGCTTCCCTGTACTCTATTTTAGTTGCTCATATTCCTGAAGGGAAAGGTTAAAATGTACGAAGTTAAAAAAAAAAATTGGCATGAAATCAAGTTGTCATCTAAAAGCAAAGAACTCTGCTTAATTAAAATAGTCTCAAAAAATGAGCATTTGTTAAAGAAAATTTGTCTCATATTTCTTATTCCGTCTTTTTGAAAAATGACAGAATAGGATTTAACCATATATTTAACTCAAGATAACATATTTAAAGCAGATCTCTTCTGGGGCTTTCTCTGTGCGAACCACACCAAAACATGAATGAAACAAATCCAGTCCTGAGTAAACCGGAAATCACAGGAGACTATGGAGAAATTCAGGCACTTGCTGGCAAGGGCACAAAGAAACCCTAACTCAAAAAGAAAACCCTTCACTGTTTAGGGCCAGCAAGGCTCTCAGTAACATGCTTTCTGTTTTCTCACTAAGGTCTGTCTGCTGCCACCAAGAGACAGCAATGACACATGTGGCCATCTGGGACATGCCTGACTTCCCAATACCACTTGGAGCTGGACAACATTTGACACGAACCAATCCTACTGCACAACGCCCTCCGAGGACTCAAAATACACTTATGCTGTAAATCATTTAAGCTGTGCCTCTCTCTCTAAGGCTGCTCTTGGGAAAGAGGAAAATGAGCTGCGAAGAGAGAAACGGCAACCGTATACGGGCACCAGGCGTCCACGGGGCTGAAGGTCCGCATTTCCCTCAACTGGGCTGCTTAGGTCGAAGAGCCTCAGACCCAAAGTCTGCACAGATCTTTGAAATATGTCCAGAAGTGCATCTTAAGTTGGGTTCTTTTTTTAAGAAAAACAGCAACATTAATAAAAGAGGTGGTGTGGTCTTTCTGTGACCAAGTTTTTTAAGGAACTTGGACATTTAGAAGTTATTATGGACAGTAAGCAAGTCCCAGGAATAGGGCTGTCCCAGGCTATGAACCAAGCCATGACAATATATAAAGTGGGAGGAAGGCTTAAACCAGAACTTGGCCTAGGCAACACAGGATGTACTAACTCTCCCATGCAGACTTCACACCTCGGTCTTGACCTTCATGAAATATTTTCTTCTGAGATTAGCTGTAAATGAGTATCTTTTCCCTCCTCTGAAGACAAGGAATATGGCAGAGGATGAAACAAAAGGCACAAGAAATCTGTTTCTAAGGTATATAAACATCCCAAGTGCCAATTCATAGGCAATTAGCACCTTGATTAGAGGAAAGGGCAAGAAGTAGGATTTCAATGTTCAGATACACATAATGTAAGAATAGTCAGTATGTGGTACTTGATGGCAACGGCAGGATGGTGTCAAAAGTCTCATTTCTTAAAAGGCTTGTTTGAGTCCTATGTAGAAGCAAAATTTCACACGTGAATTTCTGGGTGTTTCCCAAACTCTAACTAGGTTTCCAGGAATAATGTGTCCATTCTGAGTATCAGGCCACGCCTCCTTTCCCCAGGCTTCAAGTGTGGTAAGTCATTGGAATTTGACCCCAAGACTACCTGCAAATGACAAAGCACTTTATCACATCCCTGCTGAACTCCACTCACAGCCAGACCTCCACAAGACTAGGTTTTGTTAAAGAAATATGAACGAGGCTCATACTCCATGAAAAAAATTAACCCTAATCCCTTAAAATGTAGAAGCAGCCTAGAAAATCAATGTTTTGACCCAGTGTTAAGATTTATTTGCATAGTTAGGCAAAATACTTTAATTCTAAGTTTCCTCTTACCACTCCACTCTCATTTTGTTTTGTATAGACATTCTCTCCCTTTTTTTTCCCCTTCAATTTTACTGTGTGTATGTGGACAGAAACAAAGCTCCAAAAAAGTCTTAGTCTAAAGGTTTGACAATGAACTTGCCCCCGGCACTGCCCCTACCCCCAACAACATGGAGAACTTGTCTGTTGCACATAGATACAAAAGAAGTGAAATACTTTTTGAAACTGCTGCCTCATTCAGGCTGAGATGCAATAAAAACACAAGTCTAAGGTACAAAGATTATATTTAACCAGTGCTTTCCTGGTGTTTTAACGAGCCCCTTCTAAAATCCAGTTCTTTTACACTTGGGAAAGCAGCAAGTCCTATGACAGACCCAGAATTCACTCTAGGGAGAAAATCAATAGTAGGTCTGTCTCTTTGAACTCAACACCACAGTAAGGGGGTGGAGGGTTGAAATACTCTACTAGTTTTCCCCACACCTCTGATACTGAACCACTGGCTAAATCCATGAACCTTATTCTTCCACCATCGAAATCAAGAGTGGACAAAGCACTGCTCTCTCAGCGTAGAAGAAAAGGGGACTAATATTTACTGTTTTCGATCCCAGGTGGCTACACATCAGAATCCTCTGGAGCTTAAAAATACAAAGAAACCTGGCCACTCTCCCCCGCCCCCCCCACTACCAAATTAGAATTCTTTTTGGAGGAAGTGGACCTTTATTTTTTTTTAAGGAGATTCATATGGGTTTTGTTGAGAACTACTGATTTATTGACTCATTACTCCACACTAGGAACTTTGCCACATATTTCACATAGTATTTTATTTGTTTCATGACTGAATTCAAACAGGTTCAATCACAGAACCTATGTGGTGGACAAAAGAGAGCAGGAGTTCACCACGGGGAGATTCTAAAAGCCTGCCTTTCCAGTGTGCTGACCCACAGTTCTTGCCCATTCTGATGTCTTATTTCTCACCTTGCTGCTCTTCGTACTGGACCCTCTATCTGACTCCTCCGGATTAAGTTACAGGTGAATCTTCCATTACCCAAGTCCAGAACAACACAGACATGTGCACAGAACCTCACTGCCCGCCCCCCCCCAAGAATTTATTTTTCCATTCTTGTCACCACAAATTCCTTGTTAACAACATAAAACTCTTCCTTGTAATTTAAACAAAACTGAACCCATAATTCTCTCCTAGGATGAATATTATGACATAAGGATAATACCAGGTAAGTGCACAAATGACAAAAGATACAAAATTAACTGAAATGTTCATCCTTCCTGAAATTTCTCTTAAACAGCAGAAATAGAAGCAATGCTGACACCTAGTGGCAACCCAAACAAATCAAGTAGCATCCCTAGCAAAACAGGGGTCATAGGCCCAACATTTGGCTTCCCCACCTAGTATCAGGCCATCTAGGCCTTACCTTCCTGGAAAAAAAAAAAATTCCCAGCAACACTTCCCAAGCAATCCCTCCTCCAGATTCCCAGTCCAATCGTGAGAATACAGCAACCAAAGTCTGGCCTGTGAAACAGGCTACTTCACATGAAACTTTCCTCTGACCATTTTAAGGTCAGTTTGCTCAGTCCTAAGGCCCAGATGACACAGAAGGTAGACGTATCCAAAATGCTCATCTGATCAGAGTGTGTACACAGTAATTCTGATGTCTGTTGCCTCAAAGATCTCCTCAATCATCGCAGATACATTTTCCCATTGCAGACGATCAAGACCACATCCAATCCTGAAAAAGACAAAACATCCCCACTGGTTGTGATGAAGGTATCTGGGAAAACACTCCTTCCTTCTTCCTCTAGGCTGCATCCACCCAAATCCTAAGGTATCATCTGGTCTCACACCTATAGGCAGCCATGGTGGGAGCTGGGAAGTTAACTCCTATTGTGAGTCACCTAAGGCTGTTTCCTAGAGCGCCCTAACATCCAACAGCTGTCACTTCTCTTTTGCCTAATAAAGTACCACTTCCCAGTTACTTCAGGCTACGTTTAGAAATGTATAACTGCCGTGAGATGGAAGAACTTACTATCCTTCTATTTCTACTGATGAAAACTAGCTGTGGGTGAATGGCAAAAGGTTGGTATTTTTAAAATACACTTATGATAATGAAATGTTAGGAAGACAAAAAGGAGAATGACAAAGGACAGGATCTCTGCACACAGGAAGTCAAGAGGGAATGTTGGGAAATGCCAAGCTGATTGTAATTCGGAACTTTGCAGCACTCTGGTGAGAAACCCCAATCGGCCCACAAAACTCTTACTACCTGGCACCTTTCTTCCAAGATGTTACTTAACTGATCCTCAATATCCCTAGGGAAAAGAGATGCTTAAAATTGATAATTTTCTATAAATGTGGTTAAGTACCTGAAAAAATTGTGATTAAAAAAAAGTTTCTGGTACATAAGCGATGAACATATTAAAGACCAGCGTAAGATAAGGGACCATGTAGCCACGCTCGTAAGTAACTTGGACCTTGGAATAAACCTGCATGCATGCTCAGCACTGACAAAACTAGTCTGACAAGAAGAGAAGAAGGGACCCCAAGCCTATTTCCTGAAAAGGAAACAAAGGGGATATTGAACCCCTAACGTCAGTCCCTTAAGTTCCCAATATCTAGGGTCTAAGACATTACATAAGGGACCTATCCTCTGGCTATTGTCCACACTGAACACAAACAAGCATGCAGTTTAAAAAGCAGTGGTAACTTACAACTTTCTTCACACAGAATTAACAGGTTTGGGACACCTGAAGTGGCCCAGAGAGAAATCACAATTGCTCAGTCTTTGTTCTTTAGCTGTATTGCTTCAGAAATAGAGGCCAAGCTTCAGGTAGAGGACGCCCAGAATTCAACAAATGTCTGTGAACAATGGTTCCTCCCTACTAAGTAGGCTGAGGCAGGTCTGTGGTTTAATTATCCTGATTCACTTAGCCCAGGCTAAAAGATGGGCACACCTTAGGCTAAGATCTGACAACTTGTTTACTGATGATTTTTAAATGTTTTGACATTTTTCCACCTTTAAGTCTGTACTTTAGGTTACATTAAGCTTTTAAGTCACTTGTCTTTGGGTAAGACAGTAAACCCCACTAATCAAGTCTTCATTTAGGGCCCTGGATTTCCTTGCCTTGGCATGGAGAGGTCGGTGACTCCATTCTTCAGACAATGGGACTTCATGGCCTCTAAACTCTTCTGTAAGTTTTCATAAGTTGGCTTGTGTGAAGCCCTTTTCTTTGTAATCTAAGTACAAAGAACGAATTCAAATTTCCATTAGTCCAAAATGAGAGCCAAAGAAAAGTCGTCATATTCTCCCAACATCCTGATAATTAAAATAATAAGTATATTTTTACAGAATAGTCTAAATGACAAATGTCATACTGTCCCTTCCAGTTACGGGAGCTCCTCAGAAATCCACTACATAGAGCCTGAGAAACCCAGACACTGCCATATAATTATCTTTCCTTTTCCCAAGAAAACCAGATTAGCAGGTATGCCTATTGTCTACTGTTTTTAAGCAAAGTAGGTGAAAGTTTCTGTGCCACTTCCAAGAGATAAGCTGCATATCTGTAACAGGAAGAATCCATAACACCTAAAAATTTCCTGTTAGGTTTATTTATTTAAAAACTGTGCTCGCCTTTTATTTCCCTATAAAAGAACAGAGACAAACTGGTAGCATTCCAAACAAGACTGGAGGTCACAGTAGCATTAAGGACATTCAAAGAGGCTAGGACATGTCCCCACTCAGTGTGCTGTCCAAATCAGGCTTGTAGTGACTTGGCTATAAGTCATCCAGCACCATCGCCAAAAAGCTGCACTCTTTCTGAGGCCAAAGACCCTTTGGATAGTGGAAGAATCCCACACTGAGGAAGCAGGCAGGAAAGGATATGAGTATTACTTGGCACTGCATTTGATTGGGAAGACTGAGAGAAAAACTCCTTTGGGCAATCTATCTCTTGAGACTTTATTGTCTCTATCTTACTATGATTAGGAAGGAATTAAACTATGGGAGGCATCCCTAACTTTTCCAAGTCTCACAGCACAGGTCTTTGGTGAATATCACTACTCTTTCCCATGGAGCTGGGATGCAGCCTCATGTTCCTTTCTAATCCAGTGCACCAAATGGCCACCACTTCCGGATCTGAGTTGGCATGAGGTCAGCTTTTTGACAGCTCTGGTTGTCTGGAATGAAACACTGTGATCAACGTAAATGCAGTACAGCCCATTGGTTTACCAATCCTTAGAACTTACTGAGAATTGGCCCCATCTTACCAGGTAATATATATATCGCCCATCTCTCTTCAGAACAGCCACTTCTCCAGACTTTTTTTCTAAGAAAAACAGTTATTTGATAGTAAAAAAGAAAAAGAAAACCGAAACACTGATCTCCATTCTTAGATTTTTAAAAAATCTTTATAAATTTGAGTCTACTTCAGAACTAGAATTAATTTTCAACCCTGAAGAACACTTTGATCCTTATCAGCCTTCCTAGATACCGTATTCCTTAACTTCCAGCTTTCTTATTAATGTTTTCTGAATCATGTTTTCCTCACACCCCATCTTTGGTCCTGCTGCATTTTCAAATATACCCTTACTTGTTCACTTAAAAAACTTTAATGTCTATTGCCGTGAAATGTTTTAGAATGCACAGCACTTTTTACTTGCCAAATGTGTGTTTAATAATAATCCTTTTACATACAAAAACAGCTAATGCGTTAAGCATTAAGGGGAACATAGATGTATTAAAAAGTTCTTAATTATTAAAGAGATTTCAATCAGGAAAACATGTCATGTTTAGAAATAAGTATAATACAAAGCAGTAAGAAGTTGCTTTCTTAAAGGCTGGGATTAGAATCACCAGTGGAAACTTTCATTTAGTAAGCCTGGACTGTGGTCTGAGCAACTGTTTCAGAAGCCCACGTGTGATTCTGATACACATCTCTGGTTTAAAATCACTGGTAGAAAGTGATGGGAGGAGTCTGTAAGGAAAAGGTTCTAAACTCTTTGAAGCATAGCACAATATGGGTAAACAGAGGATCTTGAATGTCAAGCTAAAATCTGTGGACTTTTCTAAGCACTTCAGAGTTATTAAAGGTTTCAGAGAAATGGAGTAATATTATCAAGAAAGATTTATAAAAGAGGGGGAAGAAATTTAAAACTTTTACAAGAATTCAGGTTTCTTGTGACAAGGACCCAAACTAGAGGCCATTTTTGTAGAGGAAAAACTTAATTTGCAGAGTTAAAAGGACTCGGTAGTTAGGAACCCCATCTGTGCATGTATATCTTGTTTAATCATTAAGTATAACAAGAGCATCAAAAGATGCTCTAGCCAGGGCAGATAAGTTCAGCTGTTTTCAAAACTCACGTTGATTTAACAGTTCCTGCACCCCTCCAAATTTCTTCTTGAAGTGGACAGCTATCCCAGCGCCCATTCGACAGTCCTCACTGATACAGTGGGCTAAGGAGTCTGTTTTGGGGCATGCAAAAAGGTCTCCTTTCACATAAGTAATCTAAAATGTGCAAAGGGAAAGAAAAGTTTCATTAGTGACAGAAAAATACTAAGCTATTTCTTTTCCTTTACTGTGCCCACCACCACTTCTCCGTCCCTCCTTCATTTAAAGACAAATCCTCAGAATTTAATTTAAGGGGTTATCTAAAGCGAATTAAAGCATGTGCATAAGAAAGTGATGGGTGGTCTCTGCCTAGGACTGTATCAGCCTTTCTAAAGTAAATCAGCAGGAGAGAGAAAGACAATTCAATTACTGGTTTAATTAAAAAGTGTTTATGCTTTTGACCTCAATTGTTCTGAATTTCAGTTCACCAGTAAATTAATAGTTGTTACGCACTCTGCTTCCTTCTGAATCTTCATTAGGGCTGCCAGCCATGATACTGAGTCGCTATTTCCAGAATTCAAGTGTTTCTTCAACTATAAAAAGGGGAAAGGAAGTAAAAATACTTAGGCAACCTGAATATATTACGTTCAGAGTGCCCTGACCACCCACGTACAAACATTTCCCCCCCACCGTTTATCGCTGAAAGTAAGTTCGCCTCTAGGAAGTAATGCAAAACTCTTCTGGGGCAAGAAAAAGAAAGAATGCCTGGTTTCAGAGGCGGACGGGCCCCGCTCGCATTTCGCGCTTTCCTGGAGCGGAAGAAAGGCGGTCCTAGGACCCGCCTCCTACTTTCCCCGCGCCCGCGCCGAGTAAGGCTGATTCAAGACAGTCTCCTTTTCCCTGCAAGATGCAAAAGTATTTCCCCATTGTATTTGGCCCAGAAGCAAAAAGGTGGGACTTGGCCACAGTCCCGTTAAGCCGCATCTAGGGAGTATACAGGCCTGGGGGAGTGTACTGCCGAGGCGTGGGCAGGTGAAGAGGGAAGGCGGCTTCTCAAGGAAGGCTCACCCCCATCTTTTGGGGGGAGCTGCGGGAAGAAGTCTAGAGAGGCCTCCCATTCTCTGTTTCCTACCCTAGGGCGGATCAGCAAGGGCGTGGGGCCTGTCCCGGGGTCCCGTGGTAGGGAGCGGGGAGGTTCGTGCAAAGCCCCAACGTACCGGGGTTACCCTTCACCTGGAAAGGAGTCGGCTGTTAGGAGGTCCCGCCCCGCGGGGAAAGGCTCTGGTAGGTGGGGAGCAGGAGAAGAGCCCAGATGTGGAGCCAATCCCGCCAAAGTTCTTAACTGCACGCACCTAAGATGGCCGCCCACCACCTGGGAGCGGGGCGGAAACGAGCCCCTCTAGCTAGCTAGCCGAACCTGCACTCTTTGGTGATGGCCGCCGAACTTCCGTTGGTAAATTCCATAGAGTACCCCGCCGCCGCCCGGGCATGCGTAACGAGACAGCGAGTTGGGTAGAACGGCGCTTGCGCATTAGCCCCAGGAGCGTGTCTCCAGGGGCCGCATAGACGGGGGAGGGCAGTTGGCAAAGGAGTTACTTAGCGCCTGCGTGGTACTATGCTCAGGGCGGTGTTTGAAGGTTGAAGGGTTGAAGGGTCTGGCGTGTCTAGAAGGCGCCTGCGTATTCCTTCGGCCGGGGGGTGTGATCCAATCAGGGAAGTGGGCGTGGCTTCAGGGGACGCCTGAGCAATGCTCCTTCAACTGGGGGTGGGGCGAGCCCGAGCTCGGGTTAGGGGGCGTGATCTCAGAGGCGCCTGCGCGGAGGCAGTTGGAGGGAGGCCCGATTCCCCTTTGTTCGGCTTCGCCATTTTGCTAGGCAGCGGCAGTGGCGGCGGCAGCGGCGGCTGGAGCCTCTGATTGGGTTTCGGGGTCCGGTACTGGAGCCAATCAGCGCGGGCAGCGAACCGGGGGAGCGAGGCACGGTGAGTGTGAGGAGCCAATATCCAGCGGCCCAGAGCCGGCCCCAGCGCCCCGATTGGCGGGTCTCGCTGACCACTCAGGAGAGGCCCAGGCGCCCGTCGAGCCCGGGGAGTCAAGCTGAGCCTAGCCGAGCTGGGCTCCCGACGGCCCAGGCTGGAGCCTGCGAGCGCCCTAGGGCACTCCCGGCCGAGGCCTGCAGGGGGCCACCCCGCGCGGGGATGGCGCCCTCGGGAGCAGGCATCTCGGGGTCCAGAGCCTCGCAGGGTGCCAGAGCCAGTTGATGCGATTCGTCCCCGTCCCCCCGACCCTTAGGCACAGCTTCTCAGGCCCCAGGCCGGGGGGTGTTGGGTTTGCCTGCCACCAAGGCCCCTAAGCTCAGGTATACACACACACGTGCGCCCGGGGCCTTGGCGGTTTCCTCCTGGTCCTTCCGGCCTCACAGTTAAGCCCGCCCTTGCACTCAACACGCTCTGGCCCTCGGGACGGGAAGTCTCCCCCCGCGGGGCCCGCGCACCCCACCCCTCCGTGAGCGGGTCTGTATGTCTGCAGCCCTTCTGGGTCGGGAGGCAGGCCCGGGGAAGACGCGCGCCGCAGCCATCGGGCCCCGTGTGCAGCGCGGAGAGGGGGTGGGCCGAAAGGGGGGCCCCGCCCACCCCGTCGTCCCCGCTGTCCCCCTGATCGGTGGAGGGGATCCATTAGTGCACCCACTCCCCGGCCCCGCTGCGCCCCACCTCCCAGCACGCTCGTCCCGGGTCTCCGGCCCGGCGCCGTTACCACCCCCTTTTGGCTCGTCATTTCCTCTCTTCCCCGCCCCGATCGCCGGGCACAACTGCACACCTCTGTCTTGGAGCGCAACCAGGCGGTCACCCGTCCTTGCCCGGGCTGTAAGGCCTGTCCATTCGGTGCCTGGAACCTCACTATAGAAGGTGGCGAGCCCTGTTCATTCCTTTTCCCGGAGGCTGCACAATTTGCCTTCATTAGTCTTATCTGTTGTTTTTCATCTTGTGAACTCTCGCTCCCTTGGGAATGCACAATTATTTTCTTTTAACCTTTCTGTGTCACTTTGAACGTGTCAGGTTTCACGCATTAGCTCAGTCCACAGCCATCTCTTGGTTTGTTTTTTTCCAGTATGTTGATGTTTTCTCAGCAGGTATTTATAGAAACGTAACAGTCTTGTGGGGTTTTGGTTAGGGTGAAAGGAAATCTCCGTTGACAACCAAGTATCGAACAGTTAGTATGTACCAGGCGTCCATCTGTGTGCTGGGGAGGGAGTGGTTAGAGGCCGATAAGAACCTTCCCAGCCTGGTGGAGATTGACAGGTGAACAAGTAATTAATATCTCACGGTTAGTGCTGTAACGGGACCAAGTTCAGTTCTGTGGTGCACTGATGTGTGAGCTACCAACAGCCCTGGTGGAAGGCCAGCATTGCCACACTTTTGATTGGCCTTGAAGGATAATGGGATTTCTTCGGACAAGAAAGAATGGAAGAGCATTGCTCACAAAGAGAAAAGCAAGTGCAGAGGCACCAAGCTTTGCTGTGTGTTCAAGGGGGAAGAAAGTATAGGGCAGTGGGCAGTTGCCGTGAGAGTTTAGGCTGGAAAGCCCAGTTGGTAAAAACACTTGTATATCTTGCTAAGGCATTTTTCGGAAGCAGTTATTTTGTGGAAATTCGGATAGGAGAAATCTAGAAACACACTTTTTTCTAAGGTTGGAAAAATAAGTTTCTGGCTTATGGGGTTCTGCTCCACAATAGCAGCTGACTTTGGGGGAAAAAGGAAGATTTTTCTCCTAGGACTTTAAAAGTTTTTACTCATGTGAAGCACGGAGTGCAGCAGTCCTTGCCACATAGAGTAGGCCTTTAGTATAATCACAGTTACTAAGGTCATACAATTGGTAGGTTGCAGAAAACTACTCCTGAGGAGTAGTGCTCTTTCCACTACTAAAAATTTGGGGACAGTTTTTGTTTTCACTTTTTGTAATGAGTTTTTCATTGTTTAAGTCATTTTTAAATTTTATTTAATTCTTAAAATATCTAACAGATGGAGCACTGTGGTTTAGATATCTTTTAGAATGTTTACATTTGCCTTTGGACTGGATGAATACCTTGGTACTTAAAAATGGTTATATCTAGTCACTAAAACACCAGCAAACATTTTTGCTAGACTTCTTTCTAAACGACAGTTATAGTCTGGTCACTTTTTTGCTAAACCCTTCTAGAGACTCCACCTATCTGCAGAAAAATTTAGCCTGGAATGTTGAGATACAGTAATCTGGCCTTAGCTTTCTCTTGACATGTGGCCTTGTATATACTGTTCATATGTGGAAATTTTTCTCTCCTTGTTTTTATGCTCTATCCTCATTTGGAGCACTCCATTCCCTCCCACTTCATTACATATATAAATCCTGCTCATGCTTAAGACCAGGTCAGATGCCACATTTTTCTAAAGCCTTCTTATCGATCCCCAATTGGAAGAACTCTGTGTCCTCCATACTCCCATACTACTTTGTTTTTCTCTTAGGGGTTCAGTACAGATTTTTACTCCTTTACTAAATTTAAAGACTCTTTGAAGTTAAAATCTTAGTCACAGTTTTACTTGTATTTCTAAAACCTTCAGGACGGTGCCTGACAGGTGGTACATCATTAGTGGAGATTAAGAAGCAAATTAGGAACTGCAATCCAGAACCTTTTGGATGATGGGGAAGCTGGACAGTCCTTTGTTCTCTAGTCTTTTATCAAACACAGATCAGAACCTGTTTGTTGAGTTGTGAAGTCAATTTAGTGGGCCAATGCTGGTAATTTTTTACAATAGAATAGAAACTATCACAGTTCATCCTATGTTATGAAGGTAAGTATTCATGAAACTTTTGTTTTAGTTACTTTTTTAATATGTTGCATGTGCATTTGTGATGTGAAATGTTTTTCTTACTGTGAGTTGTCAACAAAGTTTGAAAGCTGCCGTTCTAGTTTTTACCTGGTAGTGATTGTCAAATATGATAATTCTATGGGGTTTTTCACTTGCTTATAGTTGAGTTTCTGGAAGTTTTAGCTTTAAAATAAAAATGTGTGTGGTTCCACAATGAATGGATTCCTAAGTAGTTAGCTGCATTTCAGGTTCTGCAGCTTGAAGTGAAGAGGAAGGGAAATTTTCTTGCTAACCGGAATAAACATACTTTCTCTCTTTGAGGAAAAAACATTCAAACTTTGAGTTAGGAGTGAGAGCTAGACAGACTAAAGCTGGCTGGCTTAATTCTGTCAGAATGTGGCCGAAAGGCACTTGAGGAAAGACGACGATGTTTGCAGTTCTGCTAATTGAAGCTCACAGTAATGGGAACACGTGGCTTCATAGAAGCCAGTTGCGTCCAGCCCTCACCATTAGCAGTCTCAATATCATGCTCCACGCTGAATCGCTCCCTCGTTAATATGACAGAGAATTGCTGTTAGACTTGAAGCTGCTTCCTTTTGACCCTTCAAAGTATAGTGGATTTAAGTGTTTTTAAATTGCAGCATTTGTATTACCAGGATAAACTAGTTAAGAAGAAAATCTGCATGACGTTTTATTAGTCATTTCCCTGCACTTCCAGTGCGATGTAAACTTCTGGAAATTAGCGGTCAAGGAAAAAATCTTATACAGGAAGGGGATTTGGGGTGGGGTGGGTTGTTAAAATATAGAGGACATTCCTTCCTGATCCTTATTTTTTTTAATCAACTCTTTTGAGATATAGTTTAGACATAAAGGATAATCATTTTAAGTGTACATTTTGATGAATTTTGACAAATTTACACACCTATGTAACCACCAGCACAGTGAAAATATAAAACATTTTATCGCCCCAGAAAAGTTCCAAATGCTCTATTCCAGTCAACTTCCCACCTTCCCCTCTTCCCCCTTTTCCATTTCCAGGAAACCACTGATCTGCTCTCTCTAGATTACTGTTACCTATTCAGGGTTTCATATAAATGCAATCACACCACTGTTTTGTATCATGACCCTTAATTTTTAATTTTATTAGTTTAGAAATATAAATGTATTGTGTATATTGCAGTTAGAGACAAGATAGAGTTCAGGGAAGACCATTCGCTTCCCTGGAAGAGCCACTTCGTCTGGTTGCAAATCTGATTTTCTGTACTGTTCCCAGAATCTCTCAGGAGCCAACTGAGTCACCCAATTCAGAAGAGACATAAAAATCAGAAAGCCAGTTTTTCAGTATGCAATGAGAAATAACTATCAAGTTTACTTGTGTTTCTGATCATATCTGCTCCCTGTCGGCTACTGTATATGTAAATCCAAATTATAGCTAGATGTGTGCTTGGTGAGTATTCCATTAGAGCAAGGGTAGTGAGTTGAAGAACCACATCGCCGCACACCATCATGCTGTGATGGCATAGTCATCCTGTCACTTGTTTATAACTTACACTCTTATACTACATACCAATTTGGTTATGAGTAATAGGCTCAATCGATTTTTATTAGATTTTCCTCCCAACATTTTAGTATAAAAATTTTCAAACATACAGTAAAGTTGAAAGTGTTTTACAATAAACACCTGTATACCCTTCGTCTAGAGTCTACTGTTAATGTACTATACTTGCCTTTTCAGAGAGATACCTATATATATCTATCTCTCCATCTATTCATCCATCAATATACTTCTTCCTAATATTTGGGCACGCACTTGAATATATTTTGATTTCTTCACATCACATTGAGACACCTTACAATCATGGTGGGTGACTCATGTCATCCACCATGTGTGGATTTGTGGAGAGTGGTGCACTGCTTTGCTGCTGTGATGTGCAGATCATGTAACTCACATAACTTTGTCATTCAAATTTTAGAATTCATGAAGCCCTGGAGAAAAGTTTGGGGAAAGATTTATCTACATTTTGCTTATATACAGCTGTACCTCCCCCATGTTTCCAAGGTGAATTACCCTTTGATAATTTATATAATTTAAAATTTTTGAATCAGGTCTTTATTCAAGGTTCTCAAATATCACTTCAGTTTATCTAATTGTGTGCTTATTTCAAAAAGGAGCTTTCAGCTGTTAAAGTGTATGAGAATAGTAAATTTGGGCATTGACTGCATATTTGATATTAAGAGCTTACAAATTTTTTAATGTTTTGAAGTAATTGTAGAGGCACAATGTCATTGTGATAAAACGATAAAGAAAAGAATCTACTCTTTGGAGATAGATGCTGACGTACTTTTGGAGTTTGGAATAATAAAGTGTCTGGGATTTGCTTCAGAATAATGCAGGGATGGGTGGAAAGTGGATAAGATATATGTGGAATAAGATTGACCATGGGTTGAAAATTGTTGAAGTTGGGTAATGGCCATAGGGGTTCAGTATAATGTTCTCACTATTTTGATACATTTTTGAAAATTATCATAGTAAAAGTTAAAATTATACAATAAAGGGTGGGGTATTATTAGGCATTCAGATTCATGACTGAGGAAAACTTAAACTCTTTTCAGAGAAAATCATAGCCTGCTGTTTCTGTAATTCCTTTTTATTCCTTGCTCTGGATTAAAACACAAACTCCTAAACCTTTGCTCGGTCTTTCTTACTTAACACTGCTTAATGGAGATTTTGATAAGCAACGTGTTTGACTTCTGGGTAATTACTTACTAAATAATAAACCCTGAAATTTTAAATTGCTTGCCATATGTAGTGCAAATGTGTTACAAATTAAGGAAACTGTTCTCTAAAGTACATGTGCAGACCTGAAAATCAGTGTTAAATAGGCCTTGTAACAAAGTGATGTTGTAGCTTAATGAGAATTTCTTAAGTGTTGCTCTAGTAGTATTGAAAGGAAAGTTTGCTGATGAGAAATGACAAAGCATTTTTTACATATGTTAATTAGCGTTATCAAGGTTAAGCATCTGGTGAAGCCTTTATTAACAATCTCACTTTACTTTTCCTACCTTTCTAATAGGAGTGCATCCTGAAGTCTTCTAGGATCTCCAGAGTGAAAATCACTGTGGTCAAGACTCTAACTTGGAGGGACCATGGAACAGTATACAGCAAACAGCAATAGTTCGACAGAACAGATTGTTGTACAGGCTGGACAGATTCAGCAGCAGGTATGGAAGTAAAACTGCTTTAAACATCACAGCAAAAGAGCTGATAATAGCACTGCTCAGTAGCGGAATTGAGAGGTCTCAGATCTTATAAGAGTGGGTCTGGTGACTTGTGCTGAAGTGCTTTTCAAAGATTGGATTTTTTGCAGTTTCTCTCATTTTCTCTGTTCAGAAGTCTATATCCAGTCCATAACCACTTAGAATTTGATTTCATGGGAGCCTGGTTTAATAGTAAATTGCCCCCTTTTATCGTATTAGAAATCAAACACCTAGTCTGTTTTCAGATGGAATTATGGAGGGGTTTTTTTTGTTCTTCCTGGATTCAATTTGGTTGTTTCTCTTATTGATTAAGCTACCTTGTGGTCTAGTAAGGCTTTGGCCACAATAAACAAACCAAGATAGCTTCTAAGAAATCCACTGTCCTTTGATTTGATCCATCACAGTGCTTATTTTGAAAAGCTCTAGTTTAACATGAGGATAATATTTAGATAGCCACACTTACGGATAAGCACATATTAGAAAGGAATTCCCTGCTGCTGGTTTATCCTAATTAATATAGGTTGCCTTCTTGAATTTATACACAGATTACATTTTCTGATGATTTATACCTGGCTTTATTTTAGGAAAACTTCACTGGTTTTTTCTCCCTGGAAGAAAAGAAATTTATTATGCATTGATTTAACCTTAGGCCAAGATTGGGAATGTTTTATTTCCAAAATGGAACTTAGATAATATAGAAAAGTAGTTAGTAGGGAGGGCAGAGCATGTTTTGATGGTGAGTTGTTCCATCTAATGATCAAAGAAAGGAGCTGCTCTTGATTAAAAGAGATTAATTATCGAAATTCCTTTGCTGGCTTTTCCTTCCACGTAACTGCAGCTTCCTTCAACTGCCTTGGTAGAAAAGGGGATTCCACAGAGGACCCTCCATTCATACCAATGCCCTGGTGGGTGAATTCTTGTTCTGTCAGAACTTACTATTAGGAGTAATAAAAATTAGGTTGAATCTGTGAAAACATTGCTTCTAAGGTAGTCCAGCTGAGTAGGAGTAATCCTAGTTTGGGGACACAAGAGCAGTAACCTCTTGAAGATGATTTTGGCTCTAGTGATTACCTTCATTCTTCCTTTCTGGGGATTGCATTTCAGTTCCAGAAATTCTTCATTGTAGCTTCAAAGCTGCTAAAACCTGATTAACTTTTTTGTTCTTGTGAATTCATTTGAGAAAATAAAAAGAGCTTTAAAATAACTTCACGAAGAAGGATCAAATACCCATTTTTGGAGGGAAAGACTGTGTTAAAAATGTTTTTGTTAATGATGTCAGCTATATTGGGTTTTTTGAGTCATGGAAGTGTGTTTTGAGTTCCACCTTGGGGACAAAGGGCTAATATCTGTAATCTGTTACTTCAACAAAACAGCTTCAGTATAGGGAGTCTACAGTTTGAAAGTCCTGTGTAGGGTGGGGCTATTGAAAGAAGACCCTCCCTCTCCCATAAGAGGTAAGGTGACCTCATGTCTTGAACTATACATTTCCTTCCTGACACATTTCAAGCTCTTCCTGTTCCTGTTCTCAGCAGCAGGGTGGTGTTACTGCTGTCCAGTTGCAGACTGAGGCCCAGGTGGCATCCGCCTCAGGCCAGCAAGTCCAGACCCTCCAGGTAGTGGTGCCCTCTCTGATTCTCTGTAAGCACTGCATGAACTTCTCCTCTCCTCATGTTTGGTGCTGTTTGTGGTAGGATCTCATGGAGAAATGGCAAAGTCAGTTGCATGTCTTTGATGCTGCTAACTTGTCTTTGAGGCTTAGAAGATGCCAGTTTCCTAATGTTTCATGCTAAATCATGTAGTGACCCCAGTATCAATTTTCTGAAAAGTGCCATTTGGCTAATGTTTCTTTGGGAATGTCTGGGAAAGAATCAGTATAAGGGACAGGAAGAAATTCTTACAAGTGGCTTTAGAACCTATTTAGAGATCAAACTGTAATAAGATTGCATGGTAACTTTTCTTGAGTTTGTATTATGATAGTGGAGAAGAAAATATATACATTTTACTAGGGTAGATTGTGCTTTATTTTTATTAAAAGGACAACTTGGCTGTCCTGTCCTGCAATAATGATTGCACTTGACAAGATTGATCTAATCTCTGAATCTTGTTAATCTCTTAACTGCTATCTTTTCATTACCTTTCTTGGGGAAATAATGACTTGTCTTATTGTTAGATCTGCAGAGATTGCCCCATAGCTCTTGGACAGAGGTGGGATATGCTTTCTGTAAGTCTTGAAGTATTATAGCCACCATAAGAATTCCTGCTTAAATGATGCAGTTTCCTAACATTATGTATGACCAAGTTAAATATGTAAATTGGGGTTATATTTTGGCCGGTTCCTATATAAAGATAAGTGAAGAAGCATAAGTCTTTTCTGAGTTTATAGGTTACTTTAACTAAAATGACCATATTTTTGAGAAATTGACAAGATTTGAGTACCCTGCCTTTTTCCCTCCATGGAATGGAAATGATTCAGAGTAGGACCTAGAATGTAAAACTGGCATCTCACTTTATTATTAGTGCTGCTTAGCAAGTATCCTGCAGTGCACTACCCCTTATGGTAATCATTTCACTTTACCCTTTCAGCCCCACTCCCAAACCTGCCACTCATAGTGTTTGATGATGACGTACAGCCAATTCCGCACATAAATTAAGCTGGAATAAGCTGAGCTCATAGGTACTCCCAAACTATATTCAAATCTCAGCTCAGCAGTTTGTTATTCATGTTTCTCATGCTTGCTTCATCTTACTGAAATATAAAACAGTACTGTCATTAACCACTTGTGGAATGGGAATGTAACATGCTCTTAACTGTATGGCTTCTTGTCTGATGCATGTATGCTTGTATTCATTCACATGTTGTAAAAACAGTGGGTTCCTTGGAGTCTCAAATAGTTCATCGTGTGCATATATAGGGAAAAGTGTGTCAATGAAGGGAAAAGTTAAGATGATGGATAGCCAGAAAATTACTAATAGCTGTGCCTTAAAACTTGTGTGTCCTACTTAGGCAGATTTTATTTAAAGAAAGGGAGGTACTTTATGAAAATAATGGAAACCTTTCCTCTAGCGCTCTCACTATTTTGGAGAATTTTAAATACTTCTTTCAGTTAGTCATGCAATAAATATTCTGGAAAGTCTTTCCTCATAGAGCATATGCAAGTCTTTAAAAAGTAAAGTGGAATTTCTCAATGAACAGTTTAACAAAATACAGGATTTGAATGTTCCTGAAGATTATGATATGCTTGGGGGTCGGGGGAGGCTTAATATCTAATCTACTAATCTAGGACAGTTCGGTCTTTTAACTAATTCCTCTTATTTGAACATACTTTCACTAGCATTAAGAATGATTATTTCAGATATACGGATTTTCTCTTGATCTGTTACAAGTAATTCCTCAAAACAAAGATAGAAAGTTTGGACTTTTAGCTATTCTATTGAACTAAAGTGGCTTATTTTTTGGCTTTCAGAATGCAGTTGGCTAGATATTTTTATATTGAGACTCAAGATGTCACAGAGCACTTACAATGCCCCGGCTTCTAGAGTAATCCATTTACTCATTGGAGCTTGAAAGTTGGGAGTTTTTGGTGCACTTGAGTGCTTTGTATAATTTTCATATTTGTTAAAGCTAAAATAACTATGCAGGTATTGCAGGGTCCAGTGTGAGAAGTTCCACCACAGAGATTGCAAACCGACCAGCAATATATTTCTAGGCATTTTTGCTAGTGGGCCCCTTGAACAACCACAGGATTAGAATTCTCAGTGAGGTGGAGAGGGTAAAAGACATATGTTTCATTTATGCTTGAGAAACTGTAGGGAGGAAGGACATTCTATAAAAGCTCCCAGAGCTGCTCACTACCTAACCTGGAGTGGTTGCTAGGTTCAGTTTGATTTACTCCTTACAAGTTACTTAGAATTTATTTGCAGTCAACCACCATCCCCACCATCAGCCCTCCCTCTCATTGCCTCCTCTCCAGCCTTCACTAGAGAGTATTCCTGGATATTGGTCTAAAAACAAAAATAATAGCCTTGATGATTTGATTAAATACTTCTCATGGGTTTAGCCTGTATTTGATGATAAATGCCTTGTATCTATTGAGACTTCCCAAAGACTCTGCTTATTCTCCATTATATCTGACCTTAAAGTATTCAGCTTGGCATTTAGTCAGATACTGTATTTTCAAAGAAGACTACTTGAGGATGAGGACTTGAGACTTATTTTCTTAGTGTCTCTCCTACCTTCTCCTCCTCTAGCAAGGCAGCAGAGTAGATGCAGTGATTGTCTTTTGGTAAAAAACATTTTGTGTCTTATGTTATTTCATTGTTCTTATTTTACTTTATTTTAGGTCCAGGGGCAGCCATTAATGGTACAAGTCAGTGGAGGCCAGTTAATCACATCAACTGGCCAACCCATCATGGTCCAGGCTGTTCCTGGTGGACAAGGTCAAACCATCATGCAAGTACCTGTATCTGGGACACAGGGTTTGCAGCAGGTGAGTGGTATTTTTAAAAATGTTTAGACAGAATAATAGGATACAGGTTTTAAGAAATAGGTTGTTGCAAACTGAAAATTGATATTGCACTTAATTGTTTCTTACCTTCTGTTCGCATTTAGTCGATTTCCCACCTTTGTAGTGTCAGTGATATAAAGCAGGGCTATACAGAAATTGGACATCTCTGGTAAGGACTAAGATACTAGACGTGATCTCAAATCAATGTAAAGAATATAAAAAGAATCTAGTTTAATAAAATAATTCATTGGTGTGATCTCAGTTGGCACTTCTGGGCACTGGGGGAGGGAATTCTATAGTCTTCATTTCCTTCCATGTAATTTATAACTTGAGTTATCTAGGAAGTGATGGAAATATTTCAGTTCAGACCTGTCGCACACACCTCAAGCTGTACTTAGAGCAAAATTTATAAACTTAAATATTTTAAAAGAACTGCAAATAAACAATGGTATTTCTCTTAGAAAGTTAGGAAAAGAACAAAATGAGCAAAAGATTGGTTAAAATTAATGAAGTAGAAAACCAACAAATGTAGAAAAGTAAATAAAAGCTGATTCCTTAAACAGACATATAGTTAGGTAAATCCACTGGAAAGACTGATTCGGAAACAGAAAACAAAAGTAAACAGGACACACAACTCTGTGGCATAAAATTTTTAGAGGGATTTTTATCTTGCTGGCAAAAATTTTAAACAGTAATTATATCCAGTGCTAGAATGGGTGTGAAGAAAATGAAACACTCATTACTTTTGGTAATTTTCAAATTCTAAAGTCATTTTGGAAAGGTATCTCACTCTTAAATACATAAGCCTTTTGATCTACCTGTCCTGCTTCTGAGAATCTATTCTATAGGAACAAAATCATCAATATGTAGGGAAAAATATACAAAGACATTTGTACATGCAGCATTCTACTAGCAAAAAAATAAATAAAAAATTGTAGCCTGAGTGTCTGTTAATAAGGATAAAGAAATGGTTGAATACATCATACTATATTCATATGGAGTGTTATGTCCTTGTTAAAAAGGATGAACTGTTGACTTTGGGTGAGGGGTTAATATTGAAGTATTGTTAGTGAGAAATAATTTTCAGAGAAGTATATACTTAAGTCATCTCACCTTTGTAATTAATAGCTAAATCCCAATGAGTATATATGTTTATGAACTTTTTACTAAAATTTTCTAAAGCTGTTTATATCTTTAATTTGTTTTAACAGTTACAATTATTTCATTAATGTCTTCATTTTTCTGGAGGAATGTAATATAAGTTGAAAAAATTTGGCTATGCTTGATAAATCAAACTTTTAAGTTTTGCATATTCCCTTGTAGTCTTGTGCACACCTTTCAGACATAGTTATACACATGCATATAGTTTTCATTGTTGTGTGTTTGGTGTTTTTGTTTGTTTTACTTTGCTTTTTTTTATCCCCCACATGATTTTCTTATCATTTTTAATTCCTTCATAATGGTCAATTTGATGAATCAGAATTTCTAATTTACAAAGTGTATTTAGGGATTTTTGTTTTATTTTTCTTTTTTTGCTTTTATAGGTAAGATTACTATAAATGTATTTGAATTTTATAGCTTTATTTTTTCAGTTGAATTTAATCTTATGGTAATTTCTTTGGATTGGAAGAATTGGTTGGGCAAAGGGTAAGATCATTTTTAAGGCTATTGGCATATTTTTGCCAAGATAGAGTTTTAGTTAGGATTAAAAATAGTTTCCATGTTTCTCCATGCATAAATGTGTGAGCCTTTAAATATATTTTAGTGTGTGTACTTGCCTCAGTTTCACACTGCTGTTTCATTTCTGTCCTTGCTGTCATTGCCTCGTCTCCAACCCCCCCCTTGCCACTCCCTCTTCTCTGTTGAATAGAAATAGGGTGATTCAGTGCTAGGAACATTGTACCACGAGTGCGATGACCTGACTTCATTCACAGGTCTGCCATTAAACAAACTTTCTGATCTTGGCCAAGTCATTTGAGTGTTTTCTCATTTGAAAATGCAGTTTATATCAGGTGATTACTAGGGTTCATTTCAGCTCTAAATTCTGTGATTTTTCAGCTCTAAATTTTGGGATTTTTTTTTGGCCTTTAAGAGACATTGAAATGGTTATTTTATTCCCCTCCCTCCAAGCAGGACTGTAACTAATCAAACCATCTTGGAAAATTTATTTTCTGTTAATGTTATATAATATGGCTCTAGGTAAGATCCCATAGCCTCCCTTAGAATGCTTAAAATTTCGATCCATTTTTATTAGAGGTTGCTTTAGTGTTTTTTGAATAACCGTGTCTTTTAGAAGTGTACTTAACCTTTTTTTTGGATTGCATCTTCTGTTTTAGGATTCCAGTGAAATCTATGCTGTCAGATTAATATCCCTGGCTTGATATAGACAATGGAACTAAAGTAGAGAGCCAAAAAATAGATGCAAGAATATTGGAAATTGGTATATAACAAAAATAGTATAAAGTATCAGTGAAGAAATGGTTTAAGAATGATATCAAAAAAGAAAATTATTCTCTACCTCATGCTATATCAAAACTACTTGCTAGATAGATTACAAATCTAAATGGAAAAAAGCATACTTGGAAACATTTATATTCTCTTTACAGGAATATTTTCTTTATGCTGTGGGGTAGAGAAGGATTTCTTCAAGACAAAAAAAAATTGATAGACTACTTTAAAATAAAAACTTGTATACATCAAAATATATCATAAAACAAAGGTAGAAGACAAAATTTGGAGAAGGTATTTTTAACACTTAACTGGGTTCGTATCCAGAATACATTAAAAAAAAATTTTATGTATTAATATGAAAATAACAATCCAGTAGAAAAATGGGCAAAGAATATGAATAGATAGAAGAGGAAACCCTATTGACCAGTAACACGTATTCCTTGCTATCCAAAACAGGTAGAAAAAGATCCAGATAACCAGATACATTTCTTTGTTTATTTACCAACACTTTCTAATTTAATTTGTTAAATCTCAGTGTTGACTGCAGGGATGTCTGATATGATAGTCTCAACCTTTCTGTACAAAATCTTTTAAGGATTTTGTATATGCATATTTATAGAATCCCAGTTGGAAAAATTAGGAATTATTTAATTTTTTTTCAATATGTTATTATAAAAAACTTCAAACAGACAAAAACAAAGAGAATGGTATGGTGAATCTTCATCACCCATTTTAACACACAAACTAGTATTATGTTTAAGTAAATCCATTTTCATCTGTATTCCCCTACTCAAGGGTTATTTTGAATATATGTAGTACCATTTCATCTATTAAAAATATGGTATATTAGGTATATTTAGGGTATATTTTTAAATGAACATGCTTTTAAAAATATATACACATGCCAGCCTATCATCGTTTTAAAAACTGACATTGATTCCTTAATATCATCCAATATCTAGACAGTGTTCAAAATTCCCCCATTGTTTCATAAATGGAAAACAAGTTATCTCTAATTCATAATAGAGCAAAACAGGACTTCTTTTTTTTCCTCTTTAGGGCATTCCCTGCCTTCTAGAGGAATTTGGGTAACTAACACTCCAGAACCATAGGAGGCCAGTGTCAGCAGGATACCAATCTTTTATGTTCTGTTCCGCAGATACAGTTGGTCCCACCTGGACAGATCCAGATCCAGGGTGGGCAGGCTGTGCAGGTACAGGGCCAGCAGGGCCAGACCCAGCAGATCATCATCCAGCAGCCCCAGACAGCCGTCACTGCTGGCCAGACGCAGGTAATTCCACTGTCCACTGTGTCAACACCGGAGCACAGCTGCTTTGGGAGGGTTAGACAACTGAGTCAGATATTTCACATGTAGAAATGGGGACAAAAACCATCCAAAATTTTTCTTTTTCTTAAAAAGGACTACATAGTCCTTTTCTTTGTGGTGTCTTTGGAATCCGTTCAATTGTGGCATTATTTATTTCCTACAGACGCAACAGCAGATTGCTGTCCAGGGGCAGCAAGTGGCACAGACTGCCGAGGGGCAGACCATCGTCTATCAGCCAGTTAACGCAGATGGCACCATTCTCCAGCAAGGTACGTGCGCCCGTCATTTCTGTGGCACTTTGGGGGCATCCTTTTTATCCTGAGCAAATGACTGCTTTCGAAATTTTGTGGTGACCTCTATACGACCTATTTTTGAAAAACAACAAAATTTCCTCTAAGTCTCCGTTGATTGTTAGTTCCTTGCCACCAATATGCGACCAATGTTGATTCCATTTGTAGAACTACAGTGGTTGTTAAAGACAACCACTAGGACCCTACGGATCATATAAGCTTTTTATTCTTTCTGGGGAGAAATGTTTTCTAAATAGAAGGTTAGAAATACGGAGTTTCTTTAGTGGTAGAGACATACATCATAAGTCAAGTTGGCATTTATTGCTCTTGCTGCTTTCCTTTTTTTTCTGGGCCACTCTTCATTATTAATTTATTCCAAGAAGACTTATATGCCCACTGTGTATATGTAGCACATTACTAAAGTAGTTTTCTTCTCAAAGACCCTCTAGTCTAGTAAGTGAGACATGCATGTGACCAAATAAACACAGTGCATAGCCCTTATTAGAGGTATGTATTCTATGACTAAAGGTTTGACCTGTGATTAAAATTTGGCAGTATACAAGATCCAGTGAGTGCAGTAAGCGTGCTCTCCCATGACTCGGGCCTGAACTGGCAGGAGCTCAGAGAATGATGAACAAATTCTCAAGTGCTGCTGTTGATAGCTTGGGGGCTTGGAGTACCTGGTTTAATTGGAAGTTTTAGTCCTGCAGCTGTTTGACTCATTGTCAATTTAGGGTAGACAAATTAAAAGTTTATAAAAATCTTCATCCTGAAGCAGGTTATTCATATATATAAGAATGGTTGATATAGCTGGAGTCATACTGACCCATAGAAAGGGAAGCCTCCAAACTTTTTGGTCACCCGCTGAAAACTATTATTGGAATACCCAGTGAATTATCCATTTCAAGGGTAGTTTTATTCACAACTGGAACCCAGATAGTTAATAGAATTTCTAAGATTGTGATTACTTGGATTATATACAGCAAACCAGGGAGAGAATGGAGGAGAGCTTTTTCTCCCCTTGTGCTATCGAGTATGTTTTTCCAGGGTGAATAAGCGTGTGCCACATGGAAGAGGGACTAACTGTGTTCCCTCCTTTCTGTGTACCTGTTTTTTGTTTGTTTTATGTTTTATTTTCTTAAAGTTACAGTCCCTGTTTCAGGCATGATCACCATCCCTGCAGCCAGTTTGGCAGGAGCACAGATTGTTCAGACCGGAGCCAATACCAACACAACCAGCAGTGGGCAAGGGACTGTCACTGTGACACTACCAGTGGCAGGCAATGTGGTCAATTCAGGAGGGATGGTCATGGTAAGAAAATTGATTTTTCATTTCACTGTTCTCACCTGTAATTTGTTGTTCCGTGTATCTTTGTCTTTGAAAATTTCTTCAACTTGCAATTTGATATCTCTCATAAAGCTTGTTTATAATGCTGACCTCTTGGGATTGCAATTAATCCCTTAAGATACTTACAGAGATCTACTTTTACAATAAACATTACAACAAACCATAATTCATTCTGGGCACCTACTATGTGCCAGAGACTATTCTAGGTGCTAGAGATATAGCAGAAGATAAACAGATGTATTTGCTTTTCTGTAATCGTATTCATAATTCAAATAATGAAGGGAGATACAAACTACTGATCTTCGGGAAGTGGAAAGTATATTGCCCAGAGTGGGTAAAACAAGAAGTAAGTTCAAAATTAGAAAGATTGTAATCAATAGAGAGACCAAAAACTGTGATGTAAATATATTGGGAAGATAGGGAAGGAGAGTTGGGTGGTGTGAGTGAAAGCTAAATCCTCATATATGTCAAAATAGGGTGTCAGTATACAGTACCTAAAATGGATAAATTAAGAATGAGAGTAGAAACCTGCACAGAAGTAGAGGAACTTCCAGAGAAAACAATACAACCATTCAAAGTTGTTATAGTTGGGAAGGTAGTGGGGCACGGGAGCCCATTACTTGTTTCCTCATACATTTAGTACAGTGTTCTGTTTTTGTTTGTTTAGGAAAATATGGGTTGAATTATATAGTAAGTTAACAATTTAATTAAATTATTTATATAACTAAAAGCATTTAGTAGCACTTGGTCAATCTGAACCTATGTTCCTCTGTGTTTTCCTTGTGCTCTTCTATTGCCTTACGATTACCGTTCATGACCATTAGATGGCAGCAGACATTCCTAGAAAATGGAGCAGTTGTGTGGACAAAAATTTGGACATGGTTGTGTCATTTCTCAGTATGGCTCCTTGGCCCCTATTACAGAATCATCTGGAATGTTTGTTGAAAATGTAGGCCTTCATCATCAAAAAATCTACAAACAATAAATGCTGGATGGGGTGTAGAGAAAAGGGAACCCTCTTGCACTATTGGTGGGAATGTAAATTGGTACAGCCACTATGGAGAATAGTATGGAGGTTCCTTAAAAAACTAAAAATAGAACTACCATATGACCCAGCAGTCCCACTACTGGGCATATACCCTGAGAAAACCATAATTCAAAAAAGAGTCATGTACCACAATGTTGATTGCAGCTCTATTTATAATAGCTAGGACATGGAAGCAACCTAACTGGCCATCAACAGATGAATGGATAAAGAAGATGTGGCACATATATACAATGGAATATTACTCAGCCATAAAAGGAAACGAAATTGAGTCATTTGTAGTGAGGTGGATGGACCTAGAGTCTGTCATACAGAGTGAAGTAAGTCAGAAAGAGAAAAACAAATACTGTATGCTAACACATATATATGGAATCTAAGAGAGAAAAAAAAAGGTCATGAAGAACCTAGGGGTAAGACGGGAATAAAGACACAGACCTACTAGAGCATGGACTTGAGGATGTGGGGAGGGGGAAGGGTAAGCTGTGACAAAGTGAGAGAGTGGCACGGACATATATACACTACCAAACGTAAAATAGATAGCTAGTGGGAAGTAGCCGCATAGCACAGGGAGATCAGCTAGGTGGCTTGTGACCACCTAGACGGGTGGGAGGGAGGGAGACGCAAGAGGGAACAGATAGGGGAACATGTATATGTATAACTGATTCACTTTGTTATAAAGCAGAAACTAACACACCATTGTAAAGCAATTATACTCCAATAAAGATGTTAAAAAAAAATACCATATGTTAACACATATATATGGAATCTAAAAAAAAAAGGTCATGAACCTAGGGGAAGGACGGGAATAAAGATGCAGACCTACTAGAGAATGGACTTGCGGACGTGGGGAGGGGGAAGGGTAAGCTGAGACGAAGTGAGAGAGTGGCATGTACATACATACACTACCAAATGTAAACCGATAGCCAGTGGGAAGCAGCTGCATAGCACAGGGAGATAAGCTCGGTGCTTTGTGACCACCTAGAGGGGTGGGATAGGGAGGGTGGGAGGGAGATGCAAGAGGGAAGAGATATGGGGATATATGTATATGTATAGCTGATTCACTTTGTTATAAAGCAGAAACTAACACCATTATAAAGCAATTTTACTCCAATAAAGATGTTAAAAAAAATAAAATGCAGGCCTTTGGTGTAAATGTTCTCCAAGAATCTGCATTTAACTAAGTGTCCTATAAAAGCTGCTTTTTGTAGCATTCAGAAGAAAACTAACAGGGACCAATAAACTGTCTCCCATGTCCATACTTCATGTCACTATTTAATAAGCTCTGATTTTCTTTTCACACAGATGGTACCTGGTGCTGGCTCTGTGCCTGCTATCCAGAGAATCCCTCTCCCTGGGGCAGAGATGCTTGAAGAAGAGCCTCTCTATGTGAATGCCAAACAGTACCACCGTATACTTAAGAGGAGGCAAGCCCGGGCTAAATTAGAGGCAGAAGGGAAAATTCCAAAGGAAAGAAGGGTATGTATAGCACTGGGAAGGATACAGGATGAGAGCGGCAGGCTTCTACTTTTGAAATTACCTTTTATGTAGTTTGTTTCCTTGAATACCTTCCAAACATTGAAGTTAGATAGCTGTTACCTTTTGTAAAAGCATTTATTATTGCTATATGGAGCTGCAACTGCAATATTTAAAAAATATGACATAAATAGGGTGTTTTTTTTATCTTACATAAAAGAAGTCCAGAGATAAATTGTCTTGGGCTGTGGTAGCACATTTCCAGTCCTCAAGACCCATTCTCCTCCTTTCTTACTGTCCTGATATTCTTAGTTTGCTGTCCATAGTCCAAGATGACTGTCTGGGCTCTAGCCTCGGAGCAAAGGGAATAAGAAAGGGATTCTTTCAAGGAAACATTCAAGAAGTTCCATACATCTCACTAGCCAAAATTTAATTACATGGCCACACTTAACTGCAAATAAGTATAGGAAATGCAGTCTTTTTACTGAGCAGCCAACTAAAATTTGGTTTGTTATTAAAGTGAAAGAGAGGATATATATTGGGAGGTAGGTAGTGATCTCTCTTATATCTTTGGGGAATCTTTATTTAGTTATTACTCATTTGGCATTTACATTCTTATGACAGTTAGATATGGTTAGCTGCTGTTTATGTTTTCTCCAAAGATTTCTCCATAATACAGGGTCATAATTGCCCCCGGTGGCTTTGATCACAGCTGTCCTAAACTTTTGAGCATTAGACAGCTATGCTAGTTTCAGCTAGTAGTTTTATTTTTCTTATTTTAGAAATACCTGCATGAGTCTCGGCACCGTCATGCCATGGCACGGAAGCGTGGTGAAGGTGGACGATTTTTCTCTCCAAAGGAAAAAGATAGTCCCCATATGCAGGTAAGAAGATCTATACCATTTATTCTTCTCTTTACTGCCTTGTATTTTCTTGGGTGGAAGCCTTCGCATTGTCCTCCTGAGATTTTCAAACTAGGGGCTCATCAGTCTCTAAACTAGATGCGACATTGTGTGCCTTAGAGCCCTTCTCACCTTAAAAGAACTAAGGTCTTTAATCAGTGGCCTTTTTTCCTTCCAGTCTTTGCCAGTTATTACTATTAATTCCTTCCTGAAATTCTCACCTTTCTTGATTTTCAAAGAACAGGTTTGTTTCTTAGTGTAGCAGTAGCAGCAGCTAACACTTAACTGCTATGTGCCAGCCATTACGTTAAGCGCTTTTCTTTTGTAAGCATTTTTTTCACTGAATCTTTACAACAAGCTCAAGCCCCATGAGGTAAGAATTATAGTTTCCATTTGAATCTGAGGTTTAGAAGGGTTAAGTCATTTGCCTAAGGTAAAATATTTAATAAAATGGTGCGACTGAAATTCATACCTAGGCAGTGTAATTCCAGAACTTAGTCTGTAACCATACTGGTTCTTACATCTAATTTCACTGATTGTATCTTATTGGCATTTCTAGTCAATGTGTCCAAAATAGAACTGTTGGTTTTTATTTTATTTTTTTATGACTAAACCAGACACTCATCTCAACAAGTGACATGTCCATTCACCCAGTTATTAAAGCTACAGTTGTCCAATTCTTGAAGTCCTCTTGGTTTTAACTCTAAAATACACTCTGAATCAGCTTACTTTTTTCCCTCGTAACTGCTGTCAGCCTGGTCTAACCTGCTCTTCTTTGCTTCGGTTACAGCAGCTGCCTAGTCTCCCTTCTTCCCCTCTTGTGCCCCTCTAGTTCACTCTCCACATCTTAGTGTGATCTTTCTAAACGTGTATCATATCACATCACCATCCTGCTCAAATCCCTTCTACTCCCACCCTTTTCCATTTGCACTTAGACTAAAATACAGAGTTCTCACCATGGCCAGGAAGGCCCTGCATGATCTCGCTCCTGCCCACTTCTGGCTTTGTTTCCTCCTGCTGCTTGGTCTTTATGCTCTTGTTACAGTGTTCAGGAACCTTTGTCTTCAAAATAGTAGCTGGTCTGTAAAGCTTTTCATGCCATCCTTTTGCTTGGCTATCTCCTTCTTTTAGGTCTTGGTTTAAATCTGAGAGGCCATATCCAGAGGTCTCTTCTACCCCATTATTTTCTCACATCTTCCTTTTCTTTTGAGTGCACTATTGATAATAATCATATTGTTTTATTTGTGTGATCGTGCAGTAGTTGTCTCCTTCACTAGACTGTAAGCTGTGTAGAAAGTCAAGGATTGTTGTTCTCGATTGTACTTAGCATGATGCCCATTTAAGAACAAGCACTCAGTAAATGTTTGTTGAATTAATGGGTTCCTCCCGTTTACTGATGCTTTATTCTGTATACCCATCACATCCCACCTGCACTACTGTCAAATCTGTCTTTATAAGATGGTGCTTTCTTAATCATGTCAGTCCCGTGCTCAAGGATGCATGCTAGTTGCTCATTGCTTTCTGCAGCAGATCTCAAACTATTTCTGTAAGTTACTCAGCCTCACTTTCTTCACCAGTAAAGTGGGATGCTGTTGATACTTTATAGGAATGTTGGGATTTCATGCAGTAAGTCGCATTAGGCACCTGTTTAGCACAGTGCTTAGCGCATGGTGAGAGCTCAGTAGAGGCTGGGTATTGTTCATGCTCACTGATCAAGACCCAGCCTCTGGTCCTACCACCTCCAGAAATGTTTCAGCTTTTTCTTGGATCACACCAGTTGAGGCTTCAGAGTGTTGGTATGGAGGAACTGAAGGTGGTTATTGTGGAGTGTTGCAAAAAGCTTCCAAGGACTGATCCCCTCCCCCCTTTTTTTGCCACACTGCACGGCTTACAGGATCTTAGTTCCCCGACCAGGGATTGAACCCAGGCCATGGCAGTGAAAGCGCCAGATCCTAGCCACTGGACCACCAGGGAACTCCCAAGGGCTGTTCCTTGTCTGAACACTGCAGGTTTTTTGTAAAAGGCAGGCAGTAGGCAGAGTTTAATGGAAAGAAGATTAAATCGGAGCCGAGAGATTTGGGAGTTAGCTCTTGCTGGGCCCCTCACTAACTTTTTGACTCTAGTCCAGGCAAATCACTTCACCCATCCAGGCTTCAGGTTTATCTACAAAATGAGTGCATTAAAGTAAATTCCAGCGTCCTTTCCAGCCCTGCTAAGTGCTCAGTATTTAAATATGATGATCAGAAAATATACAACATGACTTGGTTTCTCTGGGTCTTTTTCTTAGCCGCCTAAGGACCCTTAATCCTTAAGCATAGAGCACAGCATAGGTGCTTAGAAAAGAGAGATACTCTCAACTCTGGAGTGTTTATTAATGGAATGCCAGGCCAGACTTGGAATCTTTTTAAGAATAAGGTGTATTGTCTCTTCTTTGCTAATGGAGCTGCGTTTCAATCCGTGTGTGCAGACTTAGATACATCACAAGCCTTTGGTTTACTTAGCTTGTGTGTTCCCCTTGGTGATAAGTAGTGAGAGCCATGAGTTCCCAGTTCTTTTGCAAAGGACTTTAATTGTTATGCTTTCTTTGTAGGATCCAAATCAAGCAGATGAAGAGGCTATGACACAAATCATCCGAGTGTCCTAACCCCAGGCCATGCGATGGAACTGATCAAGGTCATGTTCCTGCACTGTTTCCCACTGTTCCAAGGAAACTGATCACCTCTTCCAATGGGACACTGACGATTACATTCTGCCCTTTTCTACAGGACAGAAACCACTTAGTTTTTAATAAGTGGCTTAGTATTATAATTGCAAGGATGTCTGGCAAATTGAAGTTGCAAGCCTTTGACTCACCCTTTCAGTCAGGACTTATTTCAGACTGTTGGTGACATTGACATTTCATGGATTGGGATGATGCAGGGGACCCATACCAGCCCAGCAGTACCACACCTAGCACTTAATGTTGACTGGTAATGCCAGCCAGCCATCTCAGCAGAGGAGAACGACCTTCTCAACCTAAACTGCAGTCAGGGAAGCTGCAGCCCACTCCTTCCCATGGATTCCAAACAGCACCCATCCCTCTGATGGGGGATCTCAGGCTGACTAATGGACACTTTGTATTCAGAGATGGTTTCCAGGCAAGGAAGCTTCATCTCATGATATGGAAACAATAAATTCTCTGAGATACATTCATCTAATCTGTGGTAATAATAAGAATCCCTCCTACCCAGATGATAGGTTGGTATTTTTGGACTCCAGCCAAGAAGAAGCTAACTCTGGGGATAGACTGATAAAAGACTCAAGCACTAAAAATATAGCTGAATCTCTTAGCTTTGACAAGTTGTGGTCTGCTTGTCTGTCGACAGGTCATATGGACTGTAGTTCTTGCTGTGGTTACTTTTAAGACAATTTAGAGTGTGCTGGGCCTTGACACTGCCTTTCCTAAGTAGAGAACAAAATTATAGAACTTCTGTGCCGAAGTGCTGAGGACATTTGTAGTAACTCCTTAACAGAGCAGAGCTAGAGATTTTCAATCACAGGCTTTGTGACAACATTTGGGGAATAGAAAGGTTCATGTTTGTTTCAGTCTAGAAGGACAAAGGGTGGTATATATACTCTCATGTTGTCATAGCACGATTCACCAGTGGATGGATACCTGGGATGGATCATTAAGATGAAGAGAATAATTTACATTTATACTATAACCTTTTAACAAGCATGGAAAGGGAAAAGTCTGAGATTTGGTCCTTGACAATTTCTGGAAAGCACTGTTCAATCAAGCTATCCTGGACATAGTCCAGGTTTGCCTACTAGAGCTTGAGATGTATGTTGGCTTCACTCCTGCGCTTTGTGCTGGCCCTGGAGAGCGAACATTCTCATTCTTCCCATGGCAGCTGATTCTTTGGTGCCAGTTTCCGTTTGTTTCCCCTTTTCTCCGTAGGCATTGTGCGGAAAGGTTTTCACATTGCATCCATGTTCTGGGGATAAACTGTGGACTGGAAATAGAGATTCCTGCAGGGTCAGGAACAGGACCACAACTCCCAGAGTGGGTTGTGCCTCAGTAATCTGTTTCTTTTCTAAACGTGGAACCCTGGGAGAACTAAGATGATATTTCAGAAGAGTTGCTGTTTTCTTGGAAACAAAGAAGGAAAACAATCCTTTTGAAGAACATTTGGGTTTGATTTAAATACCAAGAGTAGAGATTGGCTCTTTCTTTGATTTCACTCTAGCTGTATTAAGAAGGAAAAGAAATTAAACCCTCTAAAGAAAACATCACAAAGGGAAATCACTGTAGAGGTACAGAGCTATGCAAAGAAAGCAGGAAGTGAAGTATCTCCCTAGTCCCTTGAATCTAGTCATCTGTCCTGGCTTGCGGATGTTAGGCAGGGTTGACCTGTGGGCTCACTAGAAACTTCTGGCTCTTTATGTGAGTTTCAGGTGTTAACTTTATTCAGTAAGCCCCAAGTTCTTCAGATGATAGATTACTAAAAACAATGAAGAGTTTATATCCTTTGGTTTGTTTAGGAACCTTCAAGATGCAGAGTTCAGAAATTCCTCAGACCTAATTTCTAGTACTTAAGCCAACAACAGTTCTAAAATGCTATTTATTTGTGTCTGTAAGTTTGTACATAGTAATACCAACCTCATATTGTTGCGGATTTTTTTTTTCACGAGTTTGAGTTTGGTTTTATTTGAAATGCTTCAGTTGTCATTTTGTCATTGCCATTTCAGGTAGCTCATGGCCCTTTTATTGTGGTCATTTTAGCACATAATAACCCACAAAGTGGGGGTGAGGTTTGGATTTTTTTGTTACTAGAAGTTCTTTTATTCATTTGTCCTTGTGACTAGTGATGGCTTCATAGATGCAAAAAGAGTGAATGGATGAGTGAATAACTGGTTTAATGCATAGTTCACTTCTTGAGTGCTTTTTTTCGCAGGATAATTGTAAATATATATTTTAATTGCACTGGTACATTGAACATGTCAGTGTCTATACCACTGGACCAACAGCATTTTTCTGGCTAATGGGTGTCTGATAATAATGTCTTGATTTTCCTTTGGGACTCAACTATACAGAAGGTTTTTTCCCTCAGCTGTCGGGGGAGCACAGGTGATTGATCATTGATGTCATTTCAATTGTTATTTTTAAAAATAAATTTATAAAATGCTTTAAAAGTGTCTTGAATTTTGAGGAGTCTACATCCCCTGGGTTCTGGGTTGTGTTTATAATGCTGATATTGTGAACTCTGTAAACACGCATGTAAGCTCTGTGGACAGTGTGTCAAACTTGAGAGTGTCCAGCCTTTCAGCTGTGTCTCCCCTTGATCTCTCTTCCTTCCCTTTTGGCCCTCCCACCCTACTGAGGAAATATTTTCTGTCGCCTGTGGACTGATGATACATTTGGTCTTCCCACTGTAAGTGTTCTTGAAAACACGATGATTAATTCCATGAGTAAAATTAGCCCTTCAGTTACCAACAAAACAGCATTGTTATATGATATATTGTAGAACTAAGAACAGTAAAGATGTAATTTTTAGATTTATTTATGCAGAAAAACATAGATGCATTTCTGATTGTTAAAAATCCACAACACGCTCGTCCTTTTATTGCTCTGTGTTCACCAATCTGAGCCACAGACCGGCAGCCTCAAATGGGCCATTACCACACGGAAGTGTGAGAAAAAGGGCTCAGGGGGAGTACTCCCATGAGACCAAATGACCTGTCCTGGCAGACAACAGAAGTGGAATAAGTTCCCTAACAAGGAAAAAGACTTCCTGTGTTAAACGGCCTTAGTCTAACGGTGTTAAATTTAAAAACCATCCTGAGTTTGCTTTAGTCAGATGCCAATGGAACTTGTCCTTAGAAACTAATACGAGGAAAAGACCACCCTATTGATATTTATCCCAGATAATCAGTTTTATCGTAAAAGCAGCTTCACGTTTGAAAAAGATTTTAAAACGTCACGCTTTGCTCCTTCGAACGCGCCGCCCTGCCCTCGTTCCGCCCCTCCGCCCCCGGCATCCAGAGCAAGCGCAAAAGCTTTGAAAACAGGTGGGCGGGGCCCCAAGGAAGCCCGCACTGATTGGTTGGCGGGAGGGACCCGTCAGGGCCGTCGTTGCGGATTGGCTACTACGCGGAGAAACGCTGTTACAGGTCGTTCGGCGAAAAATTTCGCCGCTGCCGTCGCCGCTATGGCGACGGGCAAGGGTGTGGCGACGCCGCCTCTGTGGCCAGTAGAGGCCCGGCTGGCGGCGCTGCTTCCAGACCTGCTGGTCTTCAGAAAGCCCCGGGGATCGGAATACGAGCTTGCCACGGCCCAGGGCGTCCTCCTTGGCGTCCACGTGACGGGTGAGGGCGAGGGGAGGTGCGTCGCTCCGCCGACCTGCCAGAGGGTTGGCCGTTGAGCCACAGCTGGTAGAGGCCGCGGCGGTTACGGGCCTGGCCCCGGGGCTAGCTAAAGGCACGGTTTCATTGCACTTTCGCCGCCGCCGCCGGAACCTGAGAGTCATTTTCCGAGCAGGAGGACGCCGTTTCGGACGACCTGTCGTAGCCCTGGAGTTCACTTCAGCGATGATGAAATTGAGACTCAGAAAGGGGAAAGGGCTTTTTCGGGGCCATATGGCAGGCTTTGGACCCAAGTTTTTCCCCAGTCCCGAGCATTTTCCAATAAGCATTCTGCTTCATCCAATGATTTTGTTTAGTTATTTCCTTCTTTGGGCCCATAAGTAGGTGCCCGCCATTGTTCTAGGAGTTGAGACCTAGCAGCTACTATGAGAGTCGTTCCTTTAACAGGTATTTGTGGAGTTTATGTGTCACGGATATGAAGATGAGTGATTCGGGTGCCTGTCCTCGGAGGAGCTCACCATATGAGTTCTCCACAAAGCTTTCATCCATTCTCCTTGTCAGTGGTTTCTCTATCCCTCACGTGGGTGGGGAGAGGGGAATCCTACAAGTTCCCTTAGCCAGGGAGCCTTAAGAGAGTATGATGGGAAAGCAGTAGTAGCTGGATTCCAATGAAAAGGGCACTTGTGGGTGAATCTGCCGCTTCTAGAAACATGGGGAGGGTAGCCCTCTGGACTCCCAGAGGCAGCAGCAGCCAGCCTGGCCCTGAGTACTTGCTAAGTAACACCCTGTTAAAGGATAATGAAATTACTCATCTTGAAAAGATCTGCTTCTGTTCCACTGGCCTGATGTGTGGAGGGAATAGAGCCTCAAAGTTTAGGATTTGCAGCTAACATAGTAATTTTTTCTTTGTTGGTCAGGGTTTACAGCATTAATGGACAGGTTCAGCCTGAGCTGCAAGTCGGAACATGACATGGACACACTGGCCCACATCTTCAGTTATTACATTAGTGACATCGTGGAGCGTGAGTGACCGTTGTAGGGGAGCAAGAAGGCGTGGTGATGGGCTCTTGAGGGTTTGTAACAGAAGGGGGCTCGGGGGCACTTTAAAACATACTAAAGTGACATCCCTTTAGTGTCACTCATCCTTTATTTCTTCGGGTTGCCTCTGACGAGCTAGATCTTTGCCTGTATCTGCCATTCTACGCAGTCGCACATCCTGTTGACTCGGTGTTCAGAAAGGGGGGAAAATGCTGATTTTTACTTTGCATGTTTGTGTTTTATTTCAAAATAAAGTATTCCTCAGGTTGTGTCTTCTAACAGTAATATAATGTGCCTCGTGTGTATATCAGATATAATTTACAGAACACCTTCCCATTGTATTACTGCATTTTGATCCTGTGAAGTAGGACTGAGTGTTTTATTTTCTGCCATGTATCAATACTAAGCTTGTGGATATTTGCCTAATCTGAGGGGAGAAAAAAAAAACCTTTTCGTTTGTACAGTAAACATGTTTTGAGTACCTACTCTGTGACATAACAGTGTAATAGCTGCAGGGAGTGCAAAAACCTATTCTTCGAGGAGTTTTCAGTCTAGTTAGGTCTACCTAACAGAAATTACTCTGGCCCTATACCCTTTAGTACTAATATAACATTCCCTTCATGTACTGACAGTATCCTGTTGAGTTATGTCCATCATTCTGAGATTCACCAGAATGATTACTTTGTGGCATCTTCTTTAGCCACATAAAGTGGCTATGTGACTCACTCCTTACCCCTGAGGAACAAGTATAAAAAATACTTTGGGAATTCCCTGACGTTCCTGTGGTTAGGACTCTGCGCTTCCAGTGCCGGGGCCGGGGTTTAATCCCTGGGCCAGGGTTCAAACTAAGATCCTGTAAGCCAAACGGCACTGCCAAAACTTTTTTTTTAATTTAAAAATAAAAGTCTTTCAATTGATCTCATCAAGTTTAGATGAAAGAAATAGAAATTATGTATCATGTGTGTATGATAGATAATCATGTGTATGATAACACCAGGAGTTGCTGGGTACTAGAAATACATGGAAAAATAAGAAAGACACAGTGTCTGCCCTCATGGAGATTGTATTATTGTGATCTGATGGAGGGTAGGTGGTAAGAATGAAAGCTGGAAGAGGCATTTGGAGCAGCTGTGGAGAGATGATGGAAATTTCATCTAAGTTAGTGATTCTCAACCTTGGCAGCACATTAGATAACCACTTAGGAAGCTTTTAAAAATCCTGAGGTCTAGGCTTCACCCCAGTTAAATCAGAATGTCTTGGGTTTGCCCCAGGAATAAGGATGTTTAAAGTTTCATAGGTGATTTCAGTGTGCAGTAAAAGTTGAAACCATTGGTCTAGATACATGCAATGAAGGGAGCTGTATAGAGATGAATTGATTTGAAATATATTTTGCAGTTCAGCAGACAGGATTTTCTAATGTGTTGAATTTCAGTGGGAAGTGGTGAGGAAAGGGACCCTCAAGTTTTTTGCCTTTCATAACTGAATTTATGGTGATGTCACTTATCAAGATGGGAAAGATGGCTTTGAGAGAAAATCAAGGGTTCTGTTTTAAGTATATTGAGTTTAAGATGTTAATAAGTCAGTCAACTGGAGAAATGAAGTTAGTAGGTATGATTGAGCCTGGAGCTCAGAGAATAGATCTGTTAGAGATGAAAAGTGAATTGATGGCATAAAGAGGTTACTTAAAGAACTGATTGAGTCCACGTGGAGAGAGTGTAAATGAAGAAAAAGAACCTAAGACTGAGGAACTCCAGGGAAGGAAGAAAGAACCTACAAAAGAGACTATAAAGCAGCCAGTCAGGTAGGATTCTGTGGTATTCCTGAAGCCAAAGGGGAGATAGTGTCTCTAGAAGAAGAGGGCCATTCCAGCTGGGTTGAAAATGAAAAGTGTCAAATATAGTGATGTCTGAAAAATACTGAATTTAGCAAAATGAATACTGTGATGATTTTGATCATTTTACTGAAGTGGTGGAAATGGAAGTCAGATTGGAATAAACTAAGAAGAGAATGGTAGAGGAAAACAATTAAGCATGAATTTGATAGGAGGAGAAACTTGTATATCGCCAGCTCTTTTGAGAATTGTTTTGCTGGGAATGTAACAAAAATTGAGCTAGTAACTAGAGAAGAAGGCAGAGTCAAGACTAGGTGGGTTAATTTTGATGTGTTTTGTTTTCTTTTAAAAAAAAGATATTAATGGGAATGATGGAGCAGAGAGAAGACAAGGAAAGGAGTTCTTGGGAGGGTGAGAGGGACTAAGATGCAGAGCACGAATAGGGGGATGGCTTTGAAGATAACAGGAGGACTTTTCCATTTTAGAGAAGATGGATATAGGAACAGACAGATTTGAGGAGAAGCTAGGGGAAAGGAAGAAGGAGTCTAAGCCTTGGAGTGAATAAATTGACCAGAAAAGATATGAGGAAAAACTCTGTAGGCCATTCTTTTCATCCTATATTATTCTGCCATGATCTGGCATGTCTCTGATTTCGACTCATTTTCCTCTCTCTCCCTTACTTGATTTCAGATGTGCTCTGTTTTGGAGGGGATATCCTAAATATCACAGGTATTTTTCTTTTTTTCCTGAATATTTAAAGCACTGTAAGCAAGGAAGACTATAGGTGGAATTTGGCATGTTTGTTTATTCAGCATTGTTTGATTATTTAGTATGTGCTGGGCCCTGGGGAAACAAAGATGAGGAAGACACAGTCTCTGCCTCACATGACCTCCCAGTCTAATGGAAAAACCTTGTCCATATTAAGCTCCCAAGTACTTTACATTTTGTTCACATTGAATGACAGGAAAATAAGTGCCTATAAAGCATTCATGAGAAAACTAATGAGAAACTTGGTCATTAATAGCAGAAGCTAAGTAGGGAAGAAGTCTAGCTTGTCTCCTATCTGGAAAACTCTTAGGATTATTAACAGCTATATGCCATAGAGTTGGCCTATCTTTTCATTTAAACTTAAACAAACCACTTAAAATTCAACTTGAATGTAAACCTACACTTTGTGAACCTCTTAAATCTGTTAGTATACTGATGGAGAGAAGAATACCAAAAATAGCCCTAGGTTTTAGGAACATTTCAGCTTCTACTTAGTCATGTTTTTATATGCTGGATAGTTTTAAGGATCTAAGGCCGTATTTTAACCTAGTATGATGTATAGGGCCAAGAAACCTTGTCTGACACCTTGCATGATATCTTCTGCATTATTGGGGGCTTTGCTCTGGCAAGTGAATCCAGATGTTTGATCTCTGTCAGCCTATCTTTGTGTCTCTACAGGGAATGTGCTCCTGGCACTCTGGACAGTGGAACAGGATCAACTGAGTGACATCATTACCCTGGTGGCAAAATGCAGTCTGGAGATACAGGAGAAATTTGGGATCTACCATACCAGAGAAGGCCAGGACCTGCAGCTAAAGATAGGTATTAGCTACTAAAAGAGTGATCAGTTGGGAAAAAAAAATCCAGTATAAACAATTCAAAAGATAAATGACAACCTGGAAAAAAATATTTGCAACTTATATCACGTAGACAACAGGTGAATTTTCCTAACATAGAAAAAACACCTAGAAATCAAGAAAAGACTAACATTCTAACAGAAAAGTGAGCAAAGAACATGAATAAATAACACATAAACAAAGAAATCATCCCTTGTAATTTGGGAAAAACTGGTCAACTTCATAATAAGAAAAATGCCAGTTGAAAGTACCAATTGAGATCATTTCTTACCTGTAGACATGGAAAAGTTCAGATGCTGAACACACTGTTGATAAGGTTGTGAGGAATAAGCCTTCTCACACAGTGCTGGTGGGAGTCAACAGTGGTACAACTTCCCCGGAGGGTGATTCAGTAATCTCTACCAAGATTACAAATGCATTTATTCTTCAACCCAGCAATCCTAACATTTATCCTTCAACCCCAGCGTTTATCCTATGGGTATACCTGAGTATTTATAAAATATCATATGTATAAGATTATTGATTGCAATATAGATTGTGATAAAAGGTTGAAAATTATCTGTAGGAGACTGGTTAAATAAACAATAATAGGTCTACCCAATGAGATTCTCTGCCACTTTACAAAAAGTTGTTTTGGTATAGCAATATCTCCAAAATATAGATGAGAAAAAGCAAGATGCAGAGCACTGTGTTTAGTATGCTACCTTTTGAGTAAGGAGGAAAAATAAGATTTTTTCTTATTTCTTTATATTTGTATAAAGAAACACTGGAAAGATATGTAAGAAACTAATAAAAGTTACCTATTGGGGGAAAATAGTGTAGATGGGTATATAGGTGGAATCAAGACTTTTCAATGTATATCCTTTATATAGTTTGGTTTTTTAATTATGTTACTGTATTACATTATCAAAAATATAATGCCATAGAAATTTAAAAGCTGTACACAGAGGCCATAGTTTCAACAGAGTCAGGATTGAAGGCGAAGCTCTATACAAAAAACTGCTTCACAGGAGTCCAGAAACCTCAAGGGGTTTCTGAAGTTAGGGCAAAAGTTGGCTCTAGCTATTCATTTGTATTTTGAGGAACAGAAGTGAAGAATCATATTGTGAGTTGTATGGCATCTCTCCTATCCTACCATCTTTTTTTTTGTTCTTCTGGTTTTTGTTTTATTGATAGGTAATTCATAATTGATACTGTACATAGACATATTTATATACTTTTGAAACCATCACCACAATCAAGATAACGAACATATTCAACACTCACTAAAGTTTCCTGTGCCCCTTTATAAACTCTCCATCCCACTACTCCCCTCCCCATCCCCAAGCAACCACAGATCTTTCTATCATTGCTTTTTTTTTTTTTTTTGGCCAGCTTGTGGGATCTTAGTTCTCTGACTAGGGTTATTTATACACTTTTTGATCTACAATAGGATTATTGTCAATTTTTGGCTATTACAAATAAGGCTGCTATGAACATCTGTATACAAGTCTTTGTGTAGACTTATGCATTTATTTCTCTTGGTTAAATACCTAGGAGTGAAAGGGCTGAGTCATAACGGTAGATGCATGTTTAACTTTTTGAGAAATTGCTTATCTTTTTTCCAAAGTGGTTGTACCATTTTACATTTCCACCAGCAGTGTGTAAGGGTCCCACTTTCTCCATGTCCTAGTCAACATTTATTATTGTCTGTTTGTAGAACTTCCTTTGACGTTTCTCATAGTGTGGGTTTGCAGGAGATGGGTTAGTTTAGCTTTTGTGTGTCTGAAAAAAACCTTTATTTCACCTCTGTTTTTGGAAGGTATTTTCCCTGGGTATAGAATTCTAGATTGACAGGAATTTTTTCCTCTTACATGAAAGCTGTTGTTCTGCTGTCTTCTAGCCTGCAGGATGTCCAACAGGAAATCTGCTTTCATCTGTATTTTTGTTTCTTTGTATATAATGTCCCTCCCCTTCCACCCCAGCTGCTTTTTGATTTTTTCTTTATCACTGGTTTTAGGTAATCGGATTGTGATGTACCTTGGTACAGTTTTCTTCATTTTTCTTGTACTTGGGACTCATTGAGATTCTTGGATCTCTAGGTTTCTAGTTTTTATAAAATTTAGAAAATGTTCTGCCATTATTTCTTCAAATAATTTTTTCTCTCTTCCTCCTCCTCTGTGTAGTTACACACATATTAAGCTGCTTGAAATTGTCCCACGACTCACTGATGCTGTGTTCATTGTTCTTCTATCTTTTTTCTCCCTGTGTTTCATTTTGGATGGTTTCTATTGCTATGTTTTAAAGATTACAGATCTTTTATTTTGAAAAGTCTAATTTGCCTTTGATCTAATATATTTTCTTGTGTATTTTTGTAGTGTATTTTTCATCTCAGTCCTTGTGGTTTTCATCCATATGAAGATACCATATCCTCCATGTCCCTACTTGTTTAGTATCTCTCTAGTTCTTGAATATATGGAATATAGTTATAACTTTTAATGTCCTGTCTGCTAATTCTTTCGTCTATGTTATTCTACATTGGGCTTGATTGATTGATTTTTCTTCTCATTGTGGGTCATATTTTCCTTTTTCTTGGCATACCTGGTAATTTCTGGCAGGTGCCAGGTGTGAATTTAACCTTGTTGAGTGCTGGATTTTTAAATATTTCTGTAAATATTCTTGAACTTAGTTCTGAGATGTGGTTAGCTTAATAGGTTTTGCTTTCAAATTTTGTTGGATAGGACCAGAGCAGTGTTTAGTCCAGAGCTAGTTTTGCCCCATTGTTGAGGCAGACCACTTCCAAGTACTGTACCTAATGTCCTGTGAAGTATGAAGTTTAATACTCTGGCTCGTGGAAATGGGAACTATTCCCAGCCCTGTGTGATACTAAGATTGTTCCCTCTAATCTTTTCCGGGGGCTCTTTCCCTAGCCTCAGGTTGTTTCCTCACACTGATGCACTTAAAGACCTGAGGGGGACTCAGTTCTCTGGAGTTCTGTGGCGTTTTCTCTCTACAAACTCTCCTCTCCAGCACTCACAGTGCCCTGTGAGCTCTAGCTAGCTTGGCCTTCTCAGACTCCTACCTCTGTCCCCTCAACTCAGGGAGTCCTCTGGGCTGCACCTGGGCTCACCCTCCCTGAGATGTGTACTGGAAACTCTCTCTAGGCGGTGAGCTGGGGTATCAGAGGGTTTGCCTTGTTTCTCATCTCTCAAGCATACTGTCCTTAATTACCTAATGTCCAATATCTTGAAAATTGTTGTTTCTGTTGTTTTGTGTATTTTTCCAGTTCCTTGGTTGTTCCAGGCATTAAAGTAAATTCACTGCCCGTTGCTGCACATTGGCCAAAAGTATATGTCTCTGCCATTCTTTTAAAACTGCTTTTTCCCTTGTTTTTAGTGTGGATTGGGTGACTTACCTAAGGGCATACTTCTCCTGGTTATAGTAATTTCTTCCCTGGCAAGCAAACCCATTTTTCAGCTGTTATTAGCAGTAAGAAATCCCCCAGGGCAAGAAAAACAGGAGGCAGAAATAAAGGGTATGGCGAAGCCCATGTGTGGTAAAGTACTGATTGTCTACTCACTGAGCCCTGGTTACATATGAGGAGAGCTGGTGTGGTCATGGTGGCAGCAGCTTCTGAGCATAATCATTTGGTCTCTGCCATCAGGACCTAGCTGTCCATTAGAAGAGCAATTTAGAGACAAGACTCTTGGATGCCTAGGATCCAAGAGCTTCTTCCCTCATACAACTCAGGCTTGTCTGAATGTCTGTCTCTAGGTGTGTTTAAGACAGAAGGAAATCTGGGGCAAGGTATTCTTTTTGAGGGGGAGCTCTCCTAATATTTCTGCAACTGTGGGTAATAACGAGATACAGTGTGATGCATAAAGCAATGTGAGGATTCCAGACCCCAACCTTTGCGTAGTTTTCCAGCTGAGTTTGTCTATTCACCACTTGTCTCCTTTTCTCTGGATAGGTCTGTCTGCAGGTCGGATTTCCCAGATTATTGTTGGAGATGAGCAGCGGCAGTACCTCTTGGTGATTGGGCGTGATGTAGATGGTGTCCAGTTAGCCCAGCGGTTGGCTCAGGCAAATGAGATTGTCTTGTCCTGGAACTGCTGGAAGCTCTGTGAGCAGTACATGTTTGAAGTGGAAATCATGAGGGAGGATGAAGCTGTAAAGGTAGGAGGTTGGTTACATCCATTGAACGTCCTGAAAAGGCCTTCCTACTGCATAGGGCAGTGCTCTGGTGGTGCTCAACACCAGACCAGACCAACCACTGGAACTTTATTTTGGAGGGAGGTGAGGGGTATTCTCCCAGGAGGACAGACGAGGCAGAATAGTAAGGCTGAAAAGATAAGTGATAAACAAGGGAGATGGCATCCTTAGCCCCCCTATTAAGGGACCAAAGGTAATCCAGTTGGTGGGTGGGCACAGAATTGAGCAGTTTCCTTTCTATAGTTAAGAGATATGCGGATCATTGACCCATTTGATTTTGATGAGCATTTTTACAAGTGCCTCGATTACCTGCCACATTACCGGACAAGTGCTGGTAAGTTATTTTGTCCTTTATTATACCCATGCCCAAAATTTCAAAGATTAATTTTCCACATGGCTGGAGACATTTTGTTTGCTTTCCTTCTCTCAGACATTCTAAGAACTGCCCTGGAGTTGGATCCAGACTCTGCACTTGAGCAAACCCTGCGGAAGCACATAATGAAAAACCTTTTGAAGAAGGTTATTTCCTAGCTCTTGAGTCATTGTGCGTAGACTGTGTGTGTGTTTGTGTAAACAAGTGTACATGTACAAATGTGACAACCATTTGATTGATCCAGTTCATCTCCCGCTTCCCATTGTAATACCAGCAGATTTTCCCATCTGCACCAGTTACTGTGATGACATGTCCTATAAGTTTAGATTTCTCAGTCCTAGAAAATAGAAACCATATTTGGTTTTTGTTTGTTTGTCCCTCTAGAAACTAGTACACTGTAAACAGGGTATAGAGTATGTGCTTGGTAATTAAGTGTTGATTGATTGTTTATATGTGAATCCCTTAGTAAGTGATATAATGACTAATAGAACTGGACATATCAAACTGTGTCTTAGGAAATATAAAAGCTTGGCAAATTTCGTCAGTGAATTAGGTTTAAAGTCAAACAATTTTAACTCCAAGTGCACTGGTTGTATATCTTCTATACCTCTTGAACCTGAATTTTAAGTTTTTTGTCTGGCATCTATAAGTCATTTTCTCATGTTTACCATGCAATATAGAATTTAAATGCCTAAACATGATACTAAAAGTTGAAGTTACAGTCAAGGTAACTCACTGTGTCTTTGTAGATTGATGAAGGCCAACCTATGGAGTATATATCCGAATTCCGTACTGTGACTATGGTTTTGGTCAGCCTAGAATTCCACAAGACAGCATGGATGTTGCATTTGTGTCATCTTATCCAGGAGGCTGCCTTATACATCTCCACAGTGATAGAGAAGGGGGGTGGCCAGCTGAGCCGGATCTTTATGTCTGAGACAGTAAGTACAAGGGAACTTGACATATCAACATTAAAGGTGAGTGAGGAATAATAGTCTTAAGACAATTATAATAGTCTTATGTTATTATTATAACATCTTATGTTATCTCTCACATAACACAGGCATAAGTCAGACTCTCTGCTTCTTATTTTGTAATAAGCTATGTTACATTAAAACTTCAAGTAATAATATTTAAGGAACGAGATGTTCTAGGTAGTTTAATTTTCAGGGTAACTGAGTGTTATCCTCCATATCTTTTTTATTCTCTTCTTGTTGAAAAATCCTTACGAAAGCATGAAGAATGTTTTTCTGGCTCTATTAGTAAAGTAAGTATAATCAGATCCTTCTGAGGTAATTTAGGAGCTTGAAAAAGAGCAGTATCATACTTGACATTATAGGTAAACAAAATATAGGCAGATGGACTTAGCTGAAGGTAGACACTAGAAACTGAATTTTTGAAAAGTTCTTAACATCGATTTTTCTTATGTTTTAGATTTCAGTTCTTTAAATAGTTAAATCAAGATTTTTTTTCTTTTTTTTTTAAATGTCCGTGTTGATGTGGCCTAGAACGTCCATTTCATGAGTCTTATAGAATCCTACATTCCTAATAGAAAACCAGCCAGGAAGGGGTCTGGCTTCATTTAGGGAAGTTGGTTCCGTTGAGGCGAGCCATATTTCTTCCCCAGGTCAATTTCCCTTTTCTTTCTTTGTCACCTATCTCAGGGCTTCATGTTCTTCTGTGTTTTCGGCCTTCCTGGGGATAAGAAGCCAGATGAGTGCGCACATGCCCTGGAGAGCTCCTTCAGCATATTCGGCTTCTGCTGGGAGAATCTTGCTGAGACCAAGTGAGGAGGAAGGTGGGGCAGAGAGGAGCTTCTCAGGCCCAGGGGGCTCTTCAGGCAGGGTAGGAGGCAGTAACAAGTAGCAGGGGTTGAGGGCATCCAGAGTCTGCCTATAGGGGTGGGAACATGCTGAGGGAAGTCAGAAAACAAGCCATATTAAGAAATTACTAGGTACAGAGCTATGTACTAGATACCCAGGGGAAATGGATATACGTTTCTGTCCAGTGGGGTGGGAGAGGGGGAAGTATAGAATACGCATAGCAAGATTCAAGCAACAAGCAAACATATAAATTAATATGCACATAATACATCTGTATGTGAAGAGAAGGCTGCCTGTCTATGGGGAGGGGAGGCGTGGGAAGAGATGTTATGGAACAGTTGCCTAGATAGGAAGGGACCACAGCTGGTTAATGCTCTCCTTGGCTTTCACTCTTGGTCTTTCCCAGTCCTGTTGATTTTTTTGGAATTCACACTGAACTGATCTCCTGCCTTCATATTCACCCCACCCTCCCACCTACAAAAGCCTAGCCCTAATGAAGTTATAGAAAATTCCATTTTCTGTAGTGCAACTATGACATGATTTGGTTGGAGTTTTTCAAATGACCTTTTTTCTTTTTTCACTAGAAAGCTATGAGGAAAGCATGTACATGAATAGATTTGAAAAATGCTCATTCCTCATGTCAACAGAGTCAAAGATTTGTTTGCTTGCCATACTTATTCAAGATGAATACAAATTATGTCACATATTTACATAAAGCTTTAACATTTTTAGAATACTCTAGTATATGCTACCAGTGTGAGCAGTTACTGGTATCTGTTACACATGAGGGAACTAAGACCACAGAAGAGTAGTTAGTAGCATGTAGCAAAGCTGGTAATGAAACCCAGAACTTCTGCCCTCAAATCCTGTGTTATTTTCATTACCTCACAGCTGCCTCTTTTAAAATACAAATATTCCCCAAAAGGGATAGCATATATTACTATTGTGATACCATTGTAGAGGCATACTCATAGGACATTAGTACTGAAAAGGAACTTAGAGATTATCTGATCCAACTCCTTATTTTATAGATAATAAAGATGCTACAGTTGTTTCATAGATACTCAAACCCTTAGTCCAAAGCAGATACGTGGTGGCACTTCTTTCAGGCTCGGTGAGATCTGCAGATACTCCTACAGCCTACTTTCCAGTCGTATCTCCAGTGTGAGTGTGGCTAAGCCATTCCTTTCAGTGCTGGTCTATTCTGTTTTCAAATTTTGCCTTGACCTCTGGTCTTCAGGAGTCCTGCTGTTAGCCCTTACTCCTGAGTAAGATAGTCATTTCTTGGTCATTAGAGGCCATCTTACAGTGCCTTTAAGGATGCCTTCTATGACTCTTAGACCATAACTTGGTCTTTTTTAGTTGAGAGTACAGTAGATGTTAGGCGCTAGATAGGATCTTAAGAGTTCATCTCATTTGGCCTCCTTAACTTAAGGAAAGTAAGATCCAGAGGTTACGTTGGAAGGCCAAATAGTTTGACAGTGTTAGATCCTAAAAGCTAGTTTCCAGGTCAGTGTTTTTTTCCTTGAAGATAATGACTAATTTAGTAATTTCCCGAAGCGTGTTTGGTAGAACATTAGTCCCTTAAAAAATCCTGAAAAAAATATTTTCATGGCCAAATATGTTTGGGAATTGATGCAACTATATTTCCTTCTTAAAGATTCACAATATACATTAACATCAAAGTTTCTGAGCAGTCTTACAGTAAAGAAATTTGTTATATTTTGTTTTATTCAATATTTCCCAAATTTACTTGATCACCAAACACCAAGACCTGTAAACACCCAGAAGAATGAATGTTCTAAGGAGCATATTTTGGGAAATGCTGCACTAACCAGATGCTGAAGCTTGCCTTCTTCACCTGTAATTCAAGTTTGGAGACAGAGTCTCAGAGGTGCCTGTGTGGCGTCGGTAGCAGATACTGTTGCATCAGCCTCACCCAGACCCAAAACCACATCCATGTCTCCTTTCTCAATGACCCTGTTCACCTTGGGTCATCTTCTAAGTTCCTCTTTCTAGTCTAGGAAATAACCTTCAGTTTTCAGTTCATTTACAGAAGAAAGATGATTCCCTGTGTCCAGTGATTGATCAGGCTTTTCTGGTTTGTGACTATTTCTCCAGGATATTTTTGAGACCCAGGGAGTGCAGTCTCCATATCTCATCATAACAGTTTTGCAGCACCAGAAATACTTTACATATATGAGTAAATAATATATAATTCCTCAATGAAGAACACTTTTTAAAATATTTTTTGGAAAGGATAGAACATGGACCACCAGGAAGAGCAAGGGGGAATTATAAAGTACAACAGAAAGAAATAAGAAATAACCAAGTTGAAAAAAGTATTACTTGTTTCATTATCATAGTCTCGCTAACAGCTGAGTTTCTGGCATACATAAATGCATTCATTCAACAAGCATTCATTGAATAAGCCTCAAGCCAGGCACTGTGCTAGGTGTGGTGGACATAAAGAGAAATAAGACACTACCTCCTCAGCTCTGTAAACAACTAATTTTAATACAGTGAAACTTAAATGTAGGAATAAAACGCCATAGGAGCTACAAAAAAGTGCTATGGGAAGAAATAGTTCTCGCCAGAGGTACTAGAGAAGTCTTGACTATAGAGATGATTTTTGAGCCAGTTGTGAAGGAAAGGCGTTCAGCAGGTGGTGAAAGTGGGGAAGAGTATTTTAGACAAGGAAGCATTGTGAAACATTAGCAGATTTTCAGTCATTCTTGGGGTGGTAGCAGGACCAACTGCCTAGTTCTTGTCTTGAGTGTCTCTGATTCACCCTGGGCAGTGGGCCCAGTGAGTGAATATAAGAGTCCTCAATCCTGTCCTTAGAGGAAGACAGGAGAATTTGGATGGTCTGGGAGACATCAGTGTTGCCACTTTTTGTGCTCTCCGTGAACAACTGAAAGTTGTTCTTTGTAAATTTAACTTGAAATTAATTATGCTTCATTGCACCTTCTTTCTCCAGATGTATATCTTGTTACCTGTCACATGAAATTTTCACGTCAGTCAAGTAAATCTGCTTATTCTGTTATACATGAATTGTTCATTGCCACCTTTGAGCCTTTGCCTCACCTGGAATAGTATATGCCCTTTTTAAAAATAATTTATATTTCTAGTGCTTTTCCATCCATGGCCTAGGTAGGACCACTTTTCCTTCCACCTCTTCCTATTTCAAACACCTTCTGTGTTCTAGCCATCTTGAACTACTTAGTTTTGCACAAATACACCAGGATTGCTAAAGCCTGTGCCTTTTCCCACTGGACAAAATGCTGTTGCCTCACTTTGGCAGTACTCCAGGTTTCAAGGTCTGATCATATGTCCTCTCCTTTATGAATACTTTATTTCTAATCTCCAGTATCAGTTAATGCATCCCTTTGTTTGCTCTGTTGATTGCTGTATTGATCTCTAATATGTAGTATTTTCTTGCTAACTTATGAATATATCTCTTCTCCTCCCTCAATCTCCACCACCAGCCCAGACTGAACTTCTCCAGGACAGGGCATTATAAACATCTAGCCCAGTACTTGGTACTGTACATGCTTCTCAGAGCTTATTAAGTGAGTGAATGTATGCATGTGTGAATGGATGAATGAAAAAATATTACTCCTTTTAAAAAATTTATTCCAAAGACTAATTTGCTTCAGCAAGCCTTCCATCAGCAGCGTGACATTCTGAGTATTCCTTTACTCTCACACTCTGGCATTATTTGATCCATTAACCCTGTATAGATCTGTTGATCTACTTTTCATTTTGGGGTTTCATGTGAAGCAGCATGGTGTGGTGGAAATAACATTGGTCTGGGAGTCAGGAGGCCTGGATTCTCATTCTGGCACTAATATTAACTCTTGTATAACCCTGGGAAAGTTAATTAACTCCTTCAGTTTTTTTTTTCTTTTGTCAAATGGGTTTTAAATATTTGCCCTACGTACCTCACATGTTTGTTGTTAATTATCCCTCAAAGAATCAGATGAGGTAATGAATTTGAAAATACTTCAAAAAGCACATAAAGAGTATCTGACAGATATAAGGTGTTTTTAGTGTTTTTACTAATAATAGCTCCTCAACTAAAATTCCTAGAGTAGGGGGACCATTTTGTTCCTTTTGACTATTTCCCTAATATTCAGTACTTTGCACCCACCATGTGATGCAAACTGACAGCAGCCTCTGGCCTTTTGCATTCTGAGCTCTAAAACTAGACTTCTGGATCTAGGGAGTGGCAGATCTAGTGCTGGACTTGGTGGCTTCTGAGTGCGTATTTACCGACTGTTGCTTTTCTGATCCCCAGGCTTGTTTCCATCAGTATCACCAGTGGACCAGTATTCTGTGGCATGGTTGGGGCAGTAGCAAGACACGAATATACAGGTAGAATAGGACATTGGACTGTTCGCTCTGTGACTTAGGGGGTGAAGGTAAAGGAGGTGATCTAAAAATTCTCCATCCTTTTCTGTCTCCCTGATACAGTTATTGGCCCAAAAGTAAGCCTTGTGGCAAGAATGATAACTGCTTATCCAGGTTTGGTGTCCTGTGATGAGGTAACATATCTAAGATCTATGCTACCTGCTTACAACTTTAAGAAACTCCCAGAGAAAATGATGAAAAACATCTCCAACCCAGGGAAGATGTATGAATACCTTGGCCATAGAAGATGTATGTGAGTGTCATTACGTGATAGTTCAGTCCCATCTCTTTTATAGAATCAGGGCATAGGAATAATCAATGCTTGATTATATGAACTTAGAAAGAAAGATGCTTCTAGTACTGGCCTGATGGAATAAGAGACATAAGAGGAGGGTTTCATATCTGAGATCTTTAGCTTTTATGTTTAGCTCTTAGCTAGTTCCTCAGGGAACAACTTCTGTCCTACAGGAAGAGAATAGCAATAGGTCACTAGTCTAGATGTTCTTTTTTCTATGTGTACTTCACAATTTATTTACTTCCCTGAGCCTGGAACAATAAATAGTTTGTCTCCCCTTCCAAAATTTTTTAGTTTTTTTAAAACTCTTTGATACAGAGCTCTGGACCTCTTTAGTTGTCTGAAAGTACTTATTTATAAGGACAAGTCCTCTATCTATTAAAAAACATATTATCTGTCTATCCCAATCTATTTTGAATTAACACATTTCCCTTTGTCCTTTTTCCCAGAATGTTTGGGAAGAGACATCTGGCCAGAGAGAGAAATAAAAATCACTCTTTGCTAGGTAAGTTTTCTTTTTTACCTTAAATCATATTGTTTTCAGCTGTAGATGGTTAAATGTGATTTAAAAAGCAAAATTTGAGACTAAATGCTTCTAAGCTTGTATTAAAAAATAGAGAGCAACCTTCTTAGTGAATGTGTGTTAATTTTGAAGAGGACTTGCCATTTCTTTTCCATGTTGAATGTTTAAATTTCAGGTTCCAACATTTAGTAAGAATCTTTGTAAGGATTCTCATCTTTAGAGAGAAATCTTTAGAGGGAAATTCCTCATCCTGAGATAGTGACAGTAGCACCGAGACTGTTCCACCCACACTATATATTTCCTATCTTTATATTTGTTTTATCTAGATCCATTAGTCCATTATTTTCACATAGCAGTGACAGACTTTGAACACTAAATTGTTATAATGGAAATTTTTACAAAAAGCTAAGAAGATGTCGTAGCACCCATGTCCATGTGGTGCCTAGTTGTTCTAAATGTTATGACGTAGGCTCTGGAGCAAGCCCCCAAGCCCAGCATACATTTCTTTATAGTCCGGAGTTGATTTTCTGGAAAAAGATGTGAAGGCTTATCAAATAATGGAATTCTGTCAAGGATTCTGGGGAAAAAGCCGTTCTGAGAATTACCTTTACAAATTAATTCAAATAAATAAGTGTCTGCTAAAAAGCACAGGAGTGTTAGGTTCTCCTTGTCTCTTTACAGACCGGGAGAAAGAACTGGAAGCCTTCCGAATGGCACAGCAGGGAAGTTTGCAACAAAAGAAGGGCCAGGCAGTTCTGTATGAAGGTGGAAAAGGCTGTGGAAAAAGTCAGCTGTTGGCTGAAATAAACTTCCTGGCCCAGAAAGAAGGGCACAGGTAAAGACTCCTGCTTTCTGACTTAGCGGCTGTTTCTCTTGGGGCTCCTTTCCCTTGTTGGTGAGACTTGTATCGTTAGATTCAGCATCCTTGGGCTGGCGGACTGAGTAACCTCTCTGGATCAGGGGACTCCCAGTGACCATAGTAACATTTACCAGGGTGTTGCCATTGAAGCTGAAGGAAGCAGATTCCAAGCAGTGCTTCTATGCCATCCAGACCCTCATGGCCATCTTCTTTGAGATTGATATGTGCCCAGCCTATTACCGGCAAGAGTGCCTCCACAAACAGCTCCATGGGATGGTGGAGGAATCGCTTCACTGCCTGTTTAATGACCTCTTCTTTGTGAAGGTAACAAAGGCAGTGGCTTTCTGAACTGGATTACTGATATTTTTGGTGGCTAGTTGGACCCAGGATTGTCTTCGAATCTAAAACACACACACACATATACATATACGTATACATATACGTTTACATATATGGCCTAAGAACACACAGTCAGCAGTGGCAGGATTGAGATTTGAAAAGTCTTTGACACCAGACCCCAGGCTTTCTCCTTTTTGAGGAGAGTGGATTCTAGGACTGACTCTGAAACTTGCTAGTTGTATACCTTGGTACAAATCACTTGGCCTCTCTGAGCCTCAATTTTTTTCACCTGTGAAATGACAGTAGTAGTACTTTATATGGGTTTTGCATGGATTTTAGAGGATGTAGTATATAAGAGACTGCATCGTAAATGTGAAAGTACTCAAATCTGTCACTGTGATATTGACCAGATGTGCATATCCAGCAATTATATGCATGTGTTCTTGAGTTGGTTGCAGCATTTTGTTCTTTAACCTTACCTTTCCATTCCTGGGTCATGGAGTATGTCACTTGAACCAGCATCTGAATCTCAGACACTTCCAGTGGTCTAGGATTTATGTGGTACCCAATAGCGAGTAGGCTAAGAATTCCCTGGCCCACAGCTCCATTTGTCCATCCTCCATCACTTCTCCTAATCTACCCAGCATGCAGGGCATTGTATCTAATGAAAAATAGAGAAAACAAAAATCTGTCCAGTCCCTCAGCATAGCCCTGTCTTAAGACAGGCCTTACCTGGGGCCCTGGACAAAGTGGTCAGGGAGTAGCCTCACTTTGGCTCTCAGGTCCATCGTAGCTCATGTGCCTTAGCCTAGCACAGTGTTGCAGATGTCCATTGCAGTTCTTTCTCACAAGTCTCATGCACACATTCATTCTGGTATACTTGGAATAACTGGGGTACTGGAGTTGTCCAAAGTGACATTGCTAACTCTGACCTGTCACTTTATTCCTTAGTCATGATCCTTTAAGAGTTTGCCAGAGTCCAGTATGGAAAGGAGCTATCTCTCTCTAACCACCAGTGGACTTTCAGTCTCACCCTCTGAACTGTATATTGACGTTGGATTGGTATTTGTAACCCTATGCCTAATCCTGTAGAAATCCATTCTCACTCAAAATAGAATAATTTTCTGTTCCCTTTTGAGAACCTGTATATTTTTATTAGGTTGTCATTTTGAATGATAATATATGAATAATTTTCCCGGTCAGTTTCCCTTATCCTTCAAAGTTTCGCACATGGATGACCTGACCAGACAAAAGAAGGTTAAAGCATGTTTTTTTCAAGTGCTGCAGAAGGTGGGTACTTTTGCTACATACCATTAACTCTTAATATGTGGAGATGGTTTATGCTCATTTCAATCTATCCACATCTTACCTTCACTTGGGCATTTCTCGGCCTGCCTATTTATTGATATCTTCATTGTTTCTATCTACCTTTAACCTTGAATCCATCCTACAGCACAGCATACAAGGAAAGGTCTTTGCTCTTTCCTGATCCTGTTTCTTAATGAAATTTTAGTAACTTAGAACAGTAGCTTCTGGATGCAGGTTGATAGCTACTTTACCTCCTATTTATTAAAAATACAGATACTCAGGCCCCAACCTAGGATTACAGAGTCAATAATCTGTACGAGGAGATGCTGATGTAGCCATTCGGGAAAGCTATCTTGAAGTAACTAGTCAAATTTTAATAACATTCATCCTCTATACCTAGCACTTCCACTCCTAGATATATATTCCAGGGAGTCTGTTCATTGCAGCGTTTGTTTGTGGAGGTTAGGGAGGTGTTGGCATGAATTCATAGATGAACACTGTGGAGTGTTTATAGTGCAGAAGTTAGAAGTAAGGCAGTAGATGAAAACATAGCAACATGGAGTAATCTAAAAACAATCCTGAATATTTTATCTTTTCTTATGGCTCAGTAATATTCCATTGTGTATATATATACACCACATCTTCTTTATCCATTCATCCATCAACTGGCACTTAGGTTGTTTCCGTATCTTGGCTCTCCTAAGTAACGCTGCAATGAACACAAGGGTGCGTATATCTTTCTGAATTAGGGTTTTTATATCCTTCCAATGAATATCCAGTAGTGGAATAGCTGGATTAAAAAAAGATGAAATCTTGCCATTTGTGACAACATGGATGGACCTTGAGGGTACCATGCTAAGTGAAATAAATCAGATGGAGAAAGACAAATACCATATAATTTCACTCATATGTGGAATATTAGTAAATAAATAATCAAACAGGGACTTCCCTGGTGGTCCAGTGGTTAAGACTTCGCCTTCCAATGCAGGGGGTGCAGGTTTCCCTGGTCAGGGAGCTAAGATCCCACATGCCTCATGGCCAAAAAACAAAAACATAAAACAAGTATTATTGTAACAAATTCAATAAAGACTTAAAGAAAAAAATAGTCCACATCAAAAAAAAAAAATTCAAACAAACCAAACAAAAACAAACACATAGTTACAGAGAACTAAGTATTGGTTACCAGAGGGGATGGGGGGTGGGGGGAGGGCAAAATGGGTAAAGGGGGTCAACTGTATGGTGATGGATGGAAACTATACCTTTTGTGGTATAATGTAATGTATGCAGAAGTTGAAATATAATATTGTACACATAAAAAGTATATAATGTTATAAACCAATTTTTTAAATCCTGAGTAAAAAGAGAAATAATGAGACCTGTTATACAGTACCATTTACATAAAAACAATTTACATGACAAAACAACAATGCACATTTTATAAGAACATAATACAGGCAGAAGGTAATATGATAAACACATTGGCATGGTTACCTGTGGCAGTGAGGAATGGAATGGGAGTAGGGAATGTGGATAAAAGAGAATACATTTTTTTTCAAGTCTACATGAGCAGGCATTATAACTGGTAGCTTTAGCTATAGCACTCCCAGGTATTTCTGATGTGCAGCCTGGTTTGGAAATTACTGGTTTAAAAATACTATGAATTCCCACACAGTTTGAATCTTTTGCTAAAGTGAAATATTTGCAAGCTTCAAGTTTGATTTGGAGAATATTTTGATGCTTATTTCATATTTCAGTTAGAGTATTTTCTTGTTCAAAGAAACTCAGTACATTTCTTTAGGAATTAGATATATAAGCTGTGTTTTATATTTATAAAGTAAAATATTACCTGGACTAAGAATACATTTTACTCTGAAAATCCCAGCCTTTGTTGACATTTTATTTAAATTGTTGATGGGAAATTCATGGTAGATTTGAAAATCAGATGACTTCATTTCTAATCAGAGCTTGTCATCGTTTCTTTACTGTTATTTCCAGGCAATGAGGGAAACACCACTGGTTTTCCTCATTGATGAGGCCCAGTATATGGATGCAGACTCCTGGGAGTTTTTGGGAACTTTGCTCTCCAGTGTGCCCATCATCATGGTGATGACATTGACCCCTACGTTCACCCTTTGTGGCTGGGCCCAGCACTTCCTGCAGAGCCCTCAGGCTATCTTTGTGCCCATTTCGAAGTTGGCAGCGACCTCACTGTTGAGAATGGCATGTTGGGAACTGGGGGTGGTGAGCATCCCCCAGGAGCTGCAGATGTGAGTGGCGAGGACTAGCTGGGCACCTCATTAAGGGAGGAGCCAGTGCCATAGTATAAGAGAAGGCTCAGGTCTCACACCGGAGTTGGGGGAGAGTATGGCATTAGAAACCATGATGAGGCCCAAAACTAGGATTTAAGAGTAGACAGTCTCCTAGTAACCCAGTAAAGGGCTGTCTCCCCTGGGCTCTTCACCCAGGTTTTCACAGGACAGTTAGGACTTGGATGGCTTTCTTAATAGGTCCATTATGTGCGGTCAGGCCAACTTCTGCCGGACCCTTTAGCAAGGGGATGCTAGTTCCTTTTAACATCAACAGAAGCAAAATAGTTGAGAGAAAAGTTACTGCCAAAACCAATCAGAAACTTTTTTTTACATTTCTGTGCTGCTGCTTCCCTCTGTTAGTGTATATCATCAAGAACTGACTTTAACAAAAGAAGAAATATTCGTCAGTATGAAATACCTTTATGCTTGGCTCTCTTCAAGTGGGCATCTTTAGTCAGCAATCCCCTGCTTACCTCTCTACAGCTACCTTCTCCGCAGGTGCTTTGGAAACCCCCTTTACTGTGAGGTCTTATGCCAGGACCTTCTCTCTAAGAACATATTGCTCTTTCATGACCTCCAAAAGGAGGAGGAGGAGAACAGCAAGTGGGAGACCCTGTCAGGTAAGCTGAGCTTCCCAGGGTTCTACCCTGATCCCACTGCTGGAGTTCGTTCTTGAACATGGCATCACCTGGTCCTAATTAGGCATGCGCCTCTTCCCTGCTGCCATCATGAGCAAGATTCAGCCTTCCTGGCTAAGTGTACTATACAAGTAATACGCAACTGTGTTGGAAACGCTAAATACTGCCTCAGGTGAAGTAATTGAGTCAATCTACTTCAGTTCCTTTTTGAGCAGCCTAGGAGGCGGGGATAGGAAAATAGGATTTATAAACATCAGAGAGGATTGATAAACATGACAGTCTGTAGAGAATTGCACATTACTGATGAGAGAGATGACTTGAGGGTTTGAATGGGGGAGGGGAGAAGGGAGGAAGAAAGAGATAGAAGTATGTGTAAATCCAGAAAGGCATCCTAGAGCTGTGACGTAATAGAAGAGAGGGCTATTGAAAGGTAAACAGGAAGAGTGAGAATGTTAGGTACCGTGTGGTACAGGAAATGTTCGTTCCTAAGAGAAAATGAGAGGACAGGCAGGATGGGTGGGGTAAACCACTTTAAACGTGTATGCTCCATTGATCTTAATCCTTTCAGTTTCTTGACTAAGTGTGTTTTTGTGCCTTTAAAACTACAGTCACTGAGCATGGTGTTTTCCTCAGTCATAGTCTTCTTTCTCTACAGCCAATGCCATGAAATCCACAATGTATAGTATTTCTCCTGCCAGCTCTGAAGACCAGGAACTTTATGTCTGCACAGTCAAAGATGACGTGAACTTGGATACAGTGCTTCTTCCACCGTTATTAAAAGGCAGGTCCCTTGAAGACCTCAAGTGAATCAATTACAGGTGTCATTGCACTTAGTAATTTGGTGGATGATTGAGTATAGACCCCTCATTATCATGCTAGCTTCATTTCTTCAAAAAAGAAATCTGCCTTCCAGAAATAAATTCTGGCACTGCCCGAAGAGTTCTTAAAGACTTGTAATGCTACTTGAGTAATGTTTTATGTAAGTGAGCCCACTGTTCTCTTTGAGGCTGACTGATAACCTGGGAAAGTTTTCTAGTTGTTTAATAAAAACTATGACCTGAGTTTCCCTTTGTGCATATCCCTGTGCTGGAGGAGACAGGAAGCGAGGGAGATAATGCTGCTGAGATTTAGGAAATCCGTGGTGCTGGTGAAGAGGCAGTATTAGGGACATAGCAGGGGTTTAATAAAAAGAGTGCAAAGTCAGCTTATAATGACTGATGAGATAGAGAATAAAGTCGTCAGAATTGGGTAGGCATGATTAGACAGGCGGTGTTCTTTTTAGAGGTGAGGATGGTTTTTTTAATGTTCTGTTCAAATGTTTGGTGGCCAGGGTACTTTATTAACCCTTCTTGAGGAATGTTATGATGGATAAGCATGCCTTCAAGTCAAGCATGGTCTTACTGAGAATATAAGACACGCATGTGAAACAGCAGTACAGAACACATTGGTAATTAAGAGCCAGGGCTCTGGCATCAGAAAAATCTGGATACCATTGCTTCCTCCACTTAGTAGCTGTGAAACGTTAGATGAACTTATCTAAGCCTTAGTCTTCTCATACTCAGATGAGGATAATGATAGCCCCTACCTCATGGGGGTAGTTGAAGATTAAATGAAATAAATCATGGTATATAATTAATAGTCAATGACTGTTAGCTATTATAAGCTGTTCACTCTGGTGGTTTTAGGTCCACCTGGACAGTTCATATTCCTACAACTGTGATAGGCCACACTTGGCATTGGCTTTACTAACTTAGAAGCGTACAGGTCAGGAAACACAGCACTGTAGCAGGACAGGAGCAAGTGGTTTTCTTCAGTGGGGGTCCTCACGGCAGTTCCCACTGCTGTTCTCTGGAGCCTCAAGGAATAGCTTACATGTGATGGGATGAGACCATGATGGATGGGTGCTTAGATGCCCCATTTCCCAACAAGGAACTGGTATCTCTTATAATAGTCCTGTAGGCATAGTTTCTAGGCACTGTGACCTGTTACAAGAATTACTACACTCAAGGAACCCCAAAGCTGTGGCTTACCACCAGGTATTTGTAGCTTATTCACAGTTTTCCTAGTCCAAATTCAGTTTCCCATCAGGGATCACTCTTTGCATAAGCAGTGTTACCTGGTAACTCAGCTGACATTCTGATTTTATGAGGATCCTAGGAAACAGCTAGAAAGTTAACCCAAGATCAGTGTTGTCCACAGGGAAGGAAAAAGGATTTAACTCATAAGCTAAAATGAACAGTCCAGTCGGCAAGGCCTTGGTCTAAATGAAAGGCCAAAGCTACATGGTAAAAGGTCATGTAAGTTATACAAGTATTTAAGAAGGGGGCTGACATGACTCTATTTGTACTTTAGGTGTACAGTTCTACCACTAGTTAATGTGTTATTGAGATAAGAATGAGAGGAAATTGGAGATGTTCAGAACAGGGTAGCATAGTGATCCAGGTGAAAATGACTACTTATACTAAAATTGTTTAGGAGGAAATATATTCAAGAACATTTAGAAAGAGAATGAGTGGGTGACAAGTTGGTTGTGAGGGAGAGGGAAAAGTTTAGAATTATTCCTAGATTTTGGGCTTGGTGACTTACCGGTTCAATACCAACTGCTTTAATATATGGGTCAGAATATGGAGAGATTTACTAAAATGCTTGGAGTTAAGATCTTTATACTAATTAGAGTTCTGGGACCAGGAAGCCCAGCCTCCATGTTTAGTTGAAAGTAAGAAGAAAATGGATCTACCAGCAAAACGTTTTGGTGACCATGAGGAACAGTTTCAGTGTTGTGCTGAAAACCTGATTGTTGGTTGAGTAATGAATGGGGAATGGGGACAAAAGAGGACATGGAGATAAGGCTCTTTCAAGACATTTGGCTGAGTGGAGAACAGATGGACAAAAAAGCAAACCCTTTTTTTTTTTTTTTTTGAATGAACGGATTGTTAACACAGTCTATTCTATGTTAGTAGAAAGCCTGTTCATTGCAGATTTTATTTTTCTTCAGAAATAGCAGTGAACCAACTGGATCAACTGAGCCCAGAGGAACAGTTGCTGGTTAAGTGTGCTGCAGTCATTGGTCACTCCTTCCACATAGATCTGCTGCAGCACCTCCTGCCTGGCTGGGGTAAAAATAAGCTACTTCAGGTACTGAGGGCTCTTGTGGATATACATGTGCTCCGCTGGTGCAACAAGAGCCAAGAGCTTCCTGCTGAGCCAATATTAATGCCTTCCTCTATCGAGATTATTGAACAAACCAAAGAGGAGAGAAAATCAGGTGAGGCAGAGCTGCTCCCTTGTTCTCAGGACTGAATAGAGAGCTTTGGGTGAGGGTATCTGTGTTCAGAAAGAGTATCAATATCATATATCATGGGCCTCAGCCTCTTAAAGCTTATGTCTAAGAGATGGGGGAAATTAATTATTGTAACCATGGAAGACCCATGGTTATAGTGAATGAATAGCCTGTATTTTTCAGAATTGTCTTAATTTCAAGGATTCTAGCTCCATGTTAAGCCCATGTGTTAAGTATTTGTATTTTGATTTTTGGTTCAGAAAATATTGCCGTAGTCTTTTATTGGCTTCTTAGGATAAATAATAAGAAAATAGGATAAACTGTTTCTAATTTTAGAAATTCACAAGGACGTTAAACACACATGATATTGAAACATATGAACAAAGCAAGATGTAAATTAAATAGCTGCAGTCTCATGTTCTCCACAAAAAAGAATAAGCTTGTGACATAGGCTCTACCCAAAGCACACGTAATCCACAAATAATTTGGCTTTGAAATATGTTTGGACCTTATATTTGAGCAGAGCCTTTCCGTTATTTGATGTTTATAATAATTTGCAGTAAAAAAGCTCAATTTAGGAGGAAAAACTAAGAAATCTATCCAGTGTAGTTCTCTACCACTAGTCATTTCTTCCCTGTTGTACTTTATACTAGATACAGTCAATATCACTCTCAGATTGGTATAAAATTCTTTATACAAAGGAAGCCATAATACCAAATAGGAATTACAAATAAAATTTTCTTATACACCAGCAGCATGTGCTTGGGAGTTTGCTACCTGGTAGCGTAAAAGGACTTTAAGGGAGACTCTCATTTAGATTTTCCTATATTTCAGATGCTGGCTCTCCTCTCAGGCTACAAGAGAAACTATCCCTACCTCAAACCGAGGTGCTAGAATTTGGAGTGCCTCTATTGCAGGAAGCGGCTTGGGAGCTGTGGCCCAAGGCACAACAGACAGCCCTACACCTTGAATGTGCCTGGTTTCTTCGAGATTTGGCCTGCCGCTGTGGGAGCTGTCATGGGGGGGACTTTGTCCCCTTCCACCGTTTTGCCATCTGTTCTACTAAGAGCTCCAGTGGGACCTCCCGATTCTGTAGCTACAAAGATACTGGCTCGATACTGACACAAGTGATCCCAGACAAATTGCAGCTGCCTTCTCCCCAAGGTAAATCCAGGGGGCAGAAAGAAGACACGTGGGCAGCACTTCTTTTTATTCGTGTACTTGGAGCTCTTTATTCAAAAGGTGAAATCAGATTAAAAGAGAAAAATAGGTGGAGAGAGCCATTTCTCACTGAAGTACCAGAAATAAGAAAAGTGTGATCTCAGCGTTAAAAGGAACTTTAGAGATTATTCTTGGTTTGGTTGGCAATCTTGGGCAAGTTACATAACCTCAGTTAATTGAGGAAAATAACAATACACACTTCGTAGGTTGTTGTGAGGATTAAATGAGTTAAAATATATAACGTGCTTTGAATAGTGCCAGGCACGTGGTTAGTGCTCAATACGTTTTAGTTATTGTTTTTATTATTGTAATTATTCAGCTCAGTACACATATATGGAGCCCTTATGTGTATCAGATGCTGCAGTTAGGTGTTAATAATACAAAATGCAATTATCAGTTTTGGGGGGGGTGATACAGTCATATAAATAGAGAATTCCAATATGGCATGATAAAGGTGATGAAAACGGACCACATAGGAGTTGGGGTACCTAGAGAAGGGGCCATTAGCCCAGCCTGAGAAAGGAGTAAGATAAGACTCTCCCTTGAGTGAGATTTGAGGGATAAGTAGGAGTTAGCTACTTAAAGAAGTTTGGATTAGTGGATAGATGTTCCCCAAAGCCTATAGCCCTCTACCACATCCCAGATAAGAGTTCATCCTCAGGAATTCCCTGTGGTCCAGTGGTTAGGACTCCATGATTTCACTGCTGAGGGCCAAGAGTTCACCCTCTTTGTTTTAACATTTTCAGTTAGCTCACCTTGTAGGACATCCCATTTCATTCTCAGTAACTGTTAGAAAGCTTCTTTCATCAAGGTGAACTCTACCTTCCTGCAACTTTTCCACTCATTTTTCAGAGTTGTACCTTCTTTCATATTTGAAGACAGCAGTCAAGACCCAGGCAAATCTTCTCTTTTTCTACTTTGATAAAAGAGAAGTTGGTGTTGGTGTTAGCAGGGGAGAGGGATATGGGAGAGATGGTGAATCAGTGGTGGTAAAAGACTAAAATGAAGATGTTGATCTATGATCCTGCCTCTTCTGGCCAGAACATTCTTATGACTCTATGAAGGTGGACCAGTGACTTGGAGAAATTGGTCACTGGCCGATGAGCTCTACAGTCATTTGCACTTTTGTACTTTCTGAGAGGAAAGAGGAAAGTAGTAGTGAATGTCCTGGTTGGTATTATGAAGAAATCACACTATCATTCATATTTCCTATATGACCTTTTGTTTTTGAGAGGTCACTGTCAGCTGTAGATTCGACAGCCTGGTCAGTCTAGCTGTGAGAGAGGCCCAAGACCTTTCCAGCACATCCAAACCCTGAGTAGGCTTCTCAGACCCAGGGCCGTTGTGCATGACCATGTAGAACAGAGGGTGTTATTCACACAGGCTATGATATGATGATGCCCTGAGAATTGTGCATTGCAGTAGTGCTGCCAAATTCCAGTTTCCTTAGTTACCTTAGCCTTGCTTTACCTTACCTTAGGTGACATAATTAAATAATCAATAATAAACTTATGTTTACTTAACAAACACAATAATAAACTTGTGTTTTACTTAACACAAGTCCTCCCTATAATTATTCTCTTAGACTTCTTTTCAATCCCACCACCTGTGCTCCTGAGCCCAAATAGGTAACATCCCCACATCCTTCCCAGTCTTTTCTTTTTGGTCAGAAGACAGCTGCAGAGAAAAAGGCAAATCTAGAGGATAAAGGTTATTTAAGGCCAGCTAGGTAAAGCTGAAAATCTCTGCTGGTCATTGTGACTCTGGTGGGATGTGGCATCTTGTGCCCTCATGATTTTCTTCACTAGGTCTTAGGATCTGTGGTTCGCTCCCATCTAGTCGTAAATCTGATCTAGATATATTCTTGGATTTCTACTATTAGAATTAGTCATCAAACCAGATGGACACATTCTTTATTCATTTCTTTTGCAAACAGAATTAGGAATTGGTTTGGGAAGTTTGATAATGAAAGGAGTTACTATTTGAATCACAAATAGTTGCATTTAAGGAAAAAATTAGCACCCTAATCTTGTGTGTAAGGCTAATTTTAAACCTAAACTTATCATTTTTATAATGGGGGAGGCAATTAGGTCATGAACTAAGCTGCAGTGGAAAGGAGTCAGGAATTTTCAATATTCTCAGTTAATACAAATACGGGCAATTGAAGATAATCATCTCTTTCTCCCTACAGACAGTTCTCAGTTCCAGACAGAATCACCCAGAAGTCAGGAGGCCTTCACAAGGGAACACTGCAGGTAGGTGGAGATGCTGAGAGTGGGCATGGAGGAGGCCAGGAAGTGAGACACAGATAACCATTAAACTAGGGCACTCACCTTACCTGCAGACAAGGAAGGCATCTGACCACCCAGGAGCAGTGACTCTTGTACTCAGCCCAAAATTCAAGTTAACAGAGAATCAGAAAGGCAATTTTTGATTGTTTGTAGGGAAATTATTTTTTAGTGATTAAGAAAAACTGTATTTAATAGCTCTCAAATGTATTGTACATGTAGCAGATTGTTTTCAGCTATAAATTTGCCTTCTCAATTACTTTTGAGCCCAGATGATATTAAAATGATTTTACATTTCATAACTATGTACCTCCTGGCTTTCTAATGCCTGTCTTAACAATTTTACATGTTCATACCTTGAATTCATCAGCCACTCTCGAGTTTCCTATTATACTTATCCAACCTGATTTCTTCAGTTTTCAAACAAAAATCTATATTCTACATGAATCACCCCCATACTTATTGTGTCTGTGCTCACACAGTTCTCCCTTTTAAACATACTCAGTGGCATCCACATCCTTCCAGTTAACAGAATGGTCACCATCCTTCAAAGCCCTCCTCAGTTCCCACTTTTTTCAATCATTCTATCTCAGAGAGATCAGACCTCTTTTGAACTCGTGGTGCCTGTAGAAAGTGCATTGGACTAGTAGTCAGAAAGGTGAACTCTAGTTTTGGTTCTACTCAGTAGCTGTGAGGTCATACATAAGTCACTTAATCTCTCTGAGCTTCAGTTTCCTCATCTGTAAGAGGGAGGTAATTTTTGCCTACCTGAATGGCAGGGTTATTGTAGGATAAGGTGGTGGTATTGTATAAAATAATATTCAAATATGCCATGATGGAGTTCAAATGTGCTAATAGATAAAGGTATTATTACTGCTTTGTATCATTTTTATGTTTGCATGCAACAGTGTTAGTTTACTCTTCGGGTGTGGTCGTTTCCTTTAGTTTGTGAGGTACTTTGGCTTTAGGTTTTTAAAACTCCCTAATAGGGCTTTGCCATTATAGACCAGGTCCCTGACTTTCAAAACCTATGGAGCAATGGAGGAGAAAGATAGACATAGAATTAATGAATTATAAAGGAAAGCTTCCTGGACAAAGTGGCTTTGAGACCTGGTAATGCCTCAGCAAGAGTGGCTACTGGGTGGCCACTCTCAGCTCTTCATCTTCTCTCCACAAAGAACAGAGGAAGAGTTCCTGGATCAAGTGAACAGGAAACTGGCTCAGACCAGCCCTGAGAAAGACATGTTAACCACGAAGCCCTGCCACTGTAAGGAAGTCCTGAAGTTAGTGCTGTCACCTCTCACCCAGCACTGCCTGGTCATTGGAGAAACCACTTGTGCGTTTTATTACCTGCTGGAGGCTGCCGCTGCCTCCTTGGACCTGTCAGATAATTACATGGTGAGCAAGCTCTGCTCTCTGCCCCTGAGCTGAGCCCTATGACTAGGGGAATTTTATAGGGATTTCTTACCATCAAGTAACTTGCAATGAAAAGTGGAGGAAAGTGGGAGAGAGAGAAGCTGTAAGGGGTCTAGGAGAAAATATGAAGTGAGAGTGAAGGAGCACCACGTGCTGCCAGCCCTGCCCCAACTCCTGCACACACAGTCCAGCTCCCCATTTCTAACTAAATCCTGCCCCAGTTCAAATTCATCATAACCTTGATCTAGCCCTCGCCCCAGTCACACGCTTAGCAACATCCAAATCCTAATCCAGTTTCTCCATCCCTTGTCTTGTTTGGAGGCCTTCCTTTATTTGAGGAAGGCAAGCAGCCTTCTGGGCCAACCCTCAGCATTCTCGTTTTATAAAAAGCACAAGGTGAAGATCTGTCAGTTTGAGGAGGCCACTTTCTGCTGTCTTCGGTCAGAGGTGAGGGCAGGGGGTAACCTTGAAGTTTGGGTTGTTTCTCCTTGAGGAATATCCTGTTATTTCCTTTAAAATCTCTTTTTTTGTGTGCAATTATAAATGTGATTCAAATTCAAAACAGAAATACATGTAGAAGGTGAAAGAGCGCTTACTAATCCCATGTCACCCCCAGCATAGTTAATAATTGGTGTGAATTCCACCAATTATACACACATACTCATATCATTATTGTTTTCCATTATTTTTAAAATAGAATCATAATTCTACGTTGTCTTTTTTCTGCATCTGGTTTTTATTCTTAAAAATACAGATTGAACATATTTGCATATTGGCATACATCCAATCATAGTTACAGGTGCCAAGTACTACGTTATATCCATATATCAAATTTACTTAGCCATTTCCTTCTTCATGTACATTTAGGTTATCTCTAATTTGGGGTTATTATAAACATTTCTACAGTGAATATTTTTGTAAATATCTCTTTACTCCCTTGTGAGAGTGTTTCTGTAAGAGAAATTTTCAGAGGTGGAAATGCTAAGGCAGACAATATGAATGATTTTACAATTAATAAATATAACGCCAAATTGTCCACTACAGTATTATATGAATTTGAGTTTTTCTCACTTCTTCACATCCTTACCAACATCAGATATTATAAGTCTTCTTTAAATGTTTATTGGTCATTTATTTCTGTGAATTGCCTGTCATGTCCTTTGCTCACTAGAGTGTATATAAACTAATTCAGGGGGATGCAGGGGTGAACAAAATGGGTGAAGGTAGTCAAAAAGTATAAGTTCTGAGGTTGTGATGCACAGCATGGGACGGTAGTTAACAGTACTGTATTGTATATTTGAAATTTACTAAGAGAGTAGACCTTAAAAGTTCTCGTCACAAGAAAAAAAATTGTAACTATATGTGGTGACGGATGTTAATCAAACTTACTGTAATGATCATTTTCCAGTATATACACATATTGAATCATTATGTTATACACCTAAAACTAATACAATGTTGTATGTCAGTTAGCCCTCAATTAAAAAAATCATCCCATTGTACACCTTAAAGTTACACAATGTTATATGTCAAATATATCTCAATAAAGCTAGAAGGAAGAAAAGAACATACATTTCAAAGTCTCTCCCCGCAATCCCACCACTGAGCCACTGTGTCCTCTCTTTATGTATTCTACCAGAGGGGCTCAGCATACATAAATGTATATAACCTTTCCCCTTCCTTTGTTATATACAAATAGGAACTCTCTATACTCCATTCCACATCTTGTTTTAAAATAAATAAATATACCTTGTAGATCATTCTATATCACTTATAACAAATTTCCCCAGGGAATGAGATTTGTATATCAAATAGAAACTCTGGGGAAAGCATGCCATGAGACATTCCATTTTCAAAGGACAAATAGGGGTAAACTTACTTATTCTGGATGAATAACTCATAACAGCAACTTCTCCCAGCCTCATTACTGTTAAATCCAACAGAACAAAATATGTTGGAATGATTATTTATCAAGTTATAAATGATGACTTCATAAAACCATGGGGGATGTTTTGTTAGCCAAGCTTTCAAATAAAATACATAAATAAATAAAAACTAGTTTCAGTGTGAACCTTAAGATACCTTGGTTAGGAGAGTAAACCTAATGTGTATAAATGCCTTTGAACACCAAAGGGAATATTAGAGTTATCCAAGGTATTGCATTAGTTGCGTTTCAACCGAAAGGTCTTTGGAGCAAAGTTAAATAATTATTTCTTCCCCTTTAAAAGAAAGAATTACTGTGCAGTCTTCCTAAGCTTGTTCAGAAATTACCATAGACTTTATCATTTTCTTGGAGGATTTAGCCATAGAACATGCAGGTATATGATAACCTCAAGGTAGTTCCTCAGATCTTACCCTCAAATGCACTATGGTGGTACAACTTGTTTATGAAGAGGGATACGGGATTTGGTGATATCTCAGATGCTTTCCGTGGCATCTGAAGCATCTCGGTTTCTGCCCAAATGATAATCCCATCTGAGTCTAGCAGCATCACCTTCTAAATCACAGCCTTCCTCTACTACTCACTGGCAAATGTGTGGGAGATGAGAAAGGAGAGTGCTTTCTCCGTAATTCTGTTTTCTCCTTTACTTGGCTCGTGGCCCTACTGGTGCCTGGTAGCGTGGCCAGGCTCTGCTCCAACTCAGCTCACTCTGGTACCTCAAGGGCCCCAAGAACACATTCCAAAATAAAAGCCAGTGTGTTATATCCAGAACCTTGTCCTTAATAATCTTCCCACATTTACATTACTGTTTCTCATTTTACCATCTCCAGGTCTGTTTCAACATGGGACAGATCACCTTGGCCAAAAAATTGGCTAGGCAAGCCCTTCGTCTGCTGAAAAGGAATTTCCCTTGGACCTGGTTTGGTGCCATTTTCCAAACATTCCTAGAGAAATGCTGGCGTTCCTGTTCCCTGAGCCAACCCCCAGACAATCCTAGTGAGAAGTGAGAAGCCTAGCCAACTTGTCCTGTTTCCATTTAGGGCCACAGAGAAGTAAACTAGGACCCAGCCTGGAGTTTTGCCTATTTGAGTAAAGACTGCTCTTTTTACAGCCAATTCAGTGTAGCTGAATGAGGGCTTCTTTAGTTTTTGGAGTATGGTATTATCCTGTCTCTTTCAAATAAAGATACATATATGTGTATTGTGTGTACACATACACATACGTGGCAATTTAATATCAATATTATTTCTCCGATATATATACACATAATACTGAGTTGCTACCTGGTCATTGAGCTATAATAATTTATAGGAAATGTATTCAACCAAAAGAGCAATTCAAAGAATGAAACCTTTTTTAAAAAACGTCTCTGAAAACTTTTTTTTCTGGTTGAGAGGGATGAATTTAAAAGGCATACCGGGTTAGAAGTAGTGGGATCCCAGGAACCTTTCTGAGTCTGAAAGTCTGGGTGAGTATACTCAGATTTCTTGTGGGGAAGGATAGTGGACACTGGTGAAGAGTAAGGGCATGCTAACCACCCTTTGCTTCACACCAGTAAGAAGAAGCTGGCAGTCCTGCAGCAGCAGGTGCAATGCCTCTCCCTGCTCTGGCAGCTCTACAACCTGGAGGCCACAGCCAGCAGCCGCAGGTTTGCCTGCCTGGCCACTCTTATGCAGGAGAATTCAGCCAAGGAGTCTGCCAGTGAAGCCCAGGTAAGCCAGCCCTTGGTTTACCTCTGTCCTCACTCAGAAACTTAAAATGCTAGGGGGAGAGACCCTGCCAAGTCCCTGGTTAAGTGTGGTTCCACGGTAACCCAGACTTAACGGGACACCACTGATCTTGTATTTGAGCAGGGTTCTCAATTTGCAGTTTATAGATGGGCTTCCAGGTACGAAGCTATCTGTGAACTCTCTGAACTGAATGTTGACTTTTGTGTGTATGTTCAAAAGAGCATTTGGGGAGTGATAGGAAGTAGGGAAGGGATCATGGCTTTCATCAGATTCTCAAAGCCAGTGGTCTAAAAAAAGGATCAGAATTGCTGACTTAGGAAAAAAGAAGAAAGGCTTCCTAATTTTAGTGTCCATCTGTCTATATCTCTCTTTTATCCATCTGTTCAACAAATATTTGACGAACACCTATTCTGTGCCAGGCACTGATCTTGGTTCCAGGGAAACAGATAAGTGAAATATGTCGTATGTCAGGTGATAATAAATACAATGAAGAAAAATTACATGAAGACCAGAGGACATGGAGTTCTGGGAACTGGGGGCGGGGCGGGGCGGGGCGGGGCAGGGATGCAATTTTAATAAGATGGTAGGGAAAGCCTTACTGAGCAGTTGGCTTGTGGGCAACTATCTGAAGGAGATGAGAAAGGCCACATGGCTATCTGGGAGAAGAGTGGAGAGGAAGAGGGCATAGCGAATGCACAACGTATGCCCTCTGTGTTTGAGGAACCGTGTGACTAGAGGGGAGGGAGGAGAGGTGGAAGAGCCAGGAGATGAGTCAGAGAGTCTAGGGAGGGGGATGGGAGATGGTGCCGGCCTTGTAGGCCACTGTAGTGGTTTTGGCTTTTACCCTAAAGAAGGTGGGAAGCTGTTAGTGGCTTCTTAGAAGTGGAGTAACCGAGTCTGCTTATATTTTAATAAGATTATTCTATTGGAAACCTAACGAACACGGTGTTTCAAGAGTGTCATCAATGATGTCAACTGTGCATGCAACTGATAACAGAGATCTAGGCAGCAGTTCTGAAGAGTTCTAAGGGGCAAGAATCAGAGGACTTAATTAGAGAAAACATAGAAGAGGTGCAGTTTGGCCAGCGTTTTGAAGGGGAAAGTCTCGGATTGAGGAGAAACAAGAGGCACAGATGGAGAAAGTGGTTTGTTTCAAGAACAGGCAGTGAGAATGACCAAATTAGAAGTGTAGGGGTGAGAAGGAGTGTGTTTTCATAGCTGGAGTTGAGGTGAGTGGTGGGGCCCCCAGGAGTGCTGACTGAGTGAGCAGCAAAGCATGCAGGGGGCTCTTATGCAGGAAAAGGACGAGATGGAGATGCAGCCTGACTGTACAGTCAGAGTATTTACCCCATGTTTGTTGCCCTGCAGGTTGTCTCTACCTACGTGGCCCTCTCCCAGTTCTCCCAGAACATGGGTGACAAGGAGAAGTGGCTGCATTGTGAGCAGATGGCCATTCAGAAAAACAGCCTATGTTGGTTCTCCAGGGAGGGATTGTTGGCCACAGCCCAGCTCATGCAGGCCTTGGCCTACACCAAGCTCTGCCTCGGCCATCTTGACTTCTCCATCAGACTGGGTAATGGGGCCTGACGCTGGTGGGCCTAGGGCTTTTAGAGAGGCCAGGTTCACCTCTAGACCTCACATGATGCTCTTTAACCTCCTTAGGTTTTCAAGCTCGTGAGATATGCAGACACCTCAAGAAACCAGCTCTGGAGAATTTGGTTCTCTCAGTTCTCTTCAGATCTGCATTTCTGAAGAAAAAGTATTAAGATCATTTTCCGTCCTTTGTATTTGTTGCCTTAGAAGGGAGGGTATGATCTTCCAGAGAAGCTTAGAGTGGAGAGGGAGAAACTGTTTCCTCTCCACAGCCAGGACTGTCTCTTCTCTAGTCACTCCAGGAAGCATTGTCTTAAGTTTGAGGGGTCAGGAGTAGAAATGCAGAGTCTGAGCTACCAAATATTCCTTTTTTCCCCCATTTTTCTGCAGGGAGGTAGGTAATTGATCAAGACCCTGGAAATTGTCTCAGAGTCATTTTCCCACTTCCTTTGCCTTAGAGACAGGTCTGATCCCAGGCACAGATGCTCTCTATATAAATAGAGTTATGGAGAGGAGATTTAGGGGATATTAGGCTGCTTTGAAGGTGTAAGATCCCCTCCTCTCCTATACCGTCCTCCCCATTCTCTAGCTGGTCCCAGTGGCTCTGTCTCTCGGCAGATTTGATCTGTGTGTCCATGTGCTGGAGAGTCAGTGGGCGCTCATTTCCCAGAGTCATGATGTCCTTGGCCTGGCCTGCTTCTATTCTGCTTGCTTAGATCTGCTGCTCTATGGAAAAGGTAAATTTGTGCCAGGCTCTGCTGTACTCCTGAGGGATTCAGACCTCAGGTGGGGCCCTGGGTTTGGAACATAGGCAGTCATGAGCCTGTCCCTTAGGCATGGCCTCTGGTTCCTTAAGGTCTAGGAACCACGTTGTGATTCAGGGATGTCTGCCTTTCAGGTGCTGTCTCCTCCCCTGTACCACACACCTTCTATACCACTTCCTATGTGGACAGCTTATACTAACCTGGTTACTTTCTCTGTCCACAGGATGGCTGTGTCGGCCCTTTGGGGAATGTCTGCATTTCATTCAACATTATGAGCACAGCTGCATTCTAAATTCTCAGAGCAATGTCATGCTGGGGGTCCACTCCTCTCTGGCCATGTGGTAATGTGGGGTACCAGCATGTTACTCAGGGCTGTGGGAAAGGGTAGAAATTTGAAGACACCATGAACTCATTGAAACTATTGCCTTTGCCCTTCCAGGCAGGACTGTTCCACATCTCCAACCCACTTCTTTGTTTGTTTTTTTTTTAATAAATTTATTTATTTGTTTTTGGCTGTGTTGGGTCTTCGTTGCTGTGCACGGGCTTTCTCTAGTTGCAGCAAGCGGGGCTACTCTTCATTGCAGTGTGTGGGCTTCTCATTGCGGCGGCTTCTCTCATCCGACCCACTTCTAAAGACCAACTCCCATTTACCCCCCATCTTATTTGTAGGGTTCTTCTTGTCCCTTAACAGGTTTGGGCTTATAGATTAAGGGTTTGGTTTAGAGTTACATTTAAGTGCAAGATAACCCATGGCAAGGCTGAATATCATTGGTTTCCTTTTAAGTCTCCTTACATGTGAGTTAGTAGCCTTGGCCACTTACCAGAATCACAATTCTGACTGTCCAGGAGATCTTAGAGCCTTAAAAACATGACAGTTCTATGAAAGAGCCATGGTTGGTAAGCAGGGGAGAGAGCTGAGAGCTGTGATTCTTCCCTTTCAGGTTTGCCCAGGACTCACAGTGGAAGCTATTTGAGCACCGCTTCTCCAAGGCTCACCAGTTGGTGAAAAGAACCAATGCCTCACTGTTTGGTTCACATGGCTTTGTCCGATTTCTAGAGTGCCATGTGCTAATGTTACAGAAGATGCCAGAGGGTGTCTTCGCACATACTGCCTCAGAGACTCCCCGCCAAACCCTCAAGGTACCTGTCTCCATTACCCCTCAACTAACACCTAAGTTACGGTACTCTTTCTCCCACCTGCATCTCTCCCTTACTCTTCTCCTTGCCGCCTCTGTCTCTTTTTCACCCTTGAACCCTTTTTTCACTCCACCTAGAAAGTCTTTCCACCTACCTCATGTATCCTCCCAGATATTCTTGCATGGTCAGGACTGGATTCCTTAACTTTCTGGATTTGCACAGCTACTACCCAGTACCATTAAAATGTTAACACTTAGCCCTTCTCAGTGGACCACTCTGGCTCAGTCTATACTGTCCTCCCTGCATCCCTGCCTTCTGAGTTTGACACATCTCCCTGCATCCCTGCCTTCTGAGTCTAAAACATTCCAGTCCCTCTGTATCTCAAAACAGACTTTCTGGGCCTACTTTACCATCTGGGCCTACTTTACTCCTTTCTGTTACCCCAGCCCTGAGTGAGTATGCTGAGTGGGGACTGCTGTAAGTTCTGATGGAGTGGAGTGGACGAAAGAAGGTACTAATCCCTGAGCTAACGGACCTTCGCTTCCTTTCAGTACTTTAAGGAGTTCTTCTCTCGATGTGTGACCTGCCCTGTCTATCACCAGTGGGTCTCTGAGCTTAAAGCCTCTGTAATGAGATATGGAAAGAGAGAGTCCATGTCCTTGACTAACGTCATCAGACCTTTTGACACCTGCTTGACCAGGATTTGGATAGAGGGAGAATTCCTGGAGGAAAATAACTCCTTTGAAGGAAATTTGCAGAGTAAGCATTCCTTCCTGGAACACTTGTCTGAGAGACATAAAGAACAGTCTCAGATTCTTACTCACAAGCAGTCAAAGACTGTACCTCCAAGTAGAAGGGACATGCAGATAATTAGGGTTAGTCCTTGCTCCAGAGGTAATTGTCCTTCTCTCCCTAGACAGAGACCCCTTATATTGTTCAACAGTATAAGAGCCTCTCTTGGCCCTTTGTTTCAGCATCTATAACCCTTAGGCATAGGAAGTTCCTCCTTGGTCCCAGCTTAAACAAATAGATTGTTCCCTTGGAGCAGCTGGATGGTCACTAAGGGAGAAAGAAGGCCTTAGAAACCACAATGTAATGTCTGTGAAGGTAAATGATAAGATATGGGCAAGTAAAAGAGAGGAAAGAATATAGTTTCTTGCTCTAGGGCCCAGCAAATCTCCTCCTCCAGGCCATGAGTTAAATTTGTAATTGCTGAGGAAATTCTTTGTGTTTGTATTACTCTTTATGTTCCTATTTTCAGGATTTGTCAGAGTGGCTGATGTCAAGGAGAATAAAGATGAAGAAGAAATTCAAGAATGTATATGTTAAAACAAACAAACAAAAATCATCTGAAGGGACCATGATTCTTTCATTACATGTAATACAAAGATATGCCCCCAAGTCTCCTTTTTAAGATACTGTATAGTATACATATTAAATATGCTAGCCTTTATCTATATCTTTGTCAAAATAAAAGCCTGTGTTTCTAAAGCATGAAACTTAGATCTTTCTTAACTCTTAACAGTCGTTAATGCAACTATGGCAGAAATTAGAATCAGAGCTAGACCGGAGGCCAGGGAGGCTTTGAGATGAACTGATTCCATCTTATATAATAAGGTAAGATCCATTAACATAATCTTTTCAAGGTTCTTCCATGTTGTAGAATTCCTTTTTGTGGCTGAATAACATTCCTTTTTATGTATATGCCACAGTTTCTTTATCCATTTATGAGCTAATGGATATTTGGGTTGTTTCCACTTTTTGGTTATTATGAATAATGCTATGATAAACATTTGTGTACAGGTTTTTGTATGAACGTATGTTTTCAGTTCTCTTCAGTATATACCTAGGAATGGTATATCCATTTCTGTATGACAATGGGTCATACAGAAACTCTCTGTTTAGCTCTTTAAGGAACTGTCAAATTGTTCTCCAGAGTTGCTCTACCATTTACATTCCCACCAGCAATGTGTAAGCATTCCAGTTTTTCACATCTTCACAAACAATTGTTATTATTTGTTTTTTTTGATTATAGCCATTCTAGTGATTGTGAAGTGGTATCTCATTTTGGTGTTGATTTGCATTTCCTTAATGACTAATGATGTTGATCATTTTTTTATGAGCTTATTGGCCACTTGTATATCTTCTTGGAGAAATGTCTATTCAAATCCTCTGTCCATTTGTTGTTGGAATATTTGCATTTTTGTTGAGCTTGAAGAGTTTCTTATATATTCTGGATACTAGACCCTTATCAGATTTGATTTACAAATATTTTCTCTCATTCTATAAATTGTCTTCACATTCATGATGGTACTGTTTTGCAGCACAAAAGTGTTTTGTTTTGATGAAGTCCAGTTTATCTGTTTTGTTTTTGTTTTTTGGTTGCTTGTGCTTTGGTATCATATCTTAGAAACCATTGCCAATCTTAGGCCACAAAGATGTTTTTTCTCTGTTCTCTTCTAAGCATTTTACAGTTTTAGCTTTTATTTAGGTCTTTGATTATTTTGAGTTAATTTTTGCATATAGTGAATGGTAAGTTTCCAAATTCATTCTTTTGCATGTGGATATACACTTTCTCAGCCCCACTTATTGAAAAGACTATTCTTTCCCCCATTTAAATGACTGAACACTCTTGTTGATTTATGGTTTTATGAGATGTATGGGTTTATTTCTGAACTCTCAGTTTTATTCCATTGGCCTATATGTCTATCCTTATGCCAATACACACAGTCCTGATGATTGCAGCTTTGTAGTAAGTTTTAAAATGAGGAGGTGTGAGTCTTCCAACTTTATTATTCATTTTCAAGATTGTTTTGGCTGTTCTGGGTCCCTTGCATTTCCATATGACTTTTAGATCAGCTTGTCAGTTTCCACAGTTTCCACAAAAAGGAGAGCTGTAATTTTGAGAGAGATTATGTTGAATCTATAAATCAATTTGCAGAGAATTGCTGTCTTAGTAATATTAAGTTTTCTGATCCATGAAAGTGGCATATCTTTTCCATATATGTAGGTCTTTTTAAATTTCTTTCAGTGATGTTTGTAGTTTTTAATGCACAAGTCCTACACCTCTTTTGTTAAGTTTATACCTAAATAATTTTATTATTCTTGGTACTATTATAAATGGAATTGTTTTCTTAATTTCATTTTGGGTTGTTCATTGCTAGGGTATAGAAATAAAACTGATTTTTGCATATTGGTTTTGTATCCTGAAACTTCGCTGAATTCATTTGTTAGCTCTAAGTTTTTTTGGTTTGGGTGCACTCCTTAGTATTTTCTATATACAAGATCATGTTATCTGCGAATAGAGATAATTTTACTTCTTCCTTTCCAATCTGGATGCCTTTTATTTCTTTTTCTTGCCTAATTGCACTTGCTAGATCCTACAGTACAATGTTGAATAAAAGTGACAAGAGTGGACATGCTTGTCTTGTTCTCAACTGTAGGGGAAAAGTTTTTAGTTTTTTACCTTTAAGTATGATGTTAGCTGTGAATTTTTTATAGATGCTCTTTATCAGGTTGACGAAATCCCGTACTATTCCTAGTTTGTTGAGTGTTTTTATCATGATAGAGTGTTGGGTTTTGTCAAATGCTTTTTCTGTCACCTGTTGAAGTGATCATGTGGTTTGGGGGGTTTTTTCTATTAATATGGTGTATCATATTGATTTTCAAATGTAGAACCAACCTTGCATTCCTAGAATAAATCGCGCTTTGTCATGGTGTATAATCCTTTCTGTTTGTTCCTAGGTTCTATTTGCTAGTGTTTTGTTGAAGATTTTTGCATCTACATTCATAAGGAATGTTGATCTGTAGTTTTCTTGTGATCTCTTTGTCTGGTTTTTGTATCAAAGTAAAACTGGCCAGTCTAGCTAAGGTTTGTAAATTTTGATCTGGTCAAAGAACAACTCTTGGTTTTGCTGATTTTTTTCTGTTGTTTTTCTCTTCTCTATTTCATTTATTTCTGCTCTAATTTTTATTATTTCCTTCCTTCTATTTGCTTTGAGTTTAGTTTGCTCTTCTGTTTCCAGTTTCTTCAGGTGGAAAGTTAGGTTGTTAATTTGAGATCGATCGATCTTCTTTTTTTTTTAAAATATAGGTATTTACTGCTATAAATTTCCCTCTAAGCACTGACTTTGCTGAATCACCTAAGTTTTGGTATGTTGTGTAATTATATTCATTCATTTCAAAGTATTTCTAATTTCTCTTGAGATTTCTTTTTCCTGTTTGTTATTTAGGAGTGAGTTGTTTAATTTCCACATATTTGTGAGTTTCCAAAATTTACTTCTGTTACTGACTTCTAATTTCATACTATTATGGTCAGAAAACATACTTTGTATGATTTCAATCCTTTTAAATTTATTTAGACTTGATTATGGTCAAATATATGGTCTGTCCTGGAGACTGTTACATGTATACTTGAGAAGAATGTGTATTCTGCTGTTGTTGGGTGGAGTGTTCTATAGGTATCTGTGAGGTCTAGTTGGTTTATAGTGTTGTTCATGTCTACTCTTTCCTTGCTAATCTTCCACCTACTTGTCCTATCATTTTTGAAAGTGGAATATTGAAGTCTACAACCATTACTCTTTGTTTATTTCTCCTTCAGTTCTATCAGTTTTTGCTGTATTTTGAAACTCTGTTGTTAGGTACCCATATGTTTATCATCGTTATATCTTCTTAATGGGTTGAGTCTTTTATCATTATAGAATGTCCTTTCTTTATCACTAGTAACAATTTTTGTCCTAAAGTCTATTTTGTCTGATATTAGTATAGCTACTCCAGTGCTTTATAACTAGTTTGCATGATTTATGTTTTCCCATTCTTTTACTTTCAGCCAACTTGTGTTTTTCAATCCAAAGTTTGTCTCCTAGAGACAGCATATAGTTGGATCATGTGTTTTTTAATCATTCTGCCAATCTCTGCCTTTTAATTGGAATGTTTAATCTGTTTACATTCAGTATAATTACTGGTAAGATTTATGTCTTCCATCTTGTTATTTGTCTTCTACTTGTCTTATGTCTTTTTTTCTCCTCTATTCCTTCACTGTCTTTTGTTATATTAAATGAGTTAAGTTTAATTCCCTTGTCATCTCTTTTACTATATAATTTGTGTTATTTTCTTGCTGTAGGGATTACAGTTAGCATTTTAGTTTAAAACAATATAGTTCAGATTAATACCAACTTAATGTCAATAATATACAAAAACTGATTCTATATAGCCCCATTCCCTCCCGCCTTCTTCATATTGTTATTGTCATAAAAGTTACATCTTAATAAATGGTGTACCCATCAACACAGGCATATAATTATTGCTTAATGAAGTTGTCTTCTAAATCAAATAGGGGAGGGGAAAGCCATTTTTCTTGAGTAAATACTCCTTGGATTGAATCAAGCCATTGGTTAATTTCCAGAGTTCTGAAAAAGTTGATTCTATTTTTGCCAGTTTTCTTGTTTCTTTTATGGAGGAGAGAATTTTCAGAGTTCTCTAACCACTTTCTTTTAAAATCACTCTCAATGTACTTTTAACTTGTATTTCCCTTAGATGAAGTTAAACATCTTTATTATGTTTATATTTCTTTTTGTGTGGGCTATAGGTATGTATTCTGTGACTGTATTCTATTAAGTATTTGTTTTCTAGTTGATTTGTAGGGGTTGGGGAAATGAGCCATCTGCCTTTGTATGAGCTGCAAAATTTTTCTTCATTTTGTGTTTTGACTTTTGTTTATGGTGTTTTTGTCATAAAGGGAAAAGTATCAGTCTTTTCTTAATTTATCCTAATGTGTCAGTTTTAATGTATCTATGAATTCTTTTATGGCTGCTGAGTTTTGTGTAATACTTTAAAGATTTTTTTCCTCTAAGATTATTTTAACTATTCCCCAATGACCTTTCAAGTATTTTTTAAAATAAATTTTATCAAAATATAATTTACATGCAGTAAAGTACACCTATTTAAATGATGAGTTTTGACAAATGTATACTCCCATGTAACCACTACCACAAACATGATAGAGAACATTTAATCACACCCAAAAGTTCTTTCAGGCCCCTTTAGAGTCATTCCCACTCTACCACCACCACCAGCGCAAAATACTCTTGTTATTTTTTTTCCTTGTGTTTATATCTGTGACGATTTCCCCCTTGTCATTTATTTCACCCATCTTCTTGAGTAAAGTTAGCTAACACTTTATTTCATTTTACTTCAAAGAATAAGCTCTTTTATTTATGTATTAGTTATGTCATTTTTCTCCTTTAAAATTAACTAGCTATTTGAGTTAGATGCTTAATTCTTGTTAAGGGTGTGAATTTTCCTCTGAGAACTTCTTTAACTGAATTCCAAAGGTTCTGATATGAAGCAGTCACCTCACCATGTCACCTGCATTTTCTTTGCTTTGTTTTTGTGTTTCTTATAATGAAATTTAGTTTAGTATTTTCATCTTAGCAGTTACTTTTATACCTATGACTCTGGTTGGAAGTCTATGAATACCAACCAAAGCAATGATGGAATTAATATATTTCTCCTTCCCTCTTCTCTTCCAGCCAATTGATTATCTTAGTATTTTCTTTTGTATTGTTAAATATACCTTTACTTCTGTCACGTTCTAAAAAGTTCAAACTACATTCAGACCAGGTTAAGTTTCTCCCAGAGGGGTGCTTTTTAGACCTAGTCTGCCCTTCCCCCACATTCTCCTGCCCTCCCCCCCCCCCACCTTGCCTTCCCACCAGGCAAGTCCCCAGTCATCTTAGCCAGGGGAAATGAGGGCTTAGTTGATTGGTGGGCAGCTCCTGCCTCCCTAAGGGACAGAGTAAATTTAGGTTCTGTCACAGGCTGAGACTATCAGAGGAAGCTCAAAACATCCTGCCAGAGCTTCCTGAAAATAGCATCACTAGACTTACACAGTCCCTGCCTGTTCCTTCTCCTCAGATATCTAGACCAAGCTTAGGGCCCTTCCAGATGGTCCAGATGGCCAAAATCTCTTTTTGCTTAGTTCTCCGTGATTATAAAAGACTGGGTTCCTGAGCACCTCATCTTCTCCATTTAAGTCTCTCATCTCAGTATGGGCAAATATTTTCAAACTGAACAGTTGAGAAGAAATCATGGCAGAAACCTTAAAGGGCCTCCTATCCCTAGGCTGGACTAGCTTTCATTTACACTCAACCATGGCCATACCCTTACCATTTATTCCTCCTCCCCTCACCCCCATGCCCTTTTTCCACTGGACTCGTCCCAGGCTCAGAGTTCAGGCCAAAGGGAACAGAACTACCAGATGATCACCCAGTTGAGAAAGAGCCAGCTCTGGTAAAACTGATGTCTGCAAAGTTCTTTCATTTCCTGGTGCTTGAAAATCCTTTGTCCTGCCAAGGATTAAGCTTGGTATCTATTTCAGTTTCTGATCTTACTCCTGTTTCTTTTCACCTCCATCTCTCATACCCCATCTTTCCTGAATCTCCTTTAACTATTATCCCCCTTCTCCCACCATATGTTGTTACATCATAAGATGTCACTTGTTTACAAGGTATAGAGCAGAAAGCAGAAGAGATTTCTAGACTCGAGCAAATGACTGTACTTTCAGGTATCCTGATAAAGGCAGGAAATACTTTTGAAGAAGTCTTCTTGATGCCCCTTAATTCAAACTGTGTGCAGTATTCTGACCAGGGAGGGAAACCACTTCCCCGCTAGCAGAACAGGCAGGAGATCATACAACACAAACTCTGGACCAGTGTTTTCAGTTCTTGGGCCATGTGAAGTCAAACTTGGGCCCTTTCCTTCCCCCTCAAGCATCAAGAGCTCATATATTATCATTTAGAGTTTATTTAGCCCTGTGGTGTAATGGCAGAGGAACTAGCATGGGGGGGCTTCCCCAGACACCTCAATCGTTCCAAGTATCACTTACCAGGTGAGAAAAGTCAAGATATTAGATCAGATCCTAAAGACCCTAGTTGCTCTGATATCCTAAGGATCTAGGGCACAGACTGCGTGGATAGCTACACAGAACCCTGGGGATGATCTCTGTGAGTTTACAGGATGGTGAACAGCTTAGCTGGGTGGAATCTCACTATTAGGTGGATCCTGGGCTGGCTCGAAGGAGGCTCCTCCACTCTTGTCCCCTCCAGGGAAGATGACTGTGGCGTATGTCACAGGCTTGGAGCAGATCTCAGCCTTAGGAGGCAGAGGGGGCAAACAGGATGGGGCTGGGGGTGGGTGTTTCCCTGACAGGGAATCAAGAGGAAGGTTGGTGTAGGTGTTATTGTCAAAGGAAGGTGGCGAGTCGAGCCTAACATATGGTACATCCGATGGCAAGTCAGCAGCCAGTCCAGAGTCACTGATGTGATGGACCACTGAGGAGGGGGCCTGTAACAAAAGCAGGCAAATCAGGCAAAGAGAAAATGCCTCCCTCTGCCCCAGTTCCCTTAGATGGGAAGCCTAGGACCAGACTGGATCTGTCTCTTCAATCCTGAGTATGTCAGTGGGCAAGAAGGCTTCACTTTGAAGATTTTCAAGCCCCGAGTTTCTCTACAAATCTGGGAAGGTGGATAGCAAGGTGGGAAGGTACGAGACCATTGTTGCCAAGTTGACAGCGTTTAGGAAGAGGGTTTGGACCTCTACTGGGTCCCAGTCTTTTCTCCACCTCATCATCCTGGGACTTCTCAGTGATTGTGGCAGAGGGAGGGTCTGGGGAATTTGGCTGAGGGCCTGCGGAGATCTCTTACCGAGCCTGAGACTCCACTGCTCTGAAATCGTCCACAGGCAGAAAGCCTGTTCCCTGGCAGGACAGAGGACAGAAGCACAGTCTGCTTCTTGTGCTGACTCAGTGCCCGCCTCACGCCCTTCAGAAACTTTGGAAACCTCTGTCCTAGCCTCCACCTTCCCCACTCCCACCAGCAAAATTTTCCCCTTCCATCTCCCCAGCCCCCACCCCCAGCCAGCCCTAACTCTCCCCCCACCCACTTACTGCTTCCACAGCTCCCCTCAACCTGCCTCAACACTCAATCCATCTCCCGAAATCCCCCACCTCCTCCAGTCACCTGTCCCCAATCCCACTGTCTCACCCTCTCCAATTCCTGTTTCTCCCCAGGCCGCCTCCCACTGAATCTCTTTGCTCTCCTCTACCCCTCAGCCATGGGAATTCTAGGGTCTGGGGACCCTTACTGAAGCCCATCTGTAGGGGGAGCAGACCTAAATTCTCAGCCTTGAATTCAAGACTGGCTGATACAGGACCAGGGGGCCATTCTGAGATAGGCAGGTGGACAGCTACCTACCTTTCCTTTTGGCCATCACAGCAAACAGCACCACCGCCAGCACCAGCAGGCCCAGCAGGAGCACAGCACCCCAAATCAAGGGTCTGCTGAGAGACACAAAGGAGTAGGTGAGCTTAGCCCTGAACCTGGCACGGAGCTGCTTGCCAGGAATCCTAGAGAAGTGGCACAGAGGTGCAGTTCTTGGTGAGCCATGGTTGGAGAAAGATTTTTGGAATGGAATGAGGAGAACAGACTCAGGCAGGGCAGAGAGAGACACTATCAGGGTATCCTGGCTGGAGATCTGGGATGAAGGGGTCAGTGCTGAACTGGGATAGGGAAGTATGTCTGTCTGTCTGTCTGTCTGCCTGGTCAGAAATTCCCCAGGAGTGGAAAGAATCATAAAGTTTCTTTTCAATTTAGTCTGGGGCTCTAAACAAGCCGTATCTTCACCACCACCCCTTCCCAGCTACCCAGATAACAGTTCTTGTCAGTACCTCTTCTTATCTCGGCTGGGATCCAAAGGGCTGGCACTGCCTACAGGATCTGAAGAGGAGATGTCAGCCAGACTCCTGACCTGATGGGTCTCCTCATCCTCCTCTTTCAGGCCAGGAGCTGAGTCAGAAGGAAATACTTAATGAGAACATACCCATTGTGGGCAGGGTTCAAGGGCCTATTGAGATCTGAGGAACTGGGGGAGTAGAGCTGAGGAAGGAGAAGTCCCAAGTAAGGAACACAAAGAAGTGGTGCTTGGGATATTCCTTAGGGGCCTCTCATTCTGGAGGTCAGGGAATGGCCTCTTTATGTCTTTATCTGGTTGTGAATATGCTCACTTTCCCCTTTACCACCAGCTCCCAACCCTCCCCCCCTGCATTTCTTCTCCACCTGCTCCCCCTGTACCCAGGCTGCTCAGACTATACAGAAACCCTACTGGGTAATCTGTGCCCACCTCCCTACCCAACCTCACTCATCTCATTGGAGACCTTGCTCCTGGCTCTCATCACTTGTTCTCCAAAGGGGCCTCAGCCCAGCCTGCTAGACCTCTCCACATACCTGCAACCCTGTGACCGCCCCTGCAGGCTGGCTGAGCCCCACCCCAAGCTCTGCGCTCAGGAGCTAAGGAACTTAGGGTCAGCCCTGATGTGACACAATGCCAGCTGATCCTTGCTGAGAGCCTTGCTTGGACCCTGAGACTTAGTTTTGTGACAAGGTTTCTGTCATCCCAACGACATGCTTAACTTCTGTCTGTGGGACTCAGGGTTGGTTTCTCTGGGCCTGAGGATCTGCCTTGGGAACCCGGGCAGTCCTTCTAGACCCTCTGAGAGGAGAGTCTTGCCATGTTCTCAGAGATTCACCATTCCCACTACCCAACCCATTCCAATCCAGGAACGGGAGACGCTATGGCCCCAATCTTGCTGCATATGTCCTGATCTCCTGGAGTTTTTTAAATCACCCACATCCTCCCTGGATACTGTGCTCTACCTGCCTGCCTGAACATCCATTCTCTACAGCTGTTGGGGTCCTCAGCACCTGCCCCACTGCAGGCACCTGTCTCCCTGCCACCTATTCCCAGTGCATTGTCTTGTCACAGCTTGCCATTTAGGGAGTTGTAATCTTGAGTTACTAAACCTTAGTGTCAAGGAAGAAGGAGAACAAAGGATGACTAGGGTTAACAGAATATATTTATAATATAAATAATAATTGTGGACTCAAGGGATTCTAATGAGAGCTTAGTCCATCCTCGTAATTAAAAGATGGAGAAAAAACTGAGAGAAGGAAAAATGCCTTTCTTAATTTCATTATTTTGGGCATTTGGCACAAATTACTTGAAAAAGGAAGACCTGAAAATGAAAACAATGTCAGCGTCCATAAGTGCAAGGTAGGACAGTTTCTGCTTCCTCAGGTAGCTGACCGTGTTCCCGACAGAGCACTTTTTTTTTTACAATATCCTATTTTTATGGAAAAAATTTAAGACTTTAAAATGTACTTTCAATAAATATTTAGACATGAGAAAGTTATAGGCTGTGAAAATGAAACCTGTGAACATAGTTTCTATACTGAAAATAGGGTTGAGAATATTAACTGTTCTCAACCCTATAATATTAACTATTGCTGACACTATTTTCTGTTTGTAAAACTGAATGAGTTGAAGGAATTCAGGCATTGAATGTACCCTGCCTGTAGGTGAGGCACATACTAGATGCTCAGTGAAGACCTATAAAATTAAATAAGATATAAATTCAATAGTTTTTAAGCCATCAGACTTGTTATTACAGCAATAAAAACCTGGAAGATGTAAAAAACTTAATTCCAGTTGATATGTCTGAATTAAAACTTTGTTTAAAACATTTCTAAGCAAAATAATAGCATCAAGTATGTTGAAAATGCTGGACAAGGAGGCCAAGGCCCTGAGTGGGGAAAGAGAATTTGCCTTCCTGTGGGGAGACCCACTTGTGCGGGAGGGGAAAGGGGACTGCTATGTGGCTGGTTTATCTCAGACTTCTCACCCAGTTTGGTTTCCGTTCCCTGCAGAGCTGTCAAAAGGATATCTGCTCCCAATTCCTCCCCCACAAGGGCCCCTACCCACCAAGGACCCAAGAGCAGCTGGTGGGGCAGGAAGGCAGGTTAGAGCGGTGGTGGCCAGGCTGGGATAACTCACCTGCAGGGAGCACATCCAGACTGATTCTGTGCACAGTCTGGGGCCCTGAGATTCCCTCTACCACGCAGCCGTACTCTCCGGCATCCTCCTCCTGTAGGGTAACCATCTCCACCTGGAGCAGGCCACCCCCCAGGTCAGTGAGAAATATGCGGCTGCTGGCTGGGGCCCTGCGATCCACAGCTGACGACACCAAGGGCTGGCATCCCTCTGGCAGGAACCGGCACCACACCTTTCGAGCCTTGACATCCTGGAGTCGGTAGTGGCACTGCACCAGGATGGAGCTCCCCACAGGCGCCTGCAGCACCTCAGGGAGGCTGCCAGCCGAGCCCTGGCCTAGGGAAGGAAAGTTGCAGGGATGTTGGACAGGGCACCTCCTGGCCCACCCACTGCATAGGGGCACAGGGATCTAGAGGTCCACCTTGTGGGCCTACATGTTATTGTTGCCATGGTAATGCCAGTTATTCTTGGGCGTGGAGCGGGGTATGTGGGGACCCAGAGTGCAGCTCCTCCTGAACCTTACCTGCTAGTCCCAGGAACAGCAGCAGGAGCAGGTTGGGGCCCATGGCTGGGCAGGGAGATGTCAGCTCTGGGGCTTGCCTGGGCACTGACACAGCATTCCCCTGGGGGCAGGAAACTTTTGCCTCAGACAGTCACGTGGGGTTCTCAGTGACCATGGGCTGGGAAGCAGGCACTGGTGGGCCCCTCCATGGGTGGGGAGAAGGAGCTCTTCCAAGCCCTGGTTGGTTCAGTGCTCAGGAACAATCCCTGAGGGTAAGAATGGGCAAGATAGGGTGAGAAGGCCCAAGGAAAAACAGAAGGCTGGGAGCCTGCCCACCCCTAAGGAATGAAGATGGGGAGGAGGATTGTGACAACCAGAGAGCCATTAGAGAAAGGGGGAAGATGGTCCTCAGGGTATTCCAAATATAGAATCCCATGAGGCAGAGCTGTGAAGGAGGGAAGTATAGTGTCCTTCTCATGGCCCGAGGCCATCTTGATTTTAAATTCTGTGTGAGTGCCCCACCCAAGCTCTCAGGAGATCGTCCAGGAAGCCCCACCTTGACTGTGTGCCCTGGGCTGGCCTGTCTTCATTCCCTCAGATGCACGCTCCCTAGACACTTTGAGTGTGGACCATGTGCTCCAGTTCTAGGATTTGCGTTATTGCTTTGATAATTAGTTGGATATTGAACCTCATGTATTCATCTCATCTTCATAGCTTTTCTCTCTCAGTTTCCATCTTTTTGTTCTGATTCCTAGAAGATATCCTCATCTTTTTCTTCCATCCCTTCTCTCCTTGTCCTTCAGATTTTTATCCCTTAGTGCTTTTAATTTGCAAGACTTTTTATTCTCCAAGCATTTCTTATTTATAGCATATTATTTTGTTTCATGAATGCATTATCCTCTTTGTTAGGAGACAGTTCTCTATGAACATTTTCAGGCCTTCCCAGGAAAGGGCACTCACCAAGCTTTGTTCCAGGGCGATTGAAGAGCAAACATGCCTTGGGAGTTAGAGACAGTGTGTCAGCTCCAGAGAGATTTGCTTCCATCCTTCCCCTCCCTCCCTGGAGAAGATTATTTCAAGTTCCAGAGTGAAGACCTCTCTGTCTCTCTCTCTGTCTCTCTCTGTGTCTCTCTCTCTCTCTCCAGAGAGGAAGAAGGGCCAACGTGCCAGATGTTCTATATAAGTTCCAAGTCTCATAATTTGGGGTTCCTGTCCTATGACACAAACCCATTCCCTGCACAGGGAACATCTGGCCCTCATTCACGTCACCTTGTGCAGAACTGGGGTTTGGGGATCCTGCATGGAATGTGAGTAATAAACCTGCTGACACCGGGGGAGCACCAGTGCTCAGAGAGACAGGAGCAGTCAAGGTGGGGATGGCTGGGAGGACACACTGCTCTGACCTAGATGGTCACACCTGGAAAGGGGCATGAAAAAGCCACGCTCCCTCCCTCCTCTGTCCTCTTTTCTCTCCTCCTCCCCTCTCTCTTCCTCTCTCCTTTCTCCAGGAGCAAGGGAGTTGAGAATGGGAAACTGGGAGCAGGAGCCCGAGAAAGCCGGCTTCTGCGTTAAGCTGAGCCTCGTGGACATGGTGATGGGGTGACCAGCTGTCCCTGTTTACCTGACACTGGGGGTCTTTCCAGGAGACAGGACCTTCAGTGCTAACACTGGCAGAGTCTCCGGCTAACTGGACAGATGGGTCTCCCCAGTGAGTGATATGGAAGTACGTATATCTGTCCTGCCAGCATGTATCAGGCTTTCTTTGATTTCCTTACAAGAAAATTATTTTCACACTAACAAGCCATGTGGGAGCGTTGTGTGAGGAGGAGATCTCTCTTCAATATTTACTGAGTGCCTAAAACAGATATGGTAGGTGCTGGGTGCCTAGGACAGAGGTGGCCAGGATCCAGGGAGGTGTCCTATCACTGGGCATTAGAGAAGAGGAAGGAAGCCAGCGCGTATCCAGGACCTACTATGTGCCAGACATCTGGCCAGGACTTTAATGTTATTCCTTTCAATTGCATAAAAACCCACCAAAGTAGAGTTGTTTTGTTTTGGTTTGCTGTTGGGTTTTTTGTTTGTTTTTACATGCGAGGACCCTGAGGCTCAGAGGAGTTAAGGAATTTGCTTAAGTTTTCTTAGTAGGAGGCAAACTTGAAATTGGAAAACCCCTTCTGTTCAGTGTGCACTCCAGAGAGTCCAAGGCAGGGGACCCCGATGGCAATCTGAATCCCAGGGTAGATGTCCCTGACATGGCAGAGCAGGCAGGAGAAAAGGCTGAGTTCCCAAGGGGAGGAAAGTTCCAGCGGCACTCCACCACCAGGCACATCCTGGAGCCTCCCCTTCCATCTCATCACTCTTGGTGCCCAGACGGGGCGGGAGCGAGGGAGGTGCAGGGGGCTCAGTTTGGGCTCTGGTCAGCCTTGGCTCCTAGACTGTGCCTGTGTCTGCAGGAAGGAGACGACTGCCCCAGGACCCGATGGAGAAGTTTCATGTGCCGCTGAGTCAGGGACACCAGGGAAACACAGACTGGACCAGAGTCCTGGAGCTGGGGACAGAGACAGCGGAGCAGCCTAAGCAGGGAGTGGGTGAGGCAGGGCTGGGGCAGGACTGCAATTAGGGGAGTGATGTGTTGACATGAGGCTGGAACACAGGACTGCATCAGGGGCTCCTTCCCGGTGATTCAAAACCCCAGGTACCCACACCCAGCTTAGGGGGCAACGCAGCCCCGTGTGGCCATGGCCAGAGGGGCTCCTGGGCTTCCACCTCCCTGAGGCCCAGGACAGAGAACCTGAGGATGTGGCCAACTTGCTTCCTCCTCTTCGGGGCAACCCACCCTCAGGGTAGTGTCCATCCCATTCTCCTCACTCCACCTGGCGTGTGTGTGTTGAAGAGAGAGAGGAGGTTCCCTGAGCTGCCTGGCACTCTTCCCCCCTTGCTTCCTCAAAGCGTTTCTCAAACGGTTCCTTCTGACTGCTCTTCAGAATTGCATCATCCCCCACGCCTGCACTCCCCGTACTCCTAACCATCTGACTGACTGACTTACTCTGTTTGTCTGCTCTCTTCCCACTAGAACATGGCTCTGTGTGGGCAGAAATCTTTGCTTGTTTTGTTCACTGATATGTCCCCAATGCCTAGACTAGTACCTGGCACAGAAAATATTTATTGAATAAATATACAAATAAATGAGTAGGATTGAGCTAGAGGGAAGGACACCTTGAGCGCCAAGTGAAAGTAGGATTTCCAGGCTCTAGAGGGACTTTGGGTCAGTCCTTTCCCTTTTGAGCCGCAGTGTCCCTTCCACAGGATGGGGGCTGCACCAGTAGTGCCCGGCTCTGGCTCACTGCACTCTGCGCCCAATCCCTGCCATTCCTCCGGAGGCGGAGCAACATGATAAAAGCAAACCTCTAGGTTTGCCAGAGGTTTGAGTCAGCTGCGAATTGGATGGACTTGAGGAGGGTGGATGGAGGAAGGGGGCCTGGGGCAGGGGGCCCAGCAGTAATCCTAGGAAACTGATGGACAGGAGGCAGGAGGAGGAGAGGAGAGGATGCTAGAGAAATTCCACAGGAGGAGGCAGGGCTTGGTAATCAGATCTCTGGGAGGGAGAGAGAAGAATAAAAAGATTGGCCAGTTTGGAGCCTGTGGGAATGGAGGGACATGATATCCTAAGACCCTAGGCCCCAAGGAGCCAGACCTTTTATCTTTTCCTCATCTGAATTCACTCTCCTAGCCCTGTAGCAAAACAGACCTTCATGACGCCCTAAACCATCAGTTAAGCATGAAGTCTTGGATTTATTTGTGAGAGTGTTTAATGTCCAATGTCCAGAAGTTGGTAGATGTCCTTCCCACCTCCCATGCACACACACACACACATGCACACACACACACGTGCACACACGCACAAATCCCTGCTTCCAGGGGTCAAGAGAAGCAGGGTACAGGCAGAGTGGCCTTTTGCGAAAGCAGAACCAGGAGACTTGGTGGCCAAGGGGCAGGTGTGCAGCAGGCTGGGGTGGTCCGTGCAGACCTCTCCTGGGCCTCTCCTCCACCGTGGGTCCTCCTCTCACGTGTCTCTCAGCTCTGCAACAGCCAGAGTACTCACTTGGCCCCTCTCAGCACCACCTCACCAGCCCCCAGCGGCCACCGTGCTCTCCAAGCTCACCTGTCAAGGTTTGGAGCTGGTAACCTGGGTCATGGCCACAGTCCAGCCCACTGGCATGGGGTGTCCTCCGTTTCTGCCCATGCCAGGCTGCAGCCCAGAGAGCGCTGGCTGCCAGAAGCTTGCTGAGAAAGATGCAGGCCAGGAGGAAAAGGATGGAAATGGGTGGGAAGGGGCTCTCCTCTTCAGAAAGGTTCCTTGGAGAAAAAAAGAGGACATGTGGGAGGCCATGAGGGGACCCACAGACTGGAATCTGCCCTCAAAGAAGGAATGGGGAGACACGAGGAGCTCCGGGGGCTGAGGATATCTCCCCATCCAGCACCATCCCTGGATGAGGCTCTGCGGGGCTTGGGGGAACCTGTAGTCAGGAGACCTGAGTTCCAGGCATGGATCTGCCTGCTGACTGCTTTTAAACAATTACCTCCCTTGCTGAGCAGTTTTCTGCATGATGGTGTGGTATGGTGTGCGTGTGTCTGCATGCACATGTGCACTTCATGGTTATACTCAGAGTGTTTAAACACCAATCAAGAACCAGTCGGAACTGATTCTGGTCCCATCAGGGAAGCAGGGGTCTGAGGGTACCAGTTTTGTACTAAAATACTCAAAAGTTTCATTGTTGCTGAATTGCGGAGACGCGTGAGGGCTGCCAGGGGAGGGGGGGGAGGCCGACCACTCAGCGGTCTTGGAGCAGCAGCTACCTACAAACTGTTAGGGAAGTTTTGCAATGTTTTGACAACTGGCACAGTCATACCAACACACACTGGCTGGTTGCAGGGGTGTTTAGACAAGATCACATGCAGACACTTTAGTGTCTCATTGCCTTGGGATTTGTACTTCTGGCACGTGCCACCCCCCAGCTGCCGCCCCATGCCTTGGCTCTGCAGGGTGGAGGTCTGCCCAGGGATTTTAGGAAAGACTTGTCACTATACCTGGAGATGCTGTGCTCCACCTGGGCATCCTCAAAGCGCTCGGACTCCTCAGGGATCCAGAGATCTCCAGGGTCCTGGTAATCAAGGGGGTCTGTGGGAGACAGAGCCTGTGAGCTTCTAGCCCCCCTCCTTGATGCCACAGTGGGGAGAACCTCTCTGGGTGGGGTGAGGCTCTCTGGGACATGGCCCTGGGTGGATCAAGTTGTTAACCTCTCTGAGCCTCAGTTTCCTCACCTGTAAAGTGGGGCAATTAGGAACACCTTCTTAATAATAGTGTTGCAGGATACAGGGAAAGCATCCTGTGTAGTGCCCATCCCCTCACAGGAGCTCAGTAACTGCAACTCCCACCGTCCCATCACACAGGGTCTTTAGGAAGATCAAACGAAATCATGGGTGTTTTTGAAAGTCCTGTGTAAACAGTCAAGCTGCCTGTACCAGCTATGGATTATTGTTACTGTTGTTGTTGTTATTCTTTTCCTGCTCTTCTCTTGGGAGTCAGCTGAGCCTTAGACCCTGATAGGGCTGAAAATCTGTGTGTCCTCGCCCCCTACTCTCATGGGGGTAGGGTTTGGGGTCTAAGGCAGGCGGTGTCCCCTACCCTCCCCACCTTAGACAAATGTTACTTTCAACCTTCATTTCCATGATAAGGGGCCATGTTGGAGAGAGGAGTTGGACAAGGGGAGAGTCAGAAAAGGGATACGTAACCTCAGATTTGTTCTCCTTTGGGACACAATCACGTTCCGGAGACACAGACAGAAAGCTTTCCTGAAGGGCATCCCCTGTGCAAGCTCAGGGATGAGAAGGACCCCACCACTGCGCATCTCACCTAGTCAAGCCTGAAATGAGGATCCCGAGCAGTTAGCAGCAGGAGGCTGGGGCAACGACTGTCACTGACCCCCAAGCAGTTTTAACTCTTTCATGTCATTTGTGTCTCATGGGAGCCCTGTGGGGTCAGCAGCACAGGCACCACGACCTCCATTTCAAGATGGGGAAATGGAGGCCCAGAGAGGAGAAGCACGTTGCCCAGGGTCACAGCAGTGTTCCTTTCTAGGGTTGTTTCTCTGTACCAGGTTGGTGCTTAATCTATGTTGGTAGGTCCGTTGGGTGGTTGGGTGAAGGAATAGATGAATGTCCTCCTACTCCTTAAGGACCACCTCAGTGCTCACATCCTAACCAGATGCCAAATGGATAAAGCTGTTTGGGGGAAGCAGGACCACAGCTAGCTCATAAGGTGCCTTGGGCAAATTAGAGAACTGTACCCTTCCTGCAAGTGATGCAGTCCTCCACCAGGGAGCACAGCCTGGAGAGAGACAGCAGGGCTGGACTGTGACCCCCTTGTGCAGTTAGCAACCTGCACAACTATCCACAGTGACCCTGAGTTGACCCTGAGTTGTGGGGTGGGGAGGGACAAGATCCACACTGTGGGATTTCCCAGGGTCCCCAAAAGCCCTGAGGGTGGTCTTGTGCTCAGATACTAAAGACGACCCCAGGCCCAAGGGCAGGCCAGGGTGCAGTCAGCTGCCCACTCACCAGCAAGCACCTCCACCAGGACCTTCCTGAGGGTGTCGGCCTCGCTACCATGGAGACTCTGGCACTGATAGAGACCAGCGTCGTGGGCTTGAAGATTCCGCAGAGTAATGGTGAGTGTGCCACCCAGGGCATCGTCCATGATGGCCGTGCTCCCATTGTGCCTCTTCAGGAAGGACAGCAGCCACGAGGGGTGAGTGCTGACCACCTGCTGGCACAGGCCCTCTTCACCCAGCTGGCGGCACCAGGCTTTGCGTCTCCCCCAGTGCTTCAAGGAGTTGTAGGGGCAGGAGACCCTCAGGGACCGGCCTGCCATGCCCTGGAACACCGTGGTGTTGTGGGCTCGGGATAGCTCTGGGGAGGAGACATTCATTCACTTACCAAGTGTTTATTGAACACCTACTATGTTCAATGAACAGAAGAGACAGAAATCCCACACTTAAGGAACTCAGGCCTTTACACAGGTTGGGAGAAGGTGGTATAACCCAGGTATGTGTTTATAGGAAGCTGGAAACCAGGAAACCCGGGTCCTGGATCTGGCTTTATCACCATTGGACTTGCTGGACATCTTTAGAGAAATAGCTGACCCTCTCTGGGCCTATTTCCAGAGACATTTGGTCTTGAAGTTCCCTCCAGTCCTAGTCCACTCATGTTCTTCCTGTCACATGAAATCAAGCCCTCCCCTCTCCCACTCCATCTCAAGAGAGCAGGGCTAGTGGCCCTCTCAGGCCTTGGGCTGGTCCCACGTGGGGCTGGGCACCCCCTCCCCACGCCCTCCATCCTTGCTTCCTTCGCAGCTGCCCACGCTCATACCAGCACTGCATTCTCCTCTTTCTGACCTTTAGCTTCCAGCTTCCCTATTTCTGTGCCTTTGTTCCCCTTTCAGGAGGGATGCGTCTCAGAACTATTTTGGGAGAGACATGAGGCTGCTATTTTAGGGACCCTCCTTGGGGTGGGCTTAGAGTGCCAGTCTATTGCCAGGGCAGGGGCTATAAGAGAACCACCCAGCGCCCTCTGCCTCAGCCTCCCCTCTCTTCAACCACATCTTCAACCACATGGTGACAGAAACTTGTAAAAAGGATTGGGGAGCTGGTGGCCTGTCTTTTGGAACCAGAAAGACCTGGTGAGCAGTGCCCCCTCCATACTACCCAGTCCATCCCTCTGCCTTTGGGCAGGCCAACGCATCCCCCTTCCCTTACTCCACCTCCAGCCAAGAAGCTCCAGCTCCATTGGAACAGTCTCTCCTCTCACCCAGGTATGCCTATTGCTCTGGGGGAGCAAGAGGCACCCTTCCCCAACGAGAAAAGGCCGTCATGTGCAAGAATCTGGGATGCCAGTCTCCCCAGCTCAATCACAAAATCTTCAGCCCCTTCACCTCCCATCCAGGGCTGAGGACAAGAGGACCTTCAGAGCACAGGAGGGGCACCCCAAAGATGCAGATTGCCAGTACCAGGTTCTTTTCTCCCTCCCACGCTGCTACTCTTCTGAGGCTAGTTAAGTGGTTCATAATTTTAGGGCCTCTTACCAGTGCCCCCCAAAACTTCCCCCAACTACTACCTAGTGCCTGAGATGCCACCACCAGAACTCTTTCCCTTTCTAGATGTCCGAATCCACCAGCCTCTGACACTTCCACGTACATGAAGAATCTGATGCTGGGGAGAGAGGGAGATGATGAAGAATATGGGGCACAGTGAGAAGAGGGGGTGCAGGACATGCCGAGAATTTCAGCTATCTTCACACTTTGGCTCAGTGCTCCCTACCCACCCACCCACCTGCCATATACTCAAGGAAGGAGAGGGAAAGAAGGCAGCGGAGGGAGGGAATCCTACCTGTGACAAAGAGCAAGATGAGCAGCCCAAGAGGCTCCATGTCACCCTTCCCTTGTGGAGGACAGACGTAGGGTGCCTTGTGCAAGATCTCGTCTTTCCCTTGAACTGCAGAAAGGAGAGGGTCAGGCTCGTCAGGCGCTGCCCACAGGAACCAGCTCCTGGAGGTTGAGTAATCATCAGAACTGGGATCTGGCTTTATGATTCAGGGAGGGGGAGTGGGGTGGGAGAGGGGAGGAGAGGAGGAGCCACCACTGCAGCCCAGCAGCGCGGTGCTGAGGATCCCAGACCTCCAAGAGGACAGCCCACTGTCCTGCCTGTACCAGCCTTCTCATGGTTTAGAAGACTACCCTTTCTCCATTCAATTGCCTTAGTATCTTTATTGAAAATCCCTTGACATGTAGGTCTACTTCTTGACTGTCTACTCTGTTCCATTGATCTATGTGTCTATCCTTTTACCAATATCACCCCATCTTGACTACTCTCTGTAGCTTTATAACAAGTCTTGAAATCAGGTGATGTGAGTAATCCAACTACATTGTTCCTTTCCAAAATGGTTTTAGCTGTTCTAGTAATTTTGTTATGTAAATTTTAGACACTGTATGTCAATTTCTCCCCCCTACACTTTCCCCAAAGCCTGCTAGGCTTTTGATGGGATTACACTGAATCTGTAGCTCGATTTGGAGGGAACTAGACATCTTAACACTCTTGAGTCTTCCAATCTGTGGACATATTTCTTCTATGGTTTCTCTCACCAATGTTTTATAGTTTTCAGCATACAAATCTTGCACATATTTTGTTAAATTTCTATCTAAGTATTTCATGATTTTGGTGCTATTTTAAATGTTTCTAGCTTTCTGTATCTTAGGCAGAAGCAGAACTCAGAAACCCCATGAATCTTTATCTTACTTTCTGTCCCACTTATGCTCCATTCTGACCTCTTCTTCTCACATCCTTCCTACCTGAGAAAAGCATATTTTTTATTCCTCTAAGCCTCATAGCAAAGGGCAGGCACCAAGAAATCTTTGCCAATTCACGCATATGAATTCACAGCATGTGCACATCAAACTCTCTCTTCCCTTAGCTTGTGCTAATCTGTAGTTCAATCCCCTAATTCTCATGTCTGAGCATAGGAACATTTCTGCACCACCCCACTCCCAAGCACAGGGTCCTTCCTTTCCTTTTGCTAAATGTGAGTTCAAAGATACTTGCCACTTCACACTTGGGCACAGAGATCTTTTCCCCTCTATTACATCATTCCAGCTGAATGCCATCATTCACGTATGCATGCATTTATTCAACTACCATGTATGTGCTGGAGAACTCAGGTCTCTTGGAGCCTCAGCGTTCCTGGATACGGTGGTGACCATTGCTGAGGGGAGCCCGAGAACCAGAGGCATGACTGGAAGCATGACATACTCCTGACGTCTAGCTTTGGCTAAGACTTCACAGCTGCTGCGTAATCCCTTTCAGAATGTCTGGAAGTTTCCTAGTAAACTGCCTATAGCAGCTCTTCCAAATCGTCACTATCCTCAAATACACAGCTCTACTCCCCCTCCTTCCCTAGAAATAAATCAACATATGTGAACATCCTCACCCTCTTTCAGATTCTGTTATCCTCCTATCCCCACTCTCGCCCACCTGGGCGGCCAGAGAAGTACAAGAGTCCGGTCAGGACCATGGCCAGCACCCAGACAGGCCCTGGGATGGGAAAGGGTGTGGCTGCCAACAACTGGCAGGGAAATAAGCTTCTGGAAACTGAAACAACTCAAACTCTATCCAGGCACACCATCAGCCCAACCTGGGAAATCCCTTGCCCAGCCCTGCCTGAGAAGTGGGCTTGAGAGAGTGACTTTTGGTACCCACTCCACCCCTACCTGGCACCACCACCCACAGACAGTAGAGCCTACAAACATCACCTGCTGCTAAGCAGCCACTTAAGCTTTCCTTTTCCCGCTTCCCTCTTTGGTCCCGTCCTGCTTTTGCTCGACCTCATCTTCCTGGATCCAAACCCCTGCCTTCCACCCCCAAACTCTCTCTCACTTCTGATCCCTCACAGACTTGACGTGCTCCCACCTGTCTCTTTGTATCTGCATTGTCACTCTCCGCCACTTCCAGCTGAGGCCATTCTCCCATTATTAAGATATATTTTCTAAGCTGTAAAGATCTCAACCTCTGTCCAGGGGCCATAGTGAGGCAGGATGTCCAGCCAAAGGGAAGATCTGGTTGAGAACACCAGAGCTTAGAAGAAGGGACCCAGGCACTGAACCTGGTGAGAGGCATCACAGGTGTAGGGAATCTCACCTGCCACTTGATTGGATCCGGAGTGATCCAGATCTGGCAGGGGCAGGGGCAGATGTCTAGCCTGAGCATGGGGCAGAGTGTAGGATTCGTAGGCTGAGTGGGACAGAAATTGAAACTACAGAGTAGGGGTTAAGCACACAGGCTCTGCTTCTTATGGTGAGTAAGCCCAGCTCTGTTATTTACTAGCTATTGGGCAGGTTTCCTAACTCTCCAGTTGGCTTCACTATCTGGGTATGTAAGTGTGTATGGCACATTGTCAAGTGCTCAAAAAAAGTAGCGGGCATTATTTTCCTCCCTCTTCAATATATTTTTCTCAATTCTTTCTTTCTTCCTCCTGTCTATGTCCATCCCAGATTTCCATTTTCCTTTTCCAAGATGACTGCTCTCTCTCTCTCTCTCTCTCTCTCTCTCTCTCTCTCTCTCTTTCTCTCTTTCTCTCTTTCTGTCTCTCTCTCCCCCACTCCCTGCCTTTGACAATCCCCAGGAACTTGCTTTCTCACCTATGTCCTCTCTCTTCCAGTATCTTTAAGTTCTACCGCCCTCCCACCCCCAGAGCCATTTTTTCCTCCATGTTCACATGGGCACAGTCTCACCTGTCCTGAAAACCCCTCGTTTGTCTCTGCTGCCCCTTCAGTTGGTGTTCTTTTATTATCTTGTATTTCATTTTTTTTTAATTTTTTAGTTTTATTTATTTTTATACAGTAGGTTCTTATTAGTCATCCACTTTATACACATCAGTGTATACATGTCAATCCCAATCTCCCAGTTCATCCCACCACCACGCCCCGCCGCTTCCCCCCGTTAGTGTCCCTACGTTTGTTCTCTACATCTGTGTCTCTGTTTCTGCCCTGCAAACCAGTTCATCTGTACCATTTTTCTAGTTTCCGCATATAGGGAATTTGTTTTTCTCTTTCTGACTTACTTCACTCTGTATGACAGTCTCTGGATCCATCCATGTCTCCACAAATGACCCAGTTTCGTTCCTTCTTATGGCTGAGTAATATTCCATTGCATATATGTACCACATCTTCTTTATCCATTCGTCTGTCGATGGGCATCTAGGTGGCTTCCATGACCTGGCTATTGTAAATAGTGCTGCAATGAACACTGAGGTGCATGTGTCTTTTTGAATTATGGTTTTCTCTGGGTATATGTCCAGTAGTGGGATTGCTGGGTCATATGGTAATTCTATTTTTAGTTTTTTTAAGGAACCTCCATACTGTTCTCCGTAGTGGCTGTATCAATTTACATTCCTACCTACAGTGCAAGAGAATTCCCTTTTCTCCACACTCTCTCCAGCATTTATTGTTTGTAGATTTTCTGATGATGCCCATTCTAACCTCTGTGAGGTGATACCTCATTGTAGTTTTGATTTGCATTTCTCTAATAATTAGTGATGTTGAGCAGCTTTTCATGTGCTTTTTGGCCACCTGTGTGTCTTCTTTGGAGAAATGTCTATTTAGGTCTTCTGCCCATTTTTTGACTGGGTTTTTTGTTTTTTGATATTGAGCTCCATGAACTGCTTGTATATTTTGGAGATTAATCCTTTGTCCGTTGCTTCATTTGCAAATATTTTCTCCCGTTCTGAGGGTTGTCTTTTTGTCTTGTTTCTGGTTTCCTTTGCTGTGCAAAAGCTTTTAAGTTTTATTAGGTCCCATTCGTTTATTTTTGTTTTTATTTCCATTACTCTAGGAAGTGGATCAAAAAAGATCTTGCTGTGATTTATGTCAAAGAATGTTCTTCCTATGTTTTCCTCTAAGAGTTTTATATTGTCCGGTCTTACATTTAGTTCCCTAATCCATTTGGAGTTTATTTTTGTGTATGATATTAGGGCGTGTTCTGATTTCATTCTTTTACATGTAGCTGTCCAGTTTTCCCAGCACCACTTATTGAAGAGACTGTCTTTTCTCCATTGTATATCCTTGCCTCCTTTGTCATAGATTAGTTGACCATAGGTGCATGGGTTTATCTCTGGGATTTCTATCCTGTTCCATTGATCTATGTTTCTGTTTTTGTGCCAGTACCATATTGTCTTATTACTGTAGTTCTGTAGTATAGTCTGAATCAGTATAGTCTGATTCCTCCAGCTCCGTTTTTTTCCTTCAAGACTGCTTTGGCTATTCGGGATCTTTTGTGTCTCCATACAAATTTTAAGACTTTTTGTTCGAGTTCTGTAAAAAATGCCATTGGTAATTTGATAGGGATTGCAATGAATCTATAGATTGCTTTGGGTAGTATAGTCATTTTCACAATATTGATTCTCTCAATCCAAGAACATGGTATATCTCTCCATCTGTTGGTATCATCTTTAATTTCTTTCATCAGTGTCTTATAATTTTCTGCATACAGGTCTTTTGTCTCCCTAGGTAGGTTTATTCCTAGGTATTTTATTCTTTTTGTTGCCATGGTAAATGGGAGTGTTTCCTTAATTTCTCTTTCAGATTTTTCATCATTAGTGTATAGGAATGCAAGAAATATCTGTGCATTAATTTTGTATCCTGCAACTTTACCAGATTCATTGATTAGCTCTAGTAGTTTTCTGGTGGCATCTTTAGGTTTCTCTATGTATAGGATCATGTCATCTGCAAACAGTGACAGTTTTATTTCTTTTTTTCCAATTTGTATTCCTTTTATTTCTTTTTCTTCTCTGATTGCTGTGGCTAAAACTTCCAGAACTATGTTGAATAATAGTGGCAAGAGTGGACACCCTTGTCTTGTTCCTGATCTTAGAGGAAATGCTTTCAGTTTTTCACCATTGAGAATGATGTTTGCTGTGGGTTTGTCGTATATGGCCTTTATTATGTTGAGGTAGGTTCCCTCTATGCCCACTTTCTGGAGAGTTTTTCATCAAAAATGGGTGTTGAATTTTGTCAAAAGCTTTTTATGTATCTATTGAGATAATCATATGGTTTTTCTTCTTCAATTTGTTAATATGGTGTATCACATTGATTGATTTGCGTATATTAAAGAATCCTTGCATCCCTGGGATAAATCCCACTTGATCATGGTGTATGATCCTTTTAATGTGTTGTTGGATTTCTGTTTGCTAGTATTTTGTTGAGGAGTTTTGCATCTATATTCATCAGTGATATTGGTCTGTAATTTTCTTTTTTTGTAGTATCTTTTTTTTTTTTTTTTTTTGTAGTATCTTTGTCTGGTTTTGGTATCAGGGTGATGGTAGCCTCATAGAATGAGTTTGGGAGTGTTCCTTCCTCTGCAATTTTTTGGAAGAGTTTGAGAAGGATGGGTGTTAGCTGTTCTCTAAATGTTTGATAGAATTAACCTGTGAAGCCATCTGGTCCTGGACTTTTGTTTGTTGGAAGATTTTTAATCACAGTTTCAATTTCATTATTTGTGATTGGTCTGTTCATATTTTCTATTTCTTCCTTGTTCAGTCTTGGAGGGTTATACCTTTCTAAGAATTTGTCCATTTCTTCCAGGTTGTCCATTTTATGGGCATAGAGTTCCTTGTAGTAGTCTCTTAGGATGCTTTGTATTTCTGCCGTGTCTGTTGTAACTTCTCCTTTTTCATTTCTAATTTTATTGATTTGAGTCCTCTCCCTCTTTTTCTTGATGCATCTGGCTAAGAGTTTATCAATTTTGTTTATCTTCTCAAAGAACCAGCTTTTAGTTTTATTGATCTTTGCTATTGTTTTCTTTGTTTCTATTTGATTTATTTCTGCTCTGATCTTTATGATTTCTTTCCTTTTACTAACTTTGGGTTTGTTTGTTGTTCTTTGTCTAGTTCCTTTAGGTGTAAGTTTAGATTGTTTATTTGAGATTTTTCTTATTTCTTAGGTAGGCTTATATTCCTATAAACTTCCCTCTTAGAACTGCTCTTGCTGCATCCCATAGGTTTTGGATCATCGTGTTTTCATTGTAATTTGTCTTTAGGTAATTTTTGATTTCCTCTTTGATTTCTTCAGTGATCTCTTGGTTATTTAGTAACATATTGTTTAGCCTCCATGTGTTTGTGTTTTTTACCTTTTTTTCCCTGTAATTGATTTCTAATTTCGTAGCATTGTGGTCAGAAAAGATGCTTGATATGATTTCAGTTTTCTTAAATTTACCGAGGCTTGATTTGTGACCCAAGATGTGATCTATCCTGGAGAATATTCCGTGTGCACTTGAGAAGAAAGTGTAATCTGCTGGTTTTGGATGGAATGTCCTATAAATATCAATTAAATCTATCTGGTCTATTGTGTCATTTAAAGCTTGTGTTTCCTTATTAATTTTCTGTCTGGATGATCTGTCCATTGGTGTAAGTGAGATATTATAGTCCCCCACTATTATTGTGTTACTGTTCATTTCCTCTTTTATAGCTATTAGCAGTTGCCTTATGTATTGAGGTGCTCCTATGTTGGGTGCATATATATTTATAATTTTTATATCTTCTTCTTGGATTGATCCCTTGATCATTATGTAGTGTCCTTTCTTGTCTCTTGTAACATTCTTTATTTTAAAGCCTATTTTATCTGATATGAATATTGCTACTCCAGCTTTCTTTTGAAAATTTCCATTGGCATGGAATATCTTTTTCCATCCCCTCACTTTCAGTCTGTATGTGTCCCTAGGTCTGAAGTGGGTCTCTTGTAGACAGCATATATATGGGTCTTGTTTTTGTATCCATTCAGAGAGCCTGTGTCTTTTGGTTGGAGCATTTAATCCATTCACATTTAAGGTGATTATCGATATGTATGTTCCTATTACCATTTTCTTAATTGTTATGGGTTTGTTTTTGTATGTCCTTTCCTTCTCTGTTTCCCACTTAGAGAAGTTCCTTTAGCATTTGTTGTAGAGCTGGTTTGGTGGTGCTGAATTCTCTTAGCTTTTGCTTGTCTGTAAAGCTTTTAATTTCTCTGTCGAATCTGAATGAGATCCTTGCCAGGTAATCTTTGTTGTAGATTCTTCCCTTTCATCACTTTAAAAATATCATGCCACTCCTTTCTGGCTTGTAGAGTTTCTGCTGAAAAATCAACTGTTAACCTTATGGGAGTTCCCTTGTATGTTATTTGTCATTTTTCCCTTGTTGCTTTTAATAATTTTTCTTTGTCTTTAATTTTTGTCAGTTTGATTACTATGTGTCTTGGCATGTTTCTCCTTGGGTTTATCCTGCCTGGAACTCTCTGCGCTTCCTGGACTTGGGTGGCTATTTCCTTTCCCATGTTAGAGAAGTTTTCGACTATAATCACTTCAATATTTTCTCAGGTCCTTTCTCTCTCTCTTCTCCTTCTGGGACCCCTATAATGTGAATGTTGTAGGGTTTAATGTTGTCCCAGAGGTCTTTTAGGCTGTCTTCAATTCTTTTCATTCTTTTTTCTTTATTCTTTTCCATGGCAGTGAATTCCACCATTCTGTCTTCCAGGTCATTTATCCGTTCTTCTGCCTCAGTTATTCTGCTATTGATTCCTTCTAGTGTAGTTTTCATTTCGGTTATTGTATTGTTCATCTCTGTTTGTTTGTTCTTTAATTCTTCTAGGTGTTTGTTCTTTAATTCTTCTAGGTCTTCGTTGAACATTTCTTGACTCTTCTTTTTTTTTTTTTTTTTTTTCTTTTTTGTGGTACATGGGCCTCTCACTGTTGTGGCCTCTCCTGTTGTGGAACACAGGCTCTGGACGCGCAAGCTCAGCAGCCATGGCTCACGGGCCCAGCCACTCCGCGGCATGCTGGATCTTCCCGGACTGGGGCAAGAACCCATGTCCCCTGCATCGGCAGGCGGACTCTCAACCACTGTGCCACCAGGAAAGCCCTCTTGCATCTTCTTGACCTTTGCCTCTATTCTTTTTCCAAGGTCCTGGATCACCTTCACTATCATTATTCTGAATTCTTTTCTGGAAGATTGCCTATCTCCACTTCATTTAATTGTTTTTCTGGGGTTTTATCTTGTTCCTTCATCTAGTACAAAGTCCTCTGCCTTTTCATTTTGTCTCTCTTTCTGTGAATGTGGTTTTTCTCCCACAGGCTGCAGAATTGTAGTCCTTCTTGCTTCTCTATCTTGTATTTCTTTTATTTAAAAAAAATTTTAGAGATGGCTTTGCTGTTCATGCCTTTGAATCTGATCCTTAGAAGTCACAAGTGGCCTCCTCCCAGTCCTCCCCTTCTTGGCTTTTCTGCTGCCTTTGACATCCTTGACCGCTGTGCTGGTTATTCGCCTCTCCTGCCCCCTCCGCCAACCCATGTTCTTTCTGCTTAGTCCTGCTCTGTCCCAAGGAGACTGACCCCCTCTGGACTGCATCACCCAAGCTCCCAGCTTACTGGCTTACTGATGGATCGAGTCAAGGGAAGATATTGGCAAGAGTTTGGAGGCCAGGAGGAGAAATAAGTTGGGGTCTTTACTTCCTCCTACTCCCTCCTCATCTGCCGTGGTTTAAACAGGGGCTGCTTTCCTCTGTAGCTACAGCTCTTATTGGTGGTCCCTCTTCCATGGCTCTGGTGCTCACTCAGTTCCAATAACACAATTCTTTCTCCTTGCTCTTTCAAGTGTGGGGGTGTTAACAGCTCCCAGTCTTTGGATGCATCACGATCCCTTCCCTTACTGGTTCCCTTATCCTTGCCCACTCCTCTGTAAAGAACCCTGTTAAAATGATTGATAATTCAGCCCTTTTGTGTAAGCCATTTGTTCCTGGAAGGAAACTTGGCCTTCAAATGCCCCCTCCTTCTTGGCATTCCTTTCCCTCTTATAGAAGGGAATGGGAGAGGCTGGAGCACTCTTCTCAGGGGCACATTCATTTATTCTACAAATATTTTCCAAGCACCTACCATATGCCAAGCACCATGCCAGGTGCTAGGGAGATGCAATAAACAAGAAGCAGTTCCTCTTTGTTGCTAGATGTGGAAGTGATGTTGATATTGTAAAATCTGTAGTGGCTGGATTCTAGAAGGTTAATACCTGGGTTTGGGGAGTGAAGTAAGGCCCTCAAATGAGTCATCAGAGAAAGTCTGGGACATATCTGGCCATCTCATCCAGAAAGGCACACTTGGGCTTCTGGTCCAAGATCGAGTTGAGAAGTCAGAATGCCCATCAGGGTAGAAATCAGGCCAGGCTTTGACCACAGAGATCTGCCAGCTGAAATTGGTCTTGCCGTAGTCGGATGCATAAAGCCTTAAAAATGAAAGAGAATTATTAGAGAATTGCAGCCTTTCTGAAAAGAAAGAAAAAGTTTCTCCAGGGAGGGGCTGATTCCCACCTCTAGCACAGACTGGACCCCACACGGTGGCACTGTTTCCGTGTGATGCCCTGGTCTAAGCTAGGTCACAAGTCCTTCCCTCTACACCCAGAGTGTGTTGGGCAATCAGGGATCAACAAGGAAATAAATCTTGAGACCAATGTGCATCTAGCATCAGCCCTTCCTAACATTATCTGGCCATGAGACCCTTTTAAAATTACTCTAAATTTCGAGACATCCACAGGAGTTCTGGAGCAATAATTTGTGCCTTAATTAGAGTAGAAAGCAAAAATAGTCCTAAAGACAAATTAGTTGCTGTGAAATTTGCTTGTTTCGAAAAAAAATTATAGCAGAATTTTTAAAGTCTCATTTAGAAAAATTAGATAATTTTTAAAGACCTAGTATTGAAATTATAAGACTCAAGATTTAACCATGCTTACTAAGTAGATGACATAGAGCAAATGATATCAACAGTTACTTGGTAAATACTTCTTGTGCAGTTGAAACATCATACCTTCAAACCACAAGCAATTTCCTCCAGAATCAGCTGCCACACTTAGGTGGTGCCCAGCTTTAAAGGGAGATTATGGCTATTACAAGAATAACTATGTAAAATGTATTCAGCATTTATAAAATCTTTTAAAAACTATATTCAGTTAATCTTTATCAGAAAAATATATGAAAATTCACTCTAAAAAGGTAAAAGTTGTCCATAATCCCGCCACTTAAAACACACTAACATTTATTGAGTGCTTACTATGTGCTAGGCAAACACATACTTTACATGTGTTACCTTATTACCCATCAGGTAGATAATATTATTGTTCCAGGTAACTGGGATCCAGAGAAATTAAATAACTTACCCAGGATCACACAGCTCATATAAGGTAGAAGTTAGATTTAGATCCACGTAATCTGGCTCCAGAGCCAGTCCTTCATTTTATTGAGTGGAATTTTCCTTCCCTCCTCTAATCCCATTGCCCAGAGATAATCGTAGTGATATTTTGATGTATGTTCACCTATTCTTTTTTCTTTGGTCACACACAGAGACAGAAGTGCCCCCAAGGAATGACTCAGAACTCTGGGAACTCCAGGCCATGTGGGCAGAAGGGTGATGTCCTGCCACATCATGGGAAAGATTACTTGGAACTGCAGATTCATCACTTCTCCAGGGTGATATAAAAGGTCATCGAATCCAGCTGCCAACCAGATGCTAGAGCTCCCTGGGCAAAATCCCAGTGAGTCACGCAGCCTCTGCTGCAATCTCACTGCCTCCTGCTCAGACAGCTCGTTTGGGAATGTTTTTGTTAGACAGGACCTTGCTTGCCCTCAGCCATAATGAGATGTCAGCCTTGCTCATAGAACCTGTGTCATGGCCAGAAATGGAGTGAGGGGTTGGAGAGGAGAAGGGAGGGTGGTCTGAGGTCCGGTGGGCAGGTGTGTAAGGATGAGGTCTTCCTCCAGGAGGAAGGCGGGGTGAGTGACTCTCACTTGTGCCACCTCCGCTGCCATCATCCACCTGGAAACCATCAGGCGGGGTTAGAGAAGAAATCGGCCATGGGTGGTAGTAACCACAGAGTGTGCCCTTTCCCTGGACCCCTGCGGATCCAGGATAGCTCCCCTGCTTGTATTGAAAGATAGAGAAGGGCTGGAATGGGAAGGAGGAGAAAGAAGCAGCCCTGATCACATGCCTGGCACTGGGCCCTCTGAGTCCATGATCTCATTTAATCTTCACAACAACCCTGTAAAATGGTGGTTCCCAATTGGGGGAGGTTGTGTCCCACAAGACAAACTTGCCAATGTCTGGAGACATTTTTGGTTGCCACAACTGTGCAGTCTGGGGGTATTTGTGCTATTGCTGTCTAACGGGTAGAGGCCAGGGATGCTGCTAGATATCCTACAACGTACAGGATGGGCCCTCACAACAAAGAAATGTTCAGAATAATATCCAAATGTCAACAGTGCCAAAGGTAAGAACCCCAGATGAAAGTGGGAATGTTATTGGTCCCATTTTGCAGATGAGAAAACTGAGGCTCAAAGAGGTGAAGTGACCGGAAGCGAACTGTCTGACTCCATTTCATCCCAAGAGCCAGGTATCTGTGGGAATGTGGTAGTTGGAGGCATTTGGCACAGTCAGCAGGAAATGAAGGGCTGAGAGGACAGGGGTGAGGGGACAGTGCCTGTCAATGACAGGGCTGATGGCAGCAGTGGTCCTCCTGGTGCTCCTGGTGGTGAGCAGTGTTGAAGCTGGAGGAGGTGACAGGGAGGGGAGCACTCCTATCTATTTGCCCCACACTCCAGGGCTCCCCACTTCTAGCCCCCAGGCCTGGGTAAGAGGAGGCCACACATGGCCCTGCAGATGAATGGAGGTGTCATGCTCAGTAGTGTTGGATTTCCTTCACTGTGAAGCGCCACAATTTTAGATTAGGCATCACACTGTCACTTGTATATTGGATGTGTTCTATAGTCTCTTCTGTTTTCATTTGAACATGTCATACACTTTAAACGTTTAATGGCTCCCTCCACCCTCCCAACCTGTGTTGTCTCCCCTGGATAAATTCCTGCTCAATCAACAAGGCCCAGGTGGTGTCACCTCCTCTGGGGAGTCCCCCAGGAGAGTCCAAACCCTGGCTTTCTCCATCAACCTGTTCCTCTCTTCACTGGACCTCCACCCAACATGCTTCTATGATGTTACCTACCACCCTGCATCATAATCCTTAATTTACTTGTCTGTCTCCCTGGCTGGGCTGTGGGCTCCTCCAGCTGAGGATGGGATCTCAAGGTTTTTGATTCCCCTCCCGGAGCCTAGCCCCATGCCCTACATGGAGAAGGGAACGAGCCAAGGCTTGGGCAGTGAATGACCCAGCCACCGATCTGGGTCCTCAGGCATCCAAACGGCTGGACAGGCTCCCATAGGGCAGGAGTCTGGGAAGGTGTCACTCAAGCCCTGACCATTGCAGAGAATGCAGGGGATGCTTTGCAACTCTGAAGTTTGCAAGAGGCATACTGAGGGCCTTGGGTTAGGGATGACCCCAAAGTTCCCACTCTGACAGGTAAGGTCTCTTACTATCAGGGGCAAGTTCAGGCCCTCTGAGGCCTTGGCTGCTATGCCTCTCAGCTCCACCCCCAGGGCCTCATGTCTGCCTCGCTACCTGGCTGTCTCCTGTGTCCACATTTCTTGACCCTCACCCAGTTACCTGTGACCCATCTCGAGCACAGCCCTTTGAGAGAAAGTTGGGGGTCAGGGTCGGGGTAGGGATGCCTGGGAATGGACCTATAAGCCAGTCTTGTTCAAGCCTGAGGAAGCTCTGCAATCATCACACATCAATGGAGGAGTCCTGTTGGTAGCAACAAAAAGGTTCAGAGAAATGTGTGTGATGGGAAAAGAAGAACCTACCGAAAGCTAGCAGGCCTGAGTTCTGGTGCTGGTTCTGGCCCTGACCAACCAAAGACCTTGGGGAAGGGGCCCTAGTTTTCAGCTATGAAACGGTTGAAGGAAGTGATTTTTAGGGTCCTTTCCAGCCCTAACATCTTGTGATTCAGGAAGTCTGAGAGGCACACAAAAGGAAGAAAGGAACTCACCCTGTGATAGACCAGACAGATGGTTCTGAGACCAAAGTTCCTGGAAGACTCGTAGATTCCACACCAATAGAACCCCCAGTCCTTTGCCCTGAGTTCAGCCATGATGAAGAAGCCCAAGCTGAGGTCATCTTGGCTAGAGAATCAAAGCTACTGGGGCTTGTCCAGAGCCTGGAACGTGGTTAATACAGTACAACTATGTGCTGATATTTCCCTGTGTGGGTTTTCATCTTTAAGCCTTGCTGGGGTGGATACCAGCATTGCACGGAGTTGTCCTGTCCTCTAGTTTACACAGCAGCTCTGGCCTCTGTTCCCTCAGGTCAGGGAGCCCCGCCAACCGCCACTGCAGGGCTGTGAGATGAGGGCTTCCCCCCTGCAGGGAGCCACCCTCTTTGTGTCTACACTCAGAATGAGCTCCAGAGCCAGCCTCTGGCCACAGTGCCACCCTGTCCCTGCCCTCTCCTCCCCAGAGCCCCTTTCATACCTACCTCACTTAGCCATCTCCCCCTCCTCTTGCCCTGATCCCTCTGCCCTCCTTGCCTGCCCCTCATCTGAGGCCAAGAGCACCAGCAGGACAGGTGGCAGCAGGTATGTGGCCTCCCAGGCCATGGGCCCTCTTCTTGAGTTGGGTTGGGGGGAGGAAAGCAAGGGAGCAAGGAAGCCCCTGAGGAGAGAAACCCAGAGCCAGGGGGATTCAGCCCATCCACTGAAGCCTGACTGGAGAAGAGGGGGAGACCTTGGCCTATAGGTGGGACCCTCAGCTGCAGGTGCTACATCTGAGAGTAGATAGAGACTCCAGGGGACTCTGGCTCTCTTGTGCCCAGCCTCTTCCTCGTCAGCCTGTCTCACTCTCTCTGGGGTGGAGAAAGCCATAAAAGCCCAGGAGGAAACCATGGTGAAATTGTAGTACTGAAGAACAAATCTGACTCCATATTGGATGTTTCTTTTATTTTCACCTTTGTATTCTATTGCTTTTGCTTGGAGTTAAGAATGTTGTTTATAGCCTGAAATATACATAATAGCCCATTCTCAAGGCTCTGACCTTTAAAGGTATAACACTTTTCCATTCATATAGAGATACAAAGTTACACAACAGAGAACCACATTTGTCTTGTTGGAGATTTACAGGAACATGGTGACCTGACCTGCATAGACAACTACAAGAACAAAGGATTATCACATCCCCTCCAGGGTCTGGCTGGCACCAAGAAGTTTGCAGCCACCAGCCACACCCCCTCCCCTTTTAGGATAAAGCAAGCCTGAATTCTAACTGGGCTAGGATGGTTCTTCGAGTCACTAGTCCACCATCTTCTCTGTCTGCTGGCTTTCCAAATGAAATCGTTATTCCTTGTCCCAACAGCTTGTCTCTCCATGGATTGGCCTGTCGTGTGGCAAGAAGTACGAGCTTGGACTTGGTAACAAATTAAGAACCTATCTTTCCTCCTTCCTTCTCCCTTCTCTCCTACCACTTCCTCCCAAGCCCCAACTTTCTCCTCCCCACCGAAGAAAAGCAGGGGCTGAAGGTGAATGACAGAGTTAGGGGACACTTGCAAGGTCTCCAGGGGTCAGAGACTTCCTGCCCAGGCCTGCCTGGGAATTGGGAAGTTCCGTGGGGACTGAGGGAAGAGGGGAAGGGAGATGGAGAGTCATTTCCAGGAATGGAGGTGCAGGGAGGGTCCTGGCAAGGGTGGGAGAGAACAAAGCTGGGGGCAGGAACATCAGAGGGGAGGGGAAGGGGGAGATGGGTGCAGAAAGAGGGGGAGGGAGAGGAGGAGAAAGTATCTCTGCCCCTCAGGTCATCCCTGTGCCCCAGCTCCCAGCCTGCCGTAGTCACTCCATTAGTGTTTGCTGAAAGGCCACACTAATCAAACACATTTTTTTAAATTGTCTTTATATGAGCTACAGAAAAACAATTGTCACAGGCCGTTTATGGTTACTAGAGAAACAACAAAGAAAAGAGACAACCCTGTAAACAAGCAGACGGGCAGATTGGGCTTGTGGGTAGCAGACTCCGAGGCAGTGATTAGTACCAGGAAGTTTAAAGTGCTCGGGGACCAGGCTGGGGAAGAGAAGGGCAGGGGAAGCAGGGCAGGCAGGAGAAGTCAGGCTGCCCTTGGGCCACAGGAAACTCAGGTCACTTTGGGAGCCATTCTGGAGATGGGATACCCTTCAGAACTTGCCAAGGTGGCAGGGGGTGCCGGGGCTTCAGACCCCCTGTGTCAATCGGTGGGGGTCGGGGGGCTGCCCTGGGAAGGGTCTGCCCCAGGCGTGAGGCTGCCTTCCGCCTTCACTACTCCCAGCACAGGGGCAAGAAGCCCATCAGCCCGAAGGAGGAGCCGGGCTGCACAGAGCGGCGTCCACCCACGCAGGGTGATGCAGAGTGAAAAGCACATTTGCAGCCACTGGGACTGTGAACCTCAGGCTTGCCTGCTGGCCTCACAGCAAGAACACGTGGTCCTGTGGGATCAGATCAGGGCTCACAGAGTGAACATCCCATGGGTGCTGGGCTTCCTGTATTTGTTCCTTCCCTTGGCCACGACAGGAAGCCCTTCGCAGGCATGTCCCGTAGTCTCAGTCCATTGCTCAGGAAGACTCCTCGTCTCGTCCACCAAAGGCAATAGCAGCTCTGGCCTGACACCCACCCCTGCCCTGCACCTGCCCGCCCTGGATCTGCTGGGGGTCTGGATACCCCTGGAGCTCCGGGGAGAAGGGCAAACAGAAGGAGCATGTAAGGGGCCAGGATTTGAGTAAAATGTCCTGGAGCCTGGAGGTCCAAAGAGGCCACCCTGGCCCATAAGAGCTAGGAAGCTGGGTACGGAGTCTGCACCTCCTTCTCAGCACCCTGTGTCCTTCCTTACCATGGATTCACATGGGAGCAGGCTCCACGGGTGGGAGGTGTGCCTGGTTCCAGGAGCCCCTCATCCTGGGCAAATAAGGATGGTCGGTCCACCTAACAGCTACCCGGCATGACATCAGGTAACAAAGGCCTCTGCCTGGTCCCAGACCCACCTCCTGGGACCAGACCATGTTGCCCTATACCCTCCCTAGCCCCTTCCCGTCAAGTACAAAACAGAGAAATAGCATCCGATGGTTTTAAAGGTAGAATGTGACAAGCATCAGACCTGGAAAAGAACTGGAGGACCAAGCAGCATGAGGCTTTTACTCAGTGTATGAGGTTCGTGTTAATTCATTTTATCCTGAAAACAGTCTTGAGAGGTAGGAATTAGTGTCCCCTTTCACAAGAGAGGAAAAATGAGGCCCAATACGGTTAGTGACTTGCACAGGGTCCTACAGTGACAGGTGGCATCCCTGGGTCCCGGTCCTGAGCCTCTGCACCCACCAACATCCCGCTTTCAGCCGGCGCAGGGCCGTCAGCGTGTGGTTTTAGGGTGGAGAATAAACACCGTCCTAGTTACACACCAGGATCAGGAGGACGGTTATCACCATGTGTGTGTGTGTGTGTGTGTGTGTCCTGGCACCAGGTCTGTCAGTTCCTCAGTCTGAGTCTCCCCTCTAGTGCCTTCTCCTGGACATGGGAAAGAGGTGCTGCCTCCCTGCTGTCCCCCAGGATTGACCCCTGCCCCTTCCTCCCTCCCCACTTCCATCCTGGAGTGGCACCTGCAAGCTGGCTGCCCACCAAGGCCCCAGCTGTGTCACTCCCCTGACTATGACATTTGATCTCCCACCTGGGAGGGCTGTGTCCCAAGGCCAAGGGTGGACAGGCCACATCTCCCCCCAGTCTCTCATTCCAGTGGCTCCAGGCTGGTGGATACCCCTCCCTAGGGAAGGAATGCAGTCCATATTCTTCAGCCTTCACCGCAGAAGAAGCCAACTCTGAGGCACGAGCCAGTGAGGCAGGGGCAGACACCCCTGGCCATTGGGCCCCTGGCCCAGGCTCCTTAGCTCCATCCTCCCTGCCCCTCCCGGCCCAGGCAGTCCTCCAGGCTCTGGTCAGCTCTGAGTTGTCTTTGCTGTGTCACCAGTGGGTCCTCTCTTCCCAGGGGACAATGAGTCCCCAGAGGGAAGGTGACCCCCCCCTTCTCTGAGCCATGGCCTCCCCTCCATTGGACTCTCAAGGGCCCCCTGTTCTCTTCAGGAGCTCAGACCCGGAGCCTGGGTGTGGGAACTGGGGGAGAGAGCCCTGATCAGCCTCTGCATGCAAGGACAAGCTGGTCCTGCGGGTGAGGGGTTCTCAGCTGCCCAGTCACAGCTTTCCCTGGAGGGGCCGGCCAGCAGGCAGCAGCAGCGGGAGTGTGGGCTCTGCTGGCTCCCAGGACTCGACGGACAAGCAGCCACAGTCAGATCAGGGCCCATCCAGAGGCCCCGTAGAGGACACTTGGCCCAGGGGGTGGGGGGCTTGGGCAGCTCTGGGATCCCCAACACCTTTGGTGACCCCCAACTCTTAGTCACTGTTCCTTCTTCTCTTCCAGGGTGGGACCCTTGGGACACGAGCTGTTTCTGGACTCTTTCTTCCCCCAAGGGCATGGGGACGCTTGAAAAGAGCAGAGGGAAACTGAGGACAGAGCCCCGGGTGGGGAGAGGGCAGCCCTAGCTGTCCACCCCTCCCCCCATCAGCTTGATAGTAAGAGGTTCCAAGGCCGATGGGAGCTGAGGTCTCTGTCTGCAAACAGCACACCTGGGGCTTCTCTGCCATCCAGCCAGGGCCCAGGAGTCTGTGTCTCTCAGCAGAATCACCTCAGTGGCTCCCCCCCCCTACCCCCAGGGACTTCCCACCTGGTGCCCCCTGCTCTACCCCCTGTCCCCCACCAGGTTCCAGGCAGCCCAGGGGAACTGAGAGGATGCAGTGCAGCCTCCGGTTCTGGGAAGGCCTGAGTCCAGCATTGCACAGTCCTCATCCCCAGCCTGGCTCCAATCCAGACAGGTCCCCATCTTCACTCCTCCTCTGGTCTCCTGGGACCCCTCTGGGAGAAGCTCCCCCCCACCATACAGTTAAGTGGCTTCAGACCAAGCAGGCTTCCACGGAGGCTCCGGTCTTGTGGATGGGTCCCTCCAGGATCTGGCAGGATCACGGCACATGCTGTAGCCTGCGAGGATGGGGACAGAGATGAAGAGGGTGGTCCCCCTGCCCACCACTCACAGCTCCTGGGCCAGCCCAGCCCCTCTGCTTCTGCCCTCCGCTTGCTGTTGGCTCAGCCCCAGAAGGCTACGCTGAGCTGTCGCCGCCTGCCCACCCACCTCCCTCACCTGGGTGCTGTACGGTCCTCCTGACAGGACACAGGCGAGGACACACCGTCTGGGGACCGAGGGCAGTCGGGCACTTTGGAAAGGGTGTCAAACCCCCCAGCGCTCTGTCCTCGGGGGGCCAGGAGGGTGGGCTCTACTCACTTCCCATGTGTCTCTTCTTCCAGAACCCATAGACCACGATCAGCATCACAGGCACTGGGAGCAAGGCCAGCACCGCCACGAGCACAGCAGGATAGAAGTCCTGGTGCCTGCGGAGACAGGACAGAGTGCGGAGGAGGTGAGTACTAGGGTGCCCCACCCTGGCCCACGTCTTTCTGCACACCACGGGAGAGGAGTGGGACCAGGGGAAACCTGCCAGTCCCCGCGGGGAGTGATGGCCTCCCTTCCTTGGGGACCCAGCTGTAGGAGAAGGAAGTGAGGTGCTCAGAGGTAAGGGGATGAAGCCCCCTGCCCCCAGCGAAGGGAAGCATCTCCACTTTAGTACCTCTCCTCCATTATTCCCCCAAATCTGCTGAGGACAAGGCTCTAAGAGACCCCCATTTGTGACAGAAGAGACCAACGTTCTTACTCTCCTCGTGGTGACTGAGGATGGCACTTCCCACCTTTGTCCTCTGGAACAGATGCTATAGGTGCCCTGCCTATATTCCCTTGCTGTATCACTTCCATGTACACCAGTCCTCAGCAACTCCATTTAAAAATTGGGGGGCCTGAGGGCTTTCTCTTGTTACTGGCGGTCTCCATGCCACACATGGCAGGCAGCCCTCTACCAATGACCAACAGAGTGGGTGTATAAATACCCCAGCTCCCTTGCCCTCCAGGTGGCTGCTACACACTGGACCCTAGAGTCTCCCCAATGGGATTGAGCTCTTGCTGCCCACAGTGATAACCAGCCTCAGTAAGTTCTCTATCTGCTGCCGTCCCTTCCCTGTCTCACGTCCCCATGCTCTTTCCAGTGTTCCAAATACAATGTGAATCCTGGTCTCAGAGTCCACTCCTCAGGGAACCCAAATTAAAGTGTCCCCATTTCCCACTTCCTACTGCCCAGGCTGCTCCCCTTGTCTGGTCCCTACCCTCTCCTTTTCATCCACAGACTCTTGTGCTGACCCAGCCTCTGCCCTCCTTTCCCACTGCCATCATTTCTGTCCCATGTCCATCCCAGCTTCCCTCTCCCACCTCCCATTCAGCAACAGGCCAAACTGAGTTCCCGGTGGGCGAAAGGGGCTGGTCTGCTGCAACATTTCACCTTGGGGTCTGTTCAGGCACCAAGAACTGTTGCCATGTCTGGGAAAATGGCATTCAACCCAGGCCCCCCGGGTACCTGCTGGGGGATAATAGGTTGAGGAGAGACCTGCCAGTGGGGCACATTCCCGTGGTGGGCGATCCCATGGTGCATAGGTGCCCAGCCTTAGTGGGAGTGGAGGCTGGGCCAGCAGCAGAGGCTCCGGCATTGCTGGGAGACGCAGTCACTGTCTGGGACCCCATGGTCCTACTGGGCCCTGTGGTGGAGGGGCTGGTGCCAGTGAAGCCGTAGCCCGTCACAGAGGTCAGTCTGATGCTCCCTGAGGCAGGGAAGGGCAAGAATCTAGCCAAGGTGAGGAGTCCAGGTGTGAACACCGTCGTGCTGGTGGTGAAAGGGGCATCAGGGCCTGAAGTGAGGGCTGGGCCTGCTGTGACGACAGTTCCACTCTGGAGGATGGTGGGCAGCTTCGTAAGAGGAGTGTTTCTCTTGGTTGTGGAGGCTGAGGGACCAGAGAGGGAGGGAGGAAGGTGAGACTGAGTCGGGGGCCTTGGTGCTGGAAGCAGCTCCCGGCAGCCCACACACTTGTCTGGGTCGGACCTGTCCTGTCTTTTGCTCCTTGACCTTGGACCTAGGATTCTGCTCTGCCGAGGGACCAGGTGCATGCTTGTTCAGAGGGTGAGGTCAGGGAGGAGGAAGTAGGCACAGGAAAGAAGGAAGAGCCTTTCACAAAATTTTTAGTGTCCCCTGTCAGGCCACCTGGGCCAAGAGGACACTTCCCTCCCCACCCCCATCTCTCTTGTCACTTCCTGGACCTTCCTCATTCCTGTAAGTCAGAGATTTCTCTGCTCTGATGTTGAACATGAACTTTCCCAGTTGCTCCATGATTGGTGACTGCGATCCAGAGATGAAGACAAGGAAGCATCAAAGGCCCAGATCCCAAAGAACGCCATGAGCAGCGGGGCCAGGTGCCTTCCTTGGGGACTTATTAAGAGACACAGGAACTGGTCCTGCCACCTTCATGCATCAGTTCAGGCCTTTATCATCCCATTTTCTAGAAGAAGGTTGGACTTTGGATGGTAGAAGAGGAGGGAGCGGTAGGAGCTGTGAGGGCTCAGTCTAGAAGGCAGTGTTGACTCTTTCTCATCAGGGAACAGGAAGAGAGGGATGGTGAGGGGGAGAGGGCTGCTGCTGGCTGCTGCTGCTTCCCACTACTATGCGTGCAAGGATGCACTCCTGAGAGCCACATGGTCACCGTGGAAGGCGCCCATTTTTCTGGGCAAGGGAACCAGAACAAGTAGCATTGGTGAGGGTGGGGATGCGGGAAGGGGCTGATCTGGAGCCAGATCTCCCACATCATCCTGCTCAGCCGTGTGAAGAGGCCCCCAAAGGACCTTTCAAAGAACTCAGACACAGGTGCCTTGGGAGAGCCGGCATTTGGCCACAGAGGATCTAAGAGTGGGCAGAAAAGGAGTGACATCCAACAGAGAGAGACCTCCTACAAGGGTCAGTGAAGTCACACAACCGTTTCCCTCTCCTTCATGCCTGCCTCAGTATACCAAAGGGTTGTGAGGGGCAGGGCCAGGAGGAGGTGATGGAGAGGGGTACCCCTTCCCTACCTCCTGAGATCAAGGATGGGGAGCTGGACAGCAGCAGTCCCCCTTCTCCACTTCAAGTGCCTGGGGCCATAAACCTAGTTTTCAAGGGGGACTGGAAGAGCATATATTGCTAGAAGATTCGCCTTTTTAATTGCCTGTGCATTTTTCATTTCCTAATAATTGAAAAGGTCTGCAAAGTTGGAATCTCCCCAAACTGTGGTTAAGAGATGGAAAGTGAGATCTGACATAGTACAACAGAGGGATACACTAAGGGAAAAATAAAACCATTTCATGTTTGTATCCCTGCAAATTAAGACTTCAATAAATTGGTTTCGACTACTTCCCTAGGGCTAAATCAGAACCCGGAGAGGGAAGGAATGAGATTTGCTCCATATCTTAGAGACAGCAGTTACCCTAGCTCAGACCCAACAGAAGATGGGGATGCAGTTGGGTTAGGGGAACAGGGAAGGGTGGATAATAAGTTTCACAGTCACTGGCTGCTCTTTGTCTGGCTCCTCACCCTTTCCCATCTTATAAATGTGGAAGGAGCACAGGGCTACATTCTTGGTCCTCCTCTCTTTTTCTACACTCAAGGGAGAGTTTTGATAACCTTAAAGACAAGGCACCATATCACCTCCTCTAAACTCTCCCATAGCTTCCTATTCTACCTAGGATAAAACTCAAACCCCAAATCATGGACTTTAGGGCTGCTGTTTGCCTGTCCAGCCTCATCTTCTATCACTCTGCCCCACACTCAATATGGACCAGCTTCTTCTCACCTCAGGGACTTTGCACATGCAGTTCTGCCCACCTGGAAAGCCCTTTGAATCATCCACTTTCAACAGGGCTAGAAAGCTCTCATCACACGCAGGCTCTGCTTGATGTCATCTGCTCAGGGAGGTCTTCTCTGATTCCCCACTAATTCAGTAGCTCCCCCCACCACTGAACTTTCTAGTTCATCACATTGTTTTATTTTCTTAAGAACATTTATTGTTATCTGCAACTGTTTATCTGACAATGTGCTATTGCCTGTCACCTCCCATAGGGTAGGAATGGGTCCGGTTTTGCTCACCACTGTATCCTCAGAGCCTAGAATAGTGCCTGGCACAGAATCAGGGCTCAGTGAATATATATGGAACAGATGATTGAATAAAACAAGCACAGAGAGTCCTGAGTTCTAATCTCATCTCGTCCACTTGCTAGTTCTGTGACCCTGGACAAAGTCAGAGCCGCGAGGACTTTTTAGATCTCATTTCCTTCATCTGTAAAAGGGTGACAAGAATGCCCATGAAGCTGTCTGTAAAGGAATTGTGAAAACCCCACTGTACATCATGCCTATTGATGGATTATTATTATTGTTATATTTGATGTCAGTGGAGTACAGGGCGGGGAGGACACCCCCTCCCCAGCATCCCAGTGCCCCAGCAGGCCTGCTCACCTGGAGACACTTCCAGCAGGAAGCCCATCAGAGGGTAGAGGATGCCAGAGCTGTTGCGCATGCACCAGTACCGGCCCGAGTCCTGGCGCCTCAGGGCTGCCATGGTGATACTGACCACCTTGGCCTGGGTATCGTCCTGCAGCAAATAGCGCGGCCCCTGCACCCCAACACGGGTGAACACAGTCTCGCACTTCTTCCTCCTGATTTTGCACCAAACCTTACCCTCTGTGTGGTTTTTGCGGCTCTTGTAGGAACACTGCACAGACAGAGTCTCCCCTTCAAAGTGCCGCACTTTGGAGTACACGCTCTCGACAGGGGCACCTGGGGAGACACGACTTGTTGAGAAAGGAGGAAGGAAGCATCTTGAAACTCAAAGCTCATGGTGAAGGGAGAGGAGGTGGATATTGCTCTGCTGTCATGGAACTCAAGAGTGTGAAGAAGAAATACAGCCCAACTCCAATGGAGGGGGACACAGGCTCGTCCCCCAGGGAGCTCTTGGTCTGTTGGAGGAGACACTAGCCCTGCCCTGTAGTTCCCAGACTGATGGGGGAGACAGTAGTCCTGTGCCCTTGGGGAATCCTAAAATGATGAGGAAGATAGGGCTAGCGCTACGGGGACGCCCAGTCTGATGGTGGAGGCACAGGCCTAGCCCACAGGGAGCCCTTAGTCTAATGAAGGAAACTCAGCCCTTACACTCAGGGAACTTCAGCAGACGCAGCCATTTTCTTTGCGGCATTTTCTAGTCTGATGGAAGAGTAATAAGCCCTGTCTTCAGGGTCTTGTGGGAAAGAGTCAGGTCCTGCCCTCAATAAGACAGAGACACAGACACAAACGCAAGTCATCATTCTGAAATTCCAGAGCACAACGAACTTAGGTAGATAAGAAAATTCAATCTTTGAAAATATTAAGAGTAGTTATTTGTTTCAAAAACAGGTTTACTCTAGTCACCTTTTAAATAGCAAGTTGTCTGAGTTCATTCTAGGTGATGTTTAATTTTAAAATATTCTATGGGCTTCCCTGGTGGCGCAGTGGTTGAGAGTCCACCTGCCGATGCAGGAGACACGGGTTCGTGCCCTGGTCCGGGAAGATCCCACATGCCGCGGAGCGGCTGGGCCTGTGAGCCATGGACGCTGAGCCTGTGCGTCCGGAGCCTGTGCTCCGCAACAGGAGAGGCCACAACAGTGAGAGGCCCGCGTACCGCAAAAAAAAGAAAAAATAAAATATTCTAGTTACCTAAAACCCATAGATCCGATATGCCCAGACATTTATATACACTCCCAATGGAGTGTAAACCAAAGAATTCTACAGTTACTCACTGTTCATATGTTGCCTTCTATGCCTAGGAAGAAGATGTGGTCAGTGAGCTTCATAACCCGTGGTCTGATGGGGAGGGGGTAAAACTAAGGCTGGGGTGGTGAATCAGGGGACAGGGAGAGAGAGAAAGCTGCAGTGAGGGTCCTCCAGCCCTCTACCCACCCTCAGCTTGGCATTTCCTCCTCTAACACCCTCCGAGCCTTCTGCAAACACGCACACTGTCCTCCCCAGTAGGACAGAGTGGACAGCATTTTGGAGTCTAAATAAACATAGGTCAAAACTCGGGTTCTACCACTGACTAACCATGTGAGCAGATCACTTAATGTCTCTGTTTCTTATCTGTCTCTGGCTGGCTCTGAGAACTGTGCCCCAGGACAGTGCCTTGAATGTAGTACATGCTCAGTGCACGTCTCCTTCTCCCAAATGCAGGTTGCTCCAGACTTTCCCAATGGAACCCAGAGCTGTGATAGCCAAAGGCCCAGCACCCCAGACATCCACCTTAGTTTCCAACCCAGCCGCCACTAGAGTTGAGGCTTGGAGTAAGGTAATGCCCTCTTTCGTATCACTTTGTCCCATGCAAGTTAAACAGAAGGATCCAACTCAATTATTTGGCAGGTGGCAGGTTTGGGGGACCCCAGGGGACACTCTTCTGGCCTGGAAAAGCGGGTCTCTCTGGGAGAGGCGTACAGATAGGGTGACCTTGGAATGGGTCTCCAGGGCACTGTGTTTACATGTGCCCACCTTCCACCCCTCACACAGGAGGTGCGCAAAACTGAACAGGGAATGGTAACTTGGTTGTCATGGCAGCAAGCAAGGCAGGATGGGGTGAGGCCCCCTCAAGGAGCATTTAGTAGATGTGGGGTGGGAGAGATTGCTTCAGGGATTGCTTCCCTACCCCCACCCCAGGACAGGGGGTAAGGACGGAGGTCGTGGCATCAACATTCCAAGAAAAAGCAAATTCAAAGCGCACACACGTAAGGTAATGATTCCCATAGGCACCAAACAGGGCTCTCCCGACAGAGGCCAAGGGATGAGGGCTTGTTGTGTGTGAGGAAGTGGGGTGGCCCTGGTCAGAGGTCCTGAGGAAGACAGGCAGATAAAGGGGCCCATGCAGAGAGGGTCCAGAGCTTTATCTTAGTTTGTGAGGCCTGGGTTAGCTTTGCCCGGGGCCACATACTAGGAGGGCACCTTCTCACCGGTCTCTGCTGGGGAGCTACGAGGTCAGCCAGACCGTCTCCTCTTCCTCCAACCCCACAAGATCACTGAGCAAAGGAAAAGCAGGAAGGGGGTCCAGGAGCAGACCATTCCCTCCCCCGTAAGCCACCTGCCCACCCTCTCACCTGCGACAGGGCCCTGGAGCCACAGCAGCAGCAGCAAGGCGGGAGCCATGGCTCCGAGCAGTGGGGACGGGCACAAGTCCAGCAGGGGGCAGGGATCCGAGGTTAGGGCCCCAGGCCTATGCTGGACGTACCACTTGGGGCTGCCAGGGAAGACCTGGGGTTCTAAATATGAAGTTGCCCATTTAGGGAAGTGAGGAAGTGTGGGACCCACTGTGACCGGCAGACCGCAGGGGCCCGCAGGGCCTGCGAGAGGGCGGTGCTGGTGCAGTTTCCACCCCCTCTTACTCAAAACTTCAGGCAGGTGTGGCTGCTCCACCCGGTCCGGGGCCTCCCAGCCCAGGGAGGGCTCTCGGGGTCAGAAGACTCCTCACCCTCTTTGGATTCCCTCCTGGAATCTGGTCCATTAGGAATGCCATCCTTTGAAGCCAGTTATTCATTATTCTAGGGGGTGGGCTAGTGTGAGGTTTCTAGAACCTCAGGCACAGACGTCCCTGGAATTCTCTGTGCTCAGAGACCCAGAGATATAGGCTATGGGGCTTGGGTGGGGCATCTCAGACCCAACGTTTTTCACGAACCCACATTCACGGGGAGCTTCTTGTAAACTCCCATTTGCTTATTCATGCACTCATTCGTGCATATGTGTGTTCGTTCTGGCTCTCTGCCTCTCTCTCTCTCCCAGGCTCCTGGCTGGTCAGAACAGTCACTCATGCTCACACTTGCAAATAACCCCTTACATGCTCAAATGCAACCTTATTTTTGTCATGGTTAGAGTGACAGGAGAAAAGAAGATTCAAATTGTAAGACTCGGAGCATAAAGTTTGGGTTCAGGGAGGAGCCCCCGTGCTCTCACGTATGCCTGCGCACGCACACACACACACACATACACACACTCTCTCATACTCATACACATACACTCACACACTCTCTCATACACACACACACACACTCATGCACTGTCTCATACTTACACAAGCGGCAGCTGCCTCTCCTTTTCAATGCTCACATCTCCTTACCTTTATCCCTCTCTCTGCCTCTCCTACCAACACCTCTAATCACCCATCAGCTCTGTCCAGACTCTGGCTCCCTGCTGCAACCTTCCTAAAGCAGCCCCAATGCTTCCCCTCCCCCACCTCTTCTCCAGAAACCACGCCCCCTGCCCCTTCTTCCCCTGCTCCAGCCCCCAGCCAGCACACAGGCATGCGCACTCAACTTCCTCTCAACCAACCCTATCTCTCCTATACAGCCGCCCAGCTCCTGCTAAAATGACCCAGCATTTGGCCCAAGACCCCACCCTTCACTCAGTCCCCAGGGCTGAGAATCAGAAGGATAGACTTCTGACATCCAGGAGTTGTGTCGTAGGCTCCTATGTGCGTGGGGACCCAGGTGGACCCTCATGACTATGTGCCCTCCCCCTACTCACCTATGCTGACTTTCTTCTCCTTAGATAGGACTCAGAGTAAAACGTCCTCAAGTTTGCATGGCCACAGTCTTAAACTGAGCTTGAACCCCCAATTCCCAAAGCAAGGAAGTTTTATCTTTGCTGATCCCAAATTTTAGTCTCAACATTCATTCATTCGCTCATCAGTTTGTTTGTTCTTACAGCCTTATGTGCTATGCCTGGTGCTGGGCACCAGCAATATAGAAATGAGATACAGTTGTCACTTCAGACCTCTCAGCCCCCATAAGACATAGTATGCTTTCCTTATTCACCCTTCCTTTTTCATATTCTCCCCCAGTTTAACACTGCTCCTCAGACCCCTGAGTTCAGAGGCTGTCTCTCCTCCCAACACACATGGTATCTTCCTTCCTTTCTTTCCTCCATCAGAACAGTAAATGGCTTCAGGACTCAGGGAAAATCTCATTTATCTCTTGTGGGGACTTCATGTGCTTGGAATAAATGCTTCTATTAAATCCCTGCTGTGTCCCTAGCCCTGAGTGAGGCCTTGTGAAAAGCGCAATCACTGATAGTTGTGCTGACAAGGATATAAAACCCAAATGCTCTCATTCCATTGACAGACAGGTATAAACTGGATCCAATGTTTCTGAGGGAAATTTGGAAGGGTTTATCAAAATCTCTAAAAATGTGTATACGTTAATTAGGCTTTTATGTACAAAATAATTTAACATAGCAGGATATTTTTGTGTCTTTCTATTTTGGATTTAAAAAAATTAAGTTCTAATTTACATAGAGTAAAATTCACCCTTTTCAGTAGAAAGTTCTGGGAGTTTGAGAAACCCATGGGAACTTGTAACCACCACCATAATCAAGATATAGAAGTGTTTCATTACCCGCCAAAGTTTCCTCGTGTCCTTTTTTAGTTCTCCCCTTGCTCCACCCTCAGTTCCTAGGAAACTGATCTGGTTTTTTTTTTCCCCTCTATAGTTTTGCCCTTTCCAGAATGTTATAAAAATGGACTGGTACAGTGTGTAGCATATATTTTTTATTGAAGTATAGTTGATTTAAAATGTTGTGTTAATTTCTGCTGTACAGCAAAGTGATTCAGTTATACATATATACATTTTTTATATTCTTTTCCATTATGGTTTATCACAGGATATTAAATATAGTTCCCTGTGCTATACAGTGAGACCTTGTTGTTTATCCATTCTATATATAATAGCTTACATCTGCTAATCCCCAACTCCCAATCCATCCCTCCCCCAACCTCCTCTCCCTTGGCAACCACAAGTCTGTTCTCTGTCTGTGAGTCTGTTTCTGTTTGGTTGATAAGTTCATTTGTGTCATATTTTAGATTCCACATATAAGTGATATATGGTATTTGTCTTTCTGACTTACTTCACTTAGTATGATAATCTCTAGTTCCATCCATGTTGCTGCAAATGGCATTATTTCATTCTTTTTTATGGCTGAGTAATATTCCATTGTATATATGTACCACACCTTCTTTATCCATTCATCTGTCAGTGGACATTTAGGTTGTTTCCATGTCCTGGCTATTGTAAATAGTGCTACTATGAACATAGGGGTGCATGTATCTTTTTGAATTATAGTTTTGTCCGGATATATGCCCAGGAGTGGGATTGCTGGATCATGTAGCAACTCTAGTTTTCTGAGGACCCTCCATACTGTTTTCCATAATGGCTGCACCAACTTACATTCCCACCAACAGTATAGGAGGGTTCCCTTTTCTCCAGCCAAGCATATTAAGTTGGCTTCTTTCACTTAGTATGAGGCATTTGAGATGTTGTGTGTTGAGTATATCAGTACTTTGTTTCTTTTTACTTCAAAGCAGGACCCCATTGTATGGATGTATCACAATTGTTTATACATATCCCTCCCAGGTCAGGGACAATCAGATTTGGTTTCCAGTTTGGGGTTATTCCAAATAAGTCAGAAAGAGAAAAATAAATATCATATATTAACACATATATATGGAATCTAGAAAAATGGTACAGATGAACTGGTTTGCAAGGCAGAAGTACAGACACAGATGTAGAGAACAAATGTATGGACACCAAAGGGGGAAAGCAGGGGGGTGGGGGTGAGATGGATTTGGAGACTGGGATTGACACTAACATGTATAAAATAGATAACTAATAAGAACCTGCTGTGTAATAAATAAATAAATAATTTTTTTTAACTACTACAAATATTTATACACAGGTTTTTGTGTGAACATAGGTTTACATTTCACTTGGGTAAATACCTACGGTGAAATTGCTGCGTTGTATGGTAAGATTATGTTTAATTTTAAAGAAACTGACTGTTTTTCAAAGTGGCTGCCCGTTTTGCATTTGCATTGATGTTCCTGTTGCTCCCTATCCTTCCTAGCATTTTATTGTTGCCAGGTATTTTTTCTCCCATTCTAATAGTGTGCAGTAGTATTCATTGTGATTTTATTTTGCATTTCTCCAATAACTAACGATACTGAGTATATTTTATTGTATCTATTTGCCATCAACATATCTTCTTTGAGATGGGTCTCTTCAGATTTTTTTCATTTTTATTTGTTTGTTTTCTTCTTAATGAGTTTAAGGGCTCTTTAGTCTAATATGTCTTTTTTTAATAAATTTATTTATTTTATTTATTTATTTTTGGCTGCATTGGGTCTCCGTTGCTGCGCGCAGGCTTTCTCTAGTTGTGGCGCGCAGGCTTCTCATTGCGGTGGCTTCTCTTGTAGAGCACGGGCTCTAGGCACACGGGCTTCAGCAGTTATGGCACACAGGCTCAGTAGTTGTGGCTCACAGGTTCTAGAGCGCAGGCTCAGTAGTTGCGGCACACAGGCTTAGTTGCTCTGTGGCATGTGGGATCTTCTCGGACCAGGGACCAAACCCATGTCCCCTGAATTGGCAGGCGAATTCTTAACCCCTGCACCACCAGGGGAGTCCCCACAAACATCGTATATCAGCCTTATTGAGATAAAGTTCACATAATATAAAATTGACCCATTTAAAGTATACACTTCAGTGTATCACAGTCCAGTTTTAGAACATTTCGTCACCCCAAAATGAAGCCCCATGCCCATTAGCAGTCACATCCTGCATTAGTTTCCTATTACTGTAAATGTGGTGGCTTAAGACAATAGAAATGTATCCTCTCACAGTTCTGGAGGCCAGAAGTCTGAAGTCAGTATCACTGATCCAGGATCAAGGTATTGGCAAGGCTGTGATCCCTTCAGAGACTCTAGGGAAGAATCTAGCCCTTGCTTCCTCCAGCTTCCAGTGGGTGCCAACATTCTTTGGCTTGTGACTGTATCACTCCAGTCTTCAAAGCCAGCATCTTCAAATCTCTCTGTTCCATCTCCGCATCACCTTCTCTTCTGTGTGTGTTCAGACCTCCCTCTGTCTCCTGTTATAAGGATACATGTGAATGCATTTAGTGCCAGCCACATAATCCAGGATAATCAAATAGAACTACCATATGACCCCGCAATCCCACTACTGGGCATATACCCTGAGAAAACCAAAATTCAAAAAGAGTCATGTACCAAAATGTTCATTGCAGCTCTATTTACAACAGCCCGGAGATGGAAACAACCTAAGTGCCCATCATCGGATGAATGGATAAAGAAGATGTGGCACATATATACAATGGAATATTACTCAGCCATAAAAAGAAACGAAATTGAGCTATTTGTAATGAGGTGGATAGACCTAGAGCCTGCCGTACAGAGTGAAGTAAGTCAGAAAGAAAAAGACAAATACCGTATGCTAACACATATATATGGAATTTAAGGGAAAAAAATGTCATGAAGAACCTAGGGGTAAGACAGGAATAAAGACGCAGACCTACTGGAGAACGGACTTGAGGATATGGGGAGGGGGAAGGGTGAGCTGTGACAGGGCGAGAGAGAGTCATGGACATATACACACTAACAAACGTAAGGTAGATAGCTAGTGGGAAGCAGCCGCATGGCACAGGGATATCGGCTCGGTGCTTTGTGACCGCCTGGAGGGGTGGGATAGGGAGGGTGGGAGGGAGGGAGACGCAAGAGGGAAGACATATGGGAACATATGTATATGTGTAACTGATTCACTTTGTTATAAAGCAGAAACTAACACACCATTGTAAAGCAATTATACCCCAATAAAGATGTTAAAAAAAAAAATCCTTAACTTACCACATCTGCAAAGCCCCTTGGTTTGCCATATGAGGTAACATTCACAGGTTCTGGGGATTAGGATGTGGATATCCTTGGGGAGGCCACTTTCCAGCTTATCACTCTCCCTTTTCCTGCCTCTCCCCACACTGCAGCCCCAGGTGACCACTACTTTCTATCTTTATAGATTTGCCTCTTCTGGACAATTCAAGAAAACAAAATCATACAGTATTGGTGCTTTGTGATCGGCTCCTTTAGGGTACTGTTTTTGAGATTTGGCCATGTTGTAGCAGTACTTTCTGCAACGTTATATCAGTACTTCACTCCTTTAAATAGCTGAATAATATTCCATTGTATGGATATACATTTTGTTTATCCACTCATCAGTCAATAGACATTTTATTTGTTGAAATTAACAATATGATCCTAAAATTTATACAGAGATGCAAAGGTTATGGAATAGCCAAAACAATCTTGAAAAAGAAAAACAGGTTGAAATACTTACATTACCTGATGTAAATATTTGCTACAGTAATCAAGACAGCGTGGTATTCGTGTAAGGACAAATAGATCAATAGAATAAAATAGAGGATCCAGAAATAGGCCCACATATACAGTAAATCAATGTTTGCTAAAGGTAATTAAATATGAAAAAAAGTCTTTTTAAAAAATTGATGCTTAAACAACTGGATCAAGGACAAAAGTGAACCTCAAGTCTTGCCTCATATAATATATGAAAATTAGTTTAAAATGGACCATAAATGTAAATGTAAAGACTAAAACGATAAAGCTTCTAGAATGGCATTGTAGAGGAAAGTAAGAGGCTGTTCCTCTTTTAAAAAATTTAAAAAAAGAAAAAAGCCTCACATTAGAGAGTATCTTCATGACTTTGGGCTAGTCAAATGTTTTCTAGATAGGACACAAAAAACACTAAGCACAAAATTTCAAATTTTGATTAGCTAGACTTAATGAGAAATTAAAATTTTGCCCATCAAACACCTATTTAAGGAAACAAAAAGGCAAGCTATGGATTGGGAGAAAGAACTTGAATCCAGCATATATAAATAACTTTGCTGTATACCTGAAACTAACACAACATTGTAAATCAACTATACTTCAAAAAAAATATGCTTTTGAAGCAAAAAGCTGGGCCCTCCCTGGGGTTCCAGAGGTTAAGACTCCATGCTTCCACTGCAGGGAGTGCAGGTTCAATCCCTGGTCGGGGAGCCAAGATTTCACATGCCACGTGGCGTGACCAAAAAATTTTTAAAAAGCCTCACTTGCTCCCTGTGGCCCAACTCCTCCCCATCTCCACAGCTCACACCTTCCACCCCAACACACTCCTTCACTGTTGCTGGGGGAGCCTGAGGATGCCCAAAATGAAACCGTGGTGAAGTAAGAGGCTGTTCCTCTTTTCTTTCACTTTGTGTTCTGCCTGTGAGTGGTCAGGGGGCCCTTGGTGGCCTGAGCTGGGTCCTGAGTTCCAGGCATGGGGGAGGTCAATGATGTGTTTCCACCCTGGGAGGTTTGGGGGGGGCAAAGTTTTAATTCAAGGAACTGTAAAGATGGTTCCTAGGAAATGATTGAATAAATAAATGAATGGGGGAGAACAGACAAATCTCCCATGCAGAAGAATTCCAAATAATTTATGTAGATACTCTGCCCTCAAGGATAGAAAGCATAACTCCCCACCCCCTAAGTGTGGGCCATCCATAGTGTCCAAAGAGGACAGCATGGAGAAGGGGGGAAGAGTAACTTTATGGTAGACGAGACTGACAGTCACCACCTCAGCCTGGTTATCAAGGTTAAGATCAAGAGTGATAATCACACTGATAGCATGAGCCCTTGATAAGATGTGATGAGAACATTTTACCCCTGCAGTCTTCCTCCCCCAAACCCCTAACCCCATGAGAAAAAACATCAAACAACTCTCAAATGAAAGACTTTATGAAATACCTGGCCAGTACTCCTCAAAACTGTCAACACCATCAAAAATAAGGAAATTTTAAGAAATGGTCACAGCCAAGAAGAATCTAAGGAGACATGCAGACTCAATGTGATGAGGTGTCCTAGGTGGAACCCTGGAACAGAAAAAGGACATTAGGTAAAAGCTAAGGAAATATGAATGAAGTACGAACTTTAGTCAATAATAATATATCATTATTGGTTCAGTAATTATGACAAATGTACCATATTAATGTAAGATATTAGCAATAAGGGAAACTGGGTGTGGGATATATGGGAACTCTGTAATATCCTCATTTTTCTGAACCCTAAAACTACTCTAAAATAAAAAATTTCACTTAAAAAGGGAGAGAGACTATTTGCACAAAATATTTATAAGTACTTGATAACTAACAAAGAAAACGTTTTTAAAACACTTAGTTTGATTAGGCTTAAAGAACACCGAGTAAGGTCATTTTAAGTGACTAGTTTACCTGAGGTGGGTTTGCTGCACTGCACGCCGGTCAGGCATACATTCCAGTGGGTGTTGAATTCACTGTTTTTCCCAGTTGGTTATAACCCAGCTCTCCCTGGGTGTGTTTGGTATTCACAGTGTCCTGTTCAGGTAATGTAATTATCTCAGCTCCCTAAAATGAGCAGAATTCTCCCTGCCCTGGTCCTGCTACGGAGCTGGGCCTCCAGGAGCCCCAGGGAGAAGGGTGACAACAGGAGAGAGGAGTTGGGAAGCTGGAGTTTCTGAGGAAAGTAATGAAGAGACCTGGAGGCCAAGTGGTCACTAGGCAGCCCAGAGAAGAGGGGACAAATTGGGGAGGGGTCTACAGCTACTTGTCCCTGAGTGTGTGTCTTGCTTACTGAGCTCACGAGAGTGCTCAGCTCCCCTGCATTAACTGGACTTCACTGCTCAGTTAGAGGCCTGGGTCTGCGTTAAGACCCCATTATCTGTGCCCACCCTGTCTCTAGCCCCCGGGGTGTCCAGTCTCCTTATGGTCCCACTCCATGCTGGTCGTGCCTCAGGCTGCTGGAGCTTGTCCCCCTCACCAGCCCCTGGAATGCCTCTGGGGGCTACTCCCCAACTAGCCTCACTTGTGTTGGGCCACAAGGGGGCCCTCTTGCAAGAAGCTGGTGCAGAGGACTCCAGCCTGCAGCCACCATCGGACCCTGCCCTGAGCACGTAGCGTCTGGCTGCCCTGGCCCTGATTCTGTGCTGTGTTCTGTCACCACCCTGTTGTGGACATTCTTCCATCCTCTCTAGACAGCCTGCGAGTCCCCCGAGGGCCAAGGGGGCTTAACTTAACCGCGTGAGCCCTGCTTTGCTCAACTCTGCATCGCTGTTCATGCATGTGCCTTGATCGCATGCAGAGGGGACCCCAGAGTGGGTCTCCAGCCTTTTTTCTTGTGGAGGCTGAGCTGAAGAGCAGGCCAGTGACTTGCCCACGTTTCACAGACTTCACAGAAAGATATCAAAGCCGAGCTGGGCATTTGGACCCTGTCCTCCAACACCCGGCCCCCCAGCGCTTTGCCCACTGCCGAGCAGCCCCCATGCACCCTGGCTTCCGGCAGTGTATCCCCCTCATCCATCCAAATGGGCCGCATTTGCACTTGCTTTGTGCGAGGGCAAGAAGGCTTTGGAGGAGACTTGGGGGGAATAGGACAAAAGGATTGAAGCACCAAAATAATATAAACCCTTCTCTGAGAAAGGAAAGTACAAAATCAGAAGTGTGATTCTCTAAGAGGAAAATCTGCTTTAGTTAAATGGAAACACTAAAGCAAACTATCCAGGTGTGAAAGTACAGTGTGCTATAAAAAGTTTTCATCTGTATTAGTAAGACACTAAATTTATAACAAGGAACTGAAAGCTTTGTTTGCCGGCCAGTTATGTTGAAACAGAAATACAGAAAGCAGTGCCGTCTGACACAATTTCCTGCAATAATGGAGCTGTTCTGTACCTGCCCATCCAGCACAGTAGCCGCTCGCCACGTGTGGTTGTTCAGCTCTGACATGAGGCAAGTGCAACTGAGGAGCTGAATTCTTATTTTTTGTTGAATTTTAATTAACTTAAATGCAAATAGGCACATGAGGTTAATGGCTAGAGTACTAGCACAGCTCTAAATGACGGAGGTGGACTTTAACAAGACCCTGCCACCATCCTAAGGGGCAGATTTCTTTGTTGTGTCCTGTTTGTGTCAAAACTGTAAAGCTAATAGAAGATAATGTGTGAGACTCTCTTCATACATTGTCTAAAAGACAATATTCAGAATATAATTGTGCTTCAGATTGGGAAGGACATCTTAAATAAGATCCCAAAGCATAAGTCATAAGGGGGAAATGGATGGATTTAATTACATTGTCCCATGCTGTTTCTCAAATATCCCCAGCACAACGTGTTAATAAGAGAAAGCTGAACTTATTCCTCACGGAGTTCAAGGAGAACTCAGCCTCAACAGAGCTCTGAGAGCGGCTTAGATAAATAAGGCAAGGTCCGAATGTACTGGGAAGTTTGGTTCAAGGCAAGTCTTTCAAAGATGGGGCTGGATTAAGATAGAGGAAGGATCACAATATAATAGCCCCAATTGGTAGAAACAGCAACCCCTACCCCCAAAGACCTGCACTTGGTTCCTAAAGTACTCGTTTCTGATTTTATGAAGTTCTGAAAACTCTCAATATACAGGATGCTAAAGTGGAACTATTTTTACTTTCGTGACTGCCGTGGAAGGTGAATTTTCCAAATGTCACTGCACAATGAGTGATCATGTCAGTATCCCAGGAATAGAATAAAGTAGATGGATGGGAAATAGGATTCATTTTTTAGAACACACTGAAGTTTCCAAGAAAAGTACCATAAAGTTTGGAATTTGTTCTCTGGGTCTGTATCTTTTTATGGCTTGAGGGTGATATATAGCATATAATAATATCCAAAATATTATTTTTGGTGAATAGGAACTTGCTGTTATAACTCTATAATAGATAAAAGAATGTATTTGCCATAACACAACAAAGAGTGGGTGTTTGTTTTCCACTCAATTTGTCTTTCACTGACAGCAAGAAAGAAAATCTTTAAAATTTGAACTATTTTCATCTCAGTTTTCGCTGAGATTGTTTGGGCAGATGCTGTGGAATTAAATTCCGTTCCCACCTCCTTCTCGTGGGGCTCTTTATTATGAAAGGTCTGCACAATCATTTCTCAGGTTTTCTGGCAGCTAGGGCTCCAGAGATAATTTAGGCTTTACCCATCAAAGGCATTTGTATGAAACAAATTTGGAACTGAGTTAAGTAGGGAAAAAGGCATCCACTTTGGTGGGATAGAGTGTGGCTGACATGGGGTGGGTCTGGAGAAACTATGCCAGTAGCTTCCTGATTTGCAAAGTTTGCTGATTCTTCAGAGTGCTGACTGTGGGAAGAGCAGTGGCCCCTTAATCTCCCCCCACTGTAGTGTGGCTTTGACAGTCATTCCCAGAAGCTCAGAGTAGGATCTGATTCTGTAAACCATTTAATATTCTATTTTAAAAGGATCCCTTTCTACTTAACATAGGTACATTGGATTTTGTTGTCTGCAGCTGAACCTTGACTAATGCAAGTCCCAAGGAAATAGATGCCCCATTCCAGAGTGAGCTGGGAGACCAGCGCAACACACGCAAAAAGGTATCTAAACCTTACCCACATCAAGGATATAAAGTTGTGGGGATTTTGAAGACTAGGAGAGGATTCTTGGAGACAGTTTTGGTGTCCTGTGACCCTGGGCGCAGAAGGGAGTGGACACCTGCCCCTTACCACAAGCTTAGGGAGAGGGGCTTCAGGGTCACAACTTGGAGAGCTTGTTAAGCGTCCCCTGGAGTTTGGGAGACACAGCAGACTGGAGTCTGACTCAAACCTGAGAACTACAATGGGCAGAGACTGCCAATGACTAGCTGTCCCCACGGTAGAGTGAAGAGAAGATGGCTGTATGGGGATCCACCAGGGCTCCATGAGTTTGCTGGGGTGAATGAAATGGTTACGTCCCATGGACCGGATGTGGGCTGCACATATGTGAAACCACCAGCGTAGGTTTCATAGATCTGGTCCAAAAAGGCTGCCTGAAGTTGGAGAGACCTCAGTGGAGGAAGGAAGCTAGAGGTTGACAGATGTAGGGGAGGAAAAATCATTTTCCCTCTACCCTCTGAGTTCTCAGCTGAGATCCCTGTAATAAAAGAAGATTAATAAGAGAAAAGCAAACAAGCTTTTAAACGTGTATACCTCATGTATATGTGGGAAATACCCAGGGTAAAATGAGGAGCTCCCCAAGGTAGTTTAGAACTCTGGCTTAAATACCATATTCAGATACAGACAAAAGGAAAGCACGGGGAGTCTACCTGAACAGGTCCGCTGGCACTAATCTCTTTCTCCTCTCAACCCTCAATACCACTGATCACCCTACACCTGGGTACATCATCGTCATCCACTATACCTTTTACTAGGCACCTACTGTGCTATAAATCCTGAGCCAGTAGTTTACATCAGTCTGCTTTTAAACTCTCAGGACACCCCCTGAAGTAGGTACCATTTACAAATGAATATTTCTGAGTAGGTACTCTTTACAAATGACGAAAATGAAGTTCAAAGAGGAGAGAGGACTTCCTAAGGTCACATAGGTAGAAAATGGCAGAGATAGGATTTGAACCCAGCTCTGTCTGCCCTTACCTTCTTTCCACATCCCCTCTCTGTGGCTTGCTAGAGTGACTTCCACCGTAGTTTGGCCTTCATGTTGCTGCTTGACTCTTTTGTCGTCATTTGCCTTTTCCTCTATTAATGCCCCTATGCCTTAGCGCCTGATTCCTTTAGGGGGAGACTGCCTTACACTTCTTGACGTCTCCCAGGATATCAGCACAGCGAGGAGAGATTGTTTGTTTGACTTCACATAATTTTCTCAACCTCAAGATGCTCTAGAAGAACCTCCACCTTCTATTTCATCATCCAATCCCTGATGGGACGGGGTCAACCAGCACAGTCCGCATTCATGACCTTCCTTTCTTGCTTTCCTGTCTCTAACATGTACATACCCTGATCTCATTCCAGTCCCTCCTTAAGAAATGAGAGAAAACCCCTCTTAGTAGGTACCTCCCCTTGGCCATCTACATCCCTCTCCCTGCCTCTCCTTACCTGAGACCTAGAGCAGCAGCGGTAGCCACGGCCACCCCCAGAGCCCTTCCCCTCACTCCATCCTGCTCCCTGGACCCACTGTGTGCCAGTCGCTTCAGTGCCTTTTCCATTTACTGGAGGATGTTGCCCCACTTGGGTGTTTCCCATCTTCCCTGAGAGGCTTGGTTGTCAGTTTGCAGTTGAGAAACCCTGAGGAAAATGTGATGAGAGGGGGCAGCTCAGGAAAATGCAGAAGAAGAAGCAGAAAAGAGAGATCACTGCCCTTGTGACATCTTCCTTCCTGCTTTCATTTTGTCACAGCCCAATTGGGCAACACTCAGTAGCTCCCCATTCTCCACCGGAGCAAGTCTAGACCCACCCATCTGATGTCCCACCTCTGCTCCACTCACTTCCTCAGGCCACCAAGACATTCTCATCATTGACCACTGACCGCTACATTCCACAACCCCTCCCACCATTATCCCTGCCTGCCTGACACTGTGCATCCAGATTTGACTTGCCTTTTGAGGCCCGAGTCAAGCCTTCCTGATGACCCACCATCTTTCATGTTATGCCACACCACAATTCTCAAGGATGGGCATGTGGCTGAATCACCCGGGGAGCTTAGCAAACATACATGTGCCTGAGCTCCACCCCGGACATACTGATTTGGTAAGTCTGGAGAGGGCCCAGGAGCCTGCGCTTTAACAAGCAGGCCAGGTGATTCTGAAGTAAGTGGTTCAAACAGAGGATACCTGTGAGAGCTGTGTGTGAGTCAGGTGGGCCCCAAAGCATTCCTCAGGTGCTCTCCCTATGTCTGAGGTGTGTGCTTCCCTGAGCTCCTAGTCTAGGCATGAGCTTGGAGACCACAATTATAACAGCACTAGGAGTGACCTCCATGGATTGAAGTTCTGCTGTGTGCCAGGTGCTTTATGCAGGTTATCTCGTTTAATTCTGTGAGCTTTGGGATTGTGTAATGAATACTTGTCATCTTTTGGCTCTCCAGCACCCAACAGCTTTCCCGTTTGGGGGCTATGCCCCAGTGTGTGGGTCTCATGAGGCCCCCTTCCCTTGAGCATGGAGGCAGATGTTTCTTCTGCCCCTTCTCCCTGGCACCTATGGTACAGACATGTGACTTGACCTAAGTATGGGCAAATGCATGATTCTGCCCAGGATTCTGGATCCTAGGGGTGCGATACAAGATGCAGGGCCAGTTGTAAGTGACTTACTCAGAGGCAATTGAAGCACTGAGAGTCCAGGAATAGTATGGTGGCAAGTACTTGGTGGCTTCACGTGTACAGGGGCAGTGACAACGGCAACACCACTGGACTGTCTCAAGTTATAACTCGGTTTCTGCCATTTTCTAAAACGGGTCCTTCAGCCTTCTCGACTCTGTGAGCTACCAATATCTTTCTAAATTCCTCTGCTAGCCACGACTGGATTCAGTTGGTAGCATCAAGAATCATGACTCGTATTGGTTATTATGCCCTTTTTTTTTTTTTTGGCGGTACACAGGCCTCTCACTGCTGTGGCCTCTCCCGTTGTGGAGCACAGGCTCCGGACGCGCAGGCTCAGCGGCCATGGCTCACGGGCCCAGCCGCTCCGCGGCACGTGGGATCTTCCCGGACAGGGGCACGAACCCATGTCCCCTGCATCGGCAGGCGGACTCTCAACCACCGCGCCACCAGGGAAGCCCTGGTTATTATGCCCTTTGAGGCAGTGAGGAATATCTTCAGGCTGAGGCCTAGCAAGATTAACTGAGTTACTCAAGATCAGACATACATCAAGGATGTGACAGAGCTGAGATTCAAACCTGGGTCCTGTTTAATGCCAAGGCCTGTGTAATTAACCACATAACACTGTTGTGTAGGTCAAGGTCCCAGCAAGAAAGAGGTGGCTCACTGAAACAGGTGACTGAGAAGTGTTTAATGAAAGTGTGGGTAGAATTCGGGGAAACCACTAAGGTAGGCTGCAGTACCCTGGGGCTGGAGCAGTGGTGAGTGACTACTTGCCGTGGCCTAAAATCAAGGGACCGGAGCAGTTGCCCAAACTTGAAGATAACAGCTGTTTGATGCAAGGCTTGAAGGGGCCTTGAGGGCCCCTCGTGCCTCTCCACGGAGAAGGAACCCAGAGGATAAAAACTCTGACCTCATTCTCTTTCCATCCCCTGCCCTTCTTTCTTGCTGCCTACTGGCCACACCCAACCAGAAGCTGGTGGGAAAGGGAGCCTGGTCAGTTCCCAGGAACAGACCAGGGAGGAAAAGGATGGAGAGTTGGCCTGATGGTGCAAGTGGGAGAGCGTCCAGTACAACCATTTGCCTTCCAATTTAGTGTGTGTAATTCCTCAGGCGAGTTTAATATATTGAACTGAAGTATTATTTCATCTATAATTAAATTAATCACACAAGCACACCAAATCATGCAGTTGGTTAACTCAGGATGAATATATAAGTGTGTCGTGGTGTTTGGAAAGGAGCACGATGACTCCTTAGAACCCTATCTCCCAAACAAGCTTGAGAACCACCAAGAGACAGCCCGTGCTATGATTCAGTGGGTGTCTGGCGGGAGGGGGGGGGCAGGCATCTGCATTTTAAACAAATGCTCCAGGAGTATCCGATGCGGGTGGCCTAAGGACTGCAGTTTGAGAGAGACTGCCTTAAAGTGCTCTGCCTCTCCTAGAGAGCGTTTAACGGTGGTTCCTCCCTTGCCCTAGCCTTTTTTGTCAACTTCGCAAACAGAGGAAACATTGAAACTGCTGAAATGCAGGTCCCAAACAAGCCACCTGAGAAAGCAAACACTGCATGCCATGCTCTTACAGCCTCCGTGTGGCTGGGTTCTCTTGGCCAGGAAAATATCAATAGATGTGCTGAGCAGAATAGCTTCTGGATCCAGTGCCTCTCAGAAGACTCTCACCACGGCACCAGGATGACATGAATTCCCTTCATCACCTTCTAATGGACTCAGCTGGATGATCAGAGATAATCTGCATGGGGTCAGTGCCATCCTCTTGGAGGGTTCAGGCCCCAGGTTGGTGAGGAAGTCCTCATATGATGGCAGTGGGGCCAGGGAGGGGAAGACTGTACCTTAGCTCACAGGAGTAGGGGAAGGGCAACCTGATGGTAAGAATGTGTTTTCCTAACACGAGGTGGATTGTGGGTGATAGAGTGTGTTTTTTCTTGGGGAATTTAGGATGACATTGGCCTTGGCCGTTCCTGAATGGGAATGGAAGGACCTATCATCTCTTCCCCACTAATGAGACCCCTTCCCCTTTAGAGTCAGAAGAGGTAGAAAATCAGAAACTAGTGATTTAAATCTGTTGGTGGCCCTGGATGCCTATTTTATGGAAGAGCTTGGGAGTGAAAGGGGAGTTAAAGGAACAGAGAGAGAGGAGGGGGAAAGTGCACATGGGGGACAGCCTTCAGGAGCCTAACTGGTGAGAGCCGGTCACCCACCATCCCTGCCCCTCGTATGGTACAAGGAAGAAGCATTTAGATAGAGCAGGCTCCCGGTTATTCCATTCTATATGGCTTTTAGGTGCGTGGTCTTCAGTAAAGGAGCTCTAGTTTTTGTTCCTGCCAGTAAGAGGAGATTTACTTCTCACGTGGTCTCCTTCCAGCCACGTACTTCTCTGCCTTCACGGGGCTGTTCTGAGGGTCCAGTGGCAAAATGCATCCCTGATGACGCACGCAGTAGTCAAATGATGATATCCTCTTTTCCGTCCAATGCCCTGGGTCCGAGCTCATCCTCCCAAATATGGAATCCTCACCGTGGATCTCACCTTCTCTTCGTTCCGTGCTTTTCAACAGTCTTTTCTGGGAGTGTTGAAAGGGCCATAAATTACGGGGAGAAACGTAAACATCTGATTGTAGAGGAGAGGACGGCCCTGGCAGTCGGGCGAGCAGGATGCTCTCTAGTGGGAATTCTGTCCAATTCAGGCCAAAATGTTGTGGTCCAGGGCAACTACCAGGGCAGAGTGAGCAGCTGTGCCCCCTGTGTCTCACGACCCCCATAAGACATTGACAGTGAAAAGCACTGGACAGTGTATTTAATGCACACCCTGAGCTGCTGGTGGAATGGCACATTTGGGGCAGTAGCTTCTCTTGTGAGGGGGCAAAGCACACACCCAAGGTTATCAGTGAAGTGAGGGGAGTTAGCAGGGCCAAGAAGGTGGAATCCTGAGCCTTAGAAAGTACCTGTGCTACAGCTTCAATTCATGTCATTGACCCCCTACCCCATCCCCTGCCCCTCACACTCCTCTTTGGACACAACTGCCAGATGGACGTGGATGGAGGTCAGAGTTCATTCTCATGGGTTCCAGCGCCTAGGATGCAAATGACCTCTGCGTGACAGCAAACAGAGCAATGAAGACCAGGCTCTTACTCAGGAGCCCACGTGCCACGGGAATGACAATGCTGGTCCCAGGGGCCCCGGGGAAGAGAGGAGATTCAGTGCTGCTGTTGGCACGCATGCTCTTGCACACTTGAGCATTTGCAAAAGTCCTTCACACCCCTTAGTTCATCTGCTCTCATCCTTCCTTTCCCCATACTAACTGGGATTGTCCTGTGCATTTAGCTTGTTCCATTGCTTAAAACTACCGATTAGAAATATACTTAGTAGAGAGCATAGGGTCCATGTCCAGAGAGGCATCAGGGAGAAAGGGCAGGCTGACGAGGCTCCTTCCTGCTGTGATGCAGCAGAGAGAGCGAGGGCTCCCAGAGCAAGGAAACCTGGTTTCCATTCTCAGCATCAGGAACTACTTCCTGGGAGAGTCACCTCACCTCTTTGGCCTCAGTTTCCTCATCTATAAACTGAGAAAAATCCCATCATGAATTTTTATAGACTTTAGCAACATGATTCTAAAAGTCCTGGGTAAACGTCAGTAGGTACCATAAGAAAGAGATGCAAATGAGTGAGGAAACTTGGCCTATCTAGACTCAGCAGATGTGGAAATAGGTTCGAGCACAATTAATCTATAGAGACACAGGGTCCAAAAGAGAAATCGGCAGCAGGGCAA